GAGGAAATAATTATCTTTTATATTTATTGTGATCATGATCGACCCGGTGAGAGTGGTTTAGAGCGCGAGCCTAAAAAGCGAAAAGGAAAACAAACTCATCTGCTTTTACAAGGAAAGGTATTTGCTCTTTGTGAAGCCGCAGCGTGCACCAGGCGTTCATTAATGGCACCTTTTATATCAGGGCAAATCCCAAAGTCACGAGTTCGCACGCACTGCAGCCCTGGTAATTCAACAACCATGTGTCGCTGTCGTGTTTTTGCCTTTCCAACAGAGTAACAAAAGTGATTTTTATATTTTATTGCATCTAGAATCATTTGATTGAAGAGAGATAACCATGCACGCATTTTCTGTTTTTATAGCCAGCAACAGATTGATTTGATGGACTCCAATATCGAGTTTTTCTCTGAGCAATATAATGTGAGTTTTGCTACAATTTGAGAAGCGACTGAAAAAATGTAATTATTACCAAATAAAAATTTAGCGCCAAATTCTAAAATTTCCAAACAAGCTCAAAGATAAGATTTGGGTTGAATGAAAAAAAAACCTGCACCAATGCATGACCCACCACGTAAGTAGCTCAACAAAAAAATTAGCATTCGGCGTGGACGATATGCAAAAACTTTCAAACGAAACTGTGCGAATGTATCATTAGCAAAGTGCGCTCACCTCCTCCGCCGTTTAATAGCCAAAGTACACAGACACAAAACGGGCATGCGAAGTCGCTTATTGGCGTAATTTGCATCGCATTACGATGGTGCCTGTCTAAGAGAGAGCATCCAAAAACGAGTTACTCATGAAAATTTTATACGCATATGGCACTGCCGGTGGCTGGTATGCGTTCGTTATGCGTGATGCTTGCCGAACCTTCAAAGCACTTAAATATGAGGACTTTCACTGTCTCTTTTTAATACCCCCTTTTTATGCATGACGATTTTTTCTTTGATTAAATTCTTCAAATTTTAGTGCGAACATAACAAAAGCCAGCGACTTGAGAGTGATAGGTAATTTTATTTTTTATTTTTAAGGACCTAATTTCACCATAGTTTTAGTTTTCCCCCCTTAAATGTTACATGGATGAAGCGTTGGGCAGTTGCAATGCATTTAAATAACCGGTCTAGTAAAGGATCTGCATGTATAGCGCAAGAAACGTTGCAATCCCGCCACTAATAATAAATATTGATCAAAATACATGCTCAAAATTTGAAAGGAAACAATTACCATAATTGCATGGCTAACAACACGAAAAATTCCTGGACTGATTAATAAAAGTTAAATTTCATTCTACTTTTAACACTTCTTGGTTTAATTTTTTTTTATAATTAATTACAGATCGTAAGTAAATATTTTAATAAATCCTGTCAAAATAAATATTTTAACAGCTGAATAAGCCTAAAAGAAAAAAAGAGCAAAATAAAATTTCTTCCTCATAAAAATAGACAATTCTAAATTATATCTATCAAGTTTTCTTGTCTGAAATAAAACTAGATAATTTTATAAATTAATTATTGTTAACTATGATTTAAAAATAAATAAATAATAGATGAATTACTATACACAAATTTATAAATTGAAACATAGCAGACTACATTTTTCTTATTAAAAAATTTGAATTTGCAGAGTTAGAGTTAAAAAATCTAAATTATTCAGGTGTAAGATGTTATCTGTTTAAAAAATACAAAATAATACTTATTTATAATTTAAAATTGTTACGTAACATTGCTTATCTTAAAATTTTAATTAATAAAACTGTAGTTTGTACTGTTTGGAGCGCAGCAGTTTTCCAACGATTCTTGCGCAATATGTTTCAGTTGAAAGAACGAGGCCCTGCTTTTTGACTGGTCTCATCACTTTCCAAACTGCCCCATGCTTCTCGCACGTAACTATATATTTTTTTCCTATTTAAAAAACTGCAGTTTAATAAAGTGACAAGTGAGACTCATCGAGCTAATGACCACAGAGTCCTTACCCAAGTTACGAAATTACATGTGATTGCGAATTCATATATCATTTGCGTAATTGAGAATTCATTGTGTGTTTCATGGGTTAGCCAATTTAGAATGGGTTTTAACATAGATGTGAGAGTTTGGTTGGGATGAGCTCCAACAAAAGAACCAATCTTTCACTTGATTATATTAACCGAAGAGTTCACCTCGGCTCGGTTTAGCCGTTTCTGCAAATCACTGATGCGACAGTAAACTAATTAAGCTTCATAGCACGGATGTACGGAAGTTGTATTGCGCAAAATTATGAAAGACGGTTTTCACTGCTCAGCTCATCCTTTGATTTTGTTAATTTTATATATGTATAGTTTTTTTTACGCAAGCAAAGAAAGAGATGCTCTGGCATGCACATACACAGGAAATTTCTAAATCCGTAATTTTTCGTCGCTTTATGTAACTAAAGGAGGAAGCTGTGGAATGACATGTGATGTTCGCACGTCTGCAACGAGTTAATTTGCCTTGGCAGAAAACCAGTTCAAATTACTTCCCTATTTTCAATGCAATCAAAATGTCCAAATTTAATAATATAAAATAATAGATCAAAGCTGAATTTTCTCTACTTTGCATTTTATGCAAAACGACTTATTTATACAATTAATCTTTTCCCACGAAAAATCGTTTCACAAATATGAGAGTGAAATAATGAATAATAGCCAATTGTTACTGCATCAAAGTAAATGAGATCGTGTCTGCAAATTATATTATATGACCTGCTAAATCTCCAGCATGTATAACATAACAATGCTGCACAACAGGCAGATGCAGCTCACCTATGTCGACGGCTCTCTCAAAAACCTTCCCACACTATCACTTTTATTTTCAATCTTTTGCAGCAACTGGACAGTCCTCTCACTTCCTTTCTTTGAGAATATACTTCTCAATTAATGTTACATAGTCACATATCTATAAATCACACACCTCCATACCCTGCGCGCATACATGAAGGAAAAAATAAAAAGAGCGCGGTCTTCAGGCAAAGGGGAAAGTAGTGAGAGCCAGAGAGGTTTCTTTTGCGCTCACTAATCGCATGGACATGATGATGAACACTCTGGCACATGTGCAATTAGCGTTCACAGGATCGGACCGTTGATATTGTGAGAGAGTAGTAGAATGTCCAGTTCATCCTCGAAAAAAAAAATTGTGCGTTGGACCAACGGGCTCCTTTCATTTATTTAAGTACCATTTTTAGCGCCCCTTTGTAAAGAATAAGAATTTTCTGCAGCTTAATAAAAAAATTAAAATGAAATAAATTTGAACTTTTTTCAATTGAAAGTTGAAGCTTTGTTTGTATTAGCGGAACACAAATTTCTATAAAAAGATTTTCACTTTGCACGGTCGGTTGGCGTTTTATTTGCGAACGTGACACAGCAATGAAGACATTATTCCGAAGAAGAGAAAAAATGATTTATCGACGCCCATTAATCTTGAAAGAGTATAACTTGAATATCAACAAGATTTACAAGCGAAATCCCTCAAGATCTGCCGCCGATTCGCGAACAATCTTCCTCCATCACGATCTCAACCAACTCGATCTGCCTCACTTTCAGCCACATTTCATGCTTCTGAGCAAATAGTGTCAGAGTGCACTGTCAGTAGAGCAATATAATCATATAAATCTGAGAGGCCGGCGACTGGTGAGAGCGAAGTTGTAAAAAACTTCGATTTTCAAATAAAAAAATTTTTTATGATTGATCCACGCGAGATCATAGTCGCATGTTTTTAAAATGAACGCGCGACCGCGCGGAAGAAGAAAGTAAAAAGTGGTCACGAACCAACTTTAATTTGCCTCGCCGACGCTCATCTTCATTTGCATAACACTAATTTCGGCGACTATTGTGAGGAAAAGTGTGGTTCGAAAGTGACAGGCCTGTGAACGAAATGGGAGTTACGTGCCTTTTGTTAAACTTTGGCCATGTTCGTAAATAGGGCTGATTATTCACCAAGGCGCTCCTGTGGTTCAGACGATAATGACTTGCCAAGAAAAGTTGTTTGGAGAGAGTGTCAAGCAAACATTGCAATACACGAGTGCTTAAAAATCACTTGAGTTTTGACGCAATCGATTTCTGTGATGCAAAACTAGTTGCTTCCCAAAGATGTTTCAAAATTTAACTTTTATAGGATTTTCAAAATCAAAATTTTGTTAAAGGTTTTATAATAAATTTTCTGTTTATGAATAAGTTAATTCTTTTTTTTAACATTCTTTTGTGCTGTAAATGAGTACTTTATTTTGCATTACTGTAAAACACTGTAAAATAGGAGGATATTTAAAACAATTTTTCGTTAATGACATTGCATGCTAGTTATTTATGTGTTTTCTATTATTTAATTATGTTTTAATTTATAATGTATATTTTTATATTTGATTATCGTTGAATATTTATTATACTATTTAAAATTCAATAATTTACATTATTTCTCTTTTCTATCACGTAGTATTTTCATAGTTTTTCTTACAACTCTTAATTTTACAAACAAATCTGCTTTATTAATTAAAGATTGTTTAATTCATGTTTGAAAAAAGCAGATTAATCATGAAATAAATGTTAGCAGATAAAATTAATCCCTGTAAGTAAAATTATTTTCTATTGACAAAAGTTATGTTACAACCTGGATCTTATTCATTCATCAGTTTCATTTAAAGTTTAATCAATATCATGAAATTTGAAAAGCTGATTTTTTTTTCATTTTTTCACTTATTGTCAACGAGCATTTTTTTTTTAATTTGATATGATTTTAGAACACGCGCATCTACTAATTTAAAAATAATGAACGGTGTTCCTTATATGCTTTTGATTACAGTCAATGCGTGCGTGAAACGAAATTTGGCAAGTTGTCGGCGGAAGAGAAAATACGCAGCGCGCCGGTAAGGAATATTATGTGTGTCTCGAGCAAGAAAAAAATATTGCACCTGTTTGTAGTTCTAATGAGTGTCATCAGAGGAAGGAAGAGAGAGGGCTTCGGGAGTGGGGCTCAGGTGAGAGAGCCGCAGCCAGGTAGACATGCCCGCCCGGCGCGCATCTTCAGTTGGCCTGGAGATACTTTCCTGACCCGACGACCGAGACCGGCTTCTTGCTCTCTCCATCTCAACGAGGGCTCTTGGATAGTGCCGATGTGCTCTGCCTAGTGGGCTTGTTGGTGAATTTCTGCTTCGCACCTTTCGCCTGCTGCATTCTGGCAACACACCAAAGGGGATGAGATCTTTCACGACCACTGTGCTGGCAACGGTAAATATTTAATTTTTTAAATTTTTTGCTATCATTCAATCTTATGCAGTTTTTTTTTACTTTCAAAGTGTATATTTACATCTTTATATGAGTATGGTTTCAAAAGTTTAAATCATAATTAAATTTATCATCAGCGAATATTTATTTAATTTTTGACAATTAAACTGTTTCAACAATGTTTTATTAAGTTTTTCTTTACAAAAATTATAATCGAGGCAAAATTTAATATTTTGAGATGAAAGTTTTGGCGTTGTCGAACCTCTGTATAAGTGATAAAAATTTTAAATCCTTTCTTTTAACACGCCCCCACAATTTATTCCGCGAGGGACACTTTACAGTTTTTGGCACACAGCACAATCGAAGGACAGTATTTATTAACGCCTACTCAGTGTCCCCAATATTATAGTTTGATTGGAAGGCAGTACTTGATGCAAATATAAATTTATTACCAAAACTAGTGTCAATGATTGAATCAAGTCAAAATTAGCTGAGAGGAAAATTATAATGCAAAATTTTATTCCAACCATCAAAACTGCTAAACAATGTAATTTTCTAAAAAAATTGCTTTACTGCGCTTTACATCATTATATGGTTATGCTGAATTTATAGGTGTTAAATGTATGCTTCCTTTTACTTTAATAGAAATCAATCGCAATTATCCCATATAAAGGAAAGACAGAGTGTAGCTTATGGTAGACACAAAAGAACGTGTTCCTTTGCGCTCTCAGGAGGACAAAATTACACGGAATTGCTCGTCGAACAATTTTTATTAGAGAGTCGAGTGATTATCTCATTGTTGTTGGGATCGTGGCGCGAAACATAAATAATTCGTTTCTTTACATCCTTATCGGCGAGCAGTGAATTGTTGTGCATCTTCGGAGCTTCTTTCACGGTTTCTTGAAATTTTAGCATCATCGCCAGCTATCTGCGGCCAATCGCAGCCAAAATTTCTCTTGATCCTCGCCAGTAACTTGAAAGCTTCTTAACATTAATTACAACGTGGCGAAGCAAAAAGGAAAAGGTGAATCCATCACGTTTCGCCGCGGCCAACAAAAAACAGGGGCGCGATTTTTGGTCTTGCACTCTGACGAAAGGCGCTAATTATCAGAATTATCTCGTCCTATTGTGGCATGTGAGTGAACGGATTCAATGGGTCAAGCAATTTGATGCGCCTTGATGTTGCTGGCACAAAAACTGGAATAGAAAATATCGTGGCACCACATCGCAGTCGACTTTCTTCTTGAATTTCTGAAATTGACCCTTTCTCATTTCTAATCTGAATAAAATATTTTCTTAAAAATTAAAAAACAAAAAATATATAGGAAGTTTATAGAAAAAAGAAAATAAATAATCTTGAAAAATGCGCTAGTAAAGGATTGATTGTTCGGAACTTTGGTATGGTCAAGGCACTCTTTAGAATTAAAATTCATAGCTCGTTTGAGGTTTTCTCTCCAAATATGCCCTAACACAAAACTAGTGGCAGAGAAAGTATGTATGTATGCATGAAATTATCACATCGGTCCCATCTAGACCCTCCCGCCCCCAGGGTCCGGGTTCAAGGACGAGTGACCTGGCATTACAATTGATGATTAAGAGATAGAGACATCTGAGAGACATATCATTGAATTGATTGGAATGATTAAATAACTTAAATTTAATTTAAAATTACATGTCTTCAGTTTTATTTAGTCTCAACTAACGTTTATTAATGCATTTTATGATATTCATGAATCATGTTTAAACAATATAATTTACTTCTGCCTCATATTAAATAAAAATTAGTATCAAAGCAACAAGCCAAATTGAATATATGCAATTTCAAAACCTGAGTTTAAAAAAATATAAGTAAATAATCTAAATATACTACAACATAGATCCTTTCCATTCGGAAAATTGTTGTTGATGCATCAGGCTGCATGTTGGTTGTGCGTGCATCTAAAATACTTCCCAGAGTGATAGAGCGCGATGAAATTATCCCACAGTGGCAGGTGCACTGCAGATGCGGTTCATCACGCACATCCACCTTGAGCGATCCGTAAAAAAAAATGAAGAAACCTCAACTGCAGCAAAAAGAAAATATGGATGGACAGACCTTCTTAAAACAGGCACCCGAGCCGATTAGCCGATTAGTATTTTATTGATGCGCCTTAAGAAGGGACTGAGCGTCGAAAAGAAAGCTGGAGCTCGTAAATCTGTTAATAGAGGTCAGAAAGTCGTTTAAAAAGGACGATATGGTCAAGGTCGAGGCTAACATTTTTGGGAAGTACGTCTTTGGAGTGTGCATAGATCAGATGCGTTCTCTGTTCAATATTAGAATTGCGTTGTGTACAAGCACTTTCACCCAACGTGCTCTCTCGCCAATTAATAATGAGTATACGCTTTGTGTTTTTGTGTTTGTGAGCGCGAATTAAAGAAAGAAGACGGGAGCAACGTTAATTATTTCTAGCGGTGAAAAAGTCTCTGCTGACGCGCGAGCTGTATTATATTCATTCACACGAAATGAGCATTGCGTGGGATCGGAGAGCCTCCTCTCGCATTTTGTGTACCTTCGCCTAGAAGTCGGCTTCCTCCTGAACCTAGTTTTGCATCCTCTTAAGACTAGAGAATTAGACACGACTTTCATTAATTACTCTTCCCTCCGCCAATTAAGTTCGCTCCTTGTCACAGGAAGAGAATAATTTTTGCTAAGTATGCAAACCCTTTATTTTTTCACAGAAGAATAAGAAATATTTATCGTACTTTTAATTAACTGTAGATTTCGCGCACCTTATTCTTCAGTCAATTGGCACCGGTTTTGGAATCAAAGTAGTTAAAATCGATTTCAATGAAATGGAATTAGGTGCGCATTCTTAATGTGCGCTACTTTGCAATCTCAAGAAATTTTGGCCAGCAGCTCATCAAGACACTGAAAGAAACGGAGAGAAATACAAGTCATGAGCTAATGCTTTAAATATTGGATGGGCTTTTCGCGCCGCCTCGCTGACCTCGATTTACGCGTAATACATACAATCCCAAACATTTGCGCGTAAAAGAGAAGATATATGTAATTTTCATCACTGCGATCATACTAATTGTTATATTCTTTGGAAAATAGAGTAAGATAATTAATAATTAATACCCGGAATTAGACTCAATCCTGATTTTTTTCAGTAAATTTTTTTATGTTCATGCTTGTATTATATACAAGTGGTACATACTGAATTATAATTATTATTATTATTCTTGTTGTTGTTTAAATAATTCTTTGTCATCATTATAAAATTTATCTGAAAATCATCGTTTCCTTTCCCGATCTAAACACCTTTGTCACATCAAGTATCATTATTTTCGTGTGACCTTTTTACAAAAGCACGTTGAGCGTTCGCGTGGTAAGCACACAATTGGCAGAATCTTCTCTCTTTTGTCCGAAAACATGCATGTGTGCATATAAGATTGAACGGCGCAGCATTTCACTCCACTTTGTGACAGGATGAAAAGCGACTTAAGGATGTTGCGTACCGTTCTGTAATTTGCATTTCACTCTCCAAAAAACATCTAGACCATGAACTTTGGGGGTACGGCCGAAACCTCTGAAATTTATTCTCGCCAGAGTGAATGCTGCAATAAGACAAAGTCGAACCGCCTGATGCTTTTATTCAAAACCAGCACAATTGCAAAAGTTCTAATTTATTACTCCTGTTTAAAAAAAAGTACCACAATGCTTTTCGCAGGTAAATAAGTATGTAGCAAACAAAAAATGAAAATTTTAAGTTGTCATACTTTCAGTTAAAAAATTAATGACAATAATTTTAGCAGGCAAAAAATGTCTGCATTGTAAAATTGTCATAGAATTTTTGCTATAATTAAAATGATGTTACAATGCGACACAAGTGCCATGATGAGTTGTGTTCCGCTTCGAAACGTGACGTGAATAGTCGGTCTCTCTCTCTCGTCATTCTCCTCACCTTTGTAACTCGCAGGGAAAGTGCTGCGTGCGCGAAGTTTATAGCATTGTGCTGGCGGAATTTCTTTGTAGGGTTTAAGGTTAAGGTGCAGTTTATTGGCGCAGACGGCGTTTCAGTTTCTAATAGATCGCACCAAACAGATCGATTGATGATAATTCAATATGAGAGCTCAAAATTGGTTTTGTTCCGTCGAGGAACGAGTTTCTAAACAGGCAGCTGCGTATCTCTTTTTTGGAGGCAATAAAACGAATGCATTTTCTCGCAAGGAATCTTCTCTTCTTCCTATGTACTTCATTAACAAACTGAAACGGATCTCTCTCTCTGGAAATAATGTGTTTGATTGGCCGTACTTTTACATTGTGGAAAACGTGCCAAACGAGTATTGTGTGTGTGACTTATTATTGTACCGTAGATTACGAGCAATGTAGAACTGCTGCAATACAACTTTATTTCTATTCGCTTTGAGAGCAGTGGCTCTCGGCAAAATCAAAGCAGGAACCGCACAGGAAACCTTCGGTGCTCTACTGTGCACTCTCTCATTTGAATATTTAATGATCAGTAGAATTTCAGTTGTGTGAAAAAGAGAGAAAAATTGTAGTAAAATAAAATAAAATATAAGAATATAATATTTAAAATATTTACTTGCATCTCTATTTTAAATTTAATTTATTAATTTTTATTGTTCCAGGCACTGCTCGTTGCAATCTGCCTTCTGACTGTCAACGCAGACACGAATGCCCCAAAGAACATTGCCCGAAGAGGCACAAGCAATGTCGAGTTTCTGCCATCGATTTCGCGATCGCTGCCTAGTGGGAGATATCAGTTCCCGAGCCATTTCTTTGACCGCAACACTCCTGCGCTAATAACGCGCCACAGGCCTGGACCCCGACGACTTGCCCATGGAAAACCACCCCCGTACGCCGTGCAGATGGAGCCTTTGGTTCAATATTCGCAGCGAGACCCCTTGTATCAGGAGATCGGCGGTGACTTGGACCGAAAGTACCACGCGGCCCCTCGCTATCAGCACCACAACAATCACCACCAACAGCCCAAATATGTGATTGTTAAGGAGCCGGAACCCATAATCGAAATTATCGTCCAAGATTCAAATGAAACCCTGCCAACACCTGCCCCGCTTGATTTGCCCGCCACCTCGCGACCCCGCGAACCTGTTCAAGTCTTTTACGTCAAGTACAAGAAGGACGAGCACAGCGACGGTGTCATTTATGATAAGCCGGTCGCGGCCGTCACCCCGTCCGAACCCCTTGACGTGCCTGCAGTTCACACCGAAGAAAACGTCCCCGCAAGTTACGGACCACCAGTGCAAGTTACCACCCCTCAGCCCGCTCCTCAGACTACCCTCAGAACGATCATCAACCCCGATTCGGAGCAGGTGCACGTTAACACAGGAGGGTTGAGAATTTCTTTCGGCAGCCCTAAAGAGGAGCACTCATACAAGGCAAAGCGACAGCAACCCGCAATTGGTGCTCCGGTGCCTCGCTTCAGTTCACCTTCGTTTGGGCCCCAGTTTGGCTCCCAACCTGATTTTTCGGCGCACAACAGATTCTTGTCACCACCTCCTTCTTCTCACGCGTCCAGAGCGTCCTCACCGCAATTTTTCTCTTCCTTCTCCAGACCTAATTTGCCCCAATTCACCGGAAAATTTGAGTCTTTCCAACAAGGCCCACCAAGTTTCAGCGGAAAATTGGAGCCCGTGCCATTCAAGCAGCCATCCACGGGAAAAATTGAATTTTTTGATGGCAACTCCTTCAGCAGTTTCCTTCCCGAAACCCACCCTCGATTCAACGAACCGGTGAACGGACTTCCTCCACCACCTCCTCCCTTCCAAAGACCGACTTTTTCTGCGCCCACCTTCAGCGGACCAACCCTTTCCTCTTTCAGAAGTCGACCTCCCAGCAGGCCCTTCCCTCAGGGTTTCGTCTCCCAGCCTCAATTTTCGCAGCCGCTGAACTCGCCACCGGCCACCAGCTTCCCCCCTAGGCTGCCGCAGCCCGCACCTTTCGCGCCGCTTCCGCCTGCGCCCTCACACCAGTTCGCGCCTCAGCCACCCCAATTCAAACCCCTGCCCACCCAATTCAGCCAGCCGCCTCCGACCACTCCTCAACCCCAAACTACGAAACTGCCCGCCACTCAGCCCCCACCAACATTTGTGCCATTCAATGTGGCGCCATCCTCAGGGTCGGAAATTGTCAAGTCGCTTTCACCCAGTACTGACGAACTTCAACGCCAGCAGCAAGAGCAATTCAGGCGCGAGCAGGAATACTTCAAGGAAATCCAAAAGATTCAAAATGAGCTGGAGTTGCGCAAAACCTCGAGCACGAGCAAAGCGCCTTTCACCCCAAAGAAAGCCACCGAAAAACAGCAGCACCAGCAGAATTTCTCGTCGTTCCCAAGCACGACCCCCGCCCCCGCTTCAACCACCGCCGCAGCCCCCGCCAGCGTTCCCAGCAACATCGTCCTGCCCGATGAAGTTCCCGAAGACCTGCGACAGCAACTCATCTCGTCCGGTATCTTGAACAGTGCAGATATCCAGATTTTGGACTATGACAAGGTCGGAGACATTCCCGTCGATTCTCTTCCTCCTGAGGCCCTCTCCCAATTCCTTGGTGCCACCAAGGGTGGAATCGCTAGCGCCAGTGCCCCTGTGCCTCAAATTGTGCCCGCACCATCGCACAGACGCTCCAGCGAAGGAGACAACGTTGCTGAAGCCTCCGACTTAGGTAATTTTAAACGAACATAAAAAAAAAATTGATTTTTTTTAATGTATATCAATGTATAATTTTAATTCAACTTTTGATTCAGGAAGCAACAACATTCCTGGTCCTGTTGAGGTCAAAGTGGTTCGATACCAGCCAGGTGGAGAGGAAGATGCCTCTAATAAATATGTGCAAGACGGCGCCACCATTCTCGACCCTGTCAGGCTCAACGACAACGGATACAACAGCTATGTGCCACTCACCATCGGTGGCTCTTATTTCCCCATTCCAAACGCCAGGGAACTTCATGGACGGAATATAACCAGTGTGGTTGTTTTAGCACCAGTGGTGCAAGAACCGCAAGGATTTTCTGTGAGTATAATTTTATTTCATATATAATAGGAAATTAACTTTCTTAAGTAAAAATCTATTGGATAATTATGAAAAAAAAATTGACATATCTATATTTTTAGCGGCGGACTGGACATGTATTAGAGACGGAGCAAAGCGTGGAGTTTGTGGCTGGCGACGCTCTGAGTGAGCTTGTGCAAAAACCGACAAAACAAAATTTCAAGAAATTCTTTGACAAGGAAAAAAAGACGCCGGCCAACAAGCAGTCCGTCATTCTGCTTGTTACAGAAAAGTAATTATTTTATTTACCTAATTGGCAGGATTTTTAATGAAATTTGTTTATTTTTAGAGCGGAAGAGGAAAAGGTTGATGATTCAGAAGCAAAGCAAATCTTTATGTATGACGTGAATTCACAACAAGTTCGGCGGCTGGAAGGCGACCTAAGCAGCAGTTTCGTCCAAGTGGCCATGGAAAACAGTGGAAACCAAGAGGCACCTGTTTCGGAAGCTGTGCCCAATAAAATTGAAGTCACGACAACAACAGAGGTACCAGCGAAGAAGGAAGACACCATATCCATTTCCTCTGGATACAGCAGAACTGCGCATTGATTGGCTATTATTTATGCAATGGCTTCTGTGCCAAGAGGGTAAAATTTATATATAAAAAAATGGGATTCGAGGGAAAATCAGATTATTTATTGATAAAAAATATAGATAATTATGTGAGAGAATATATGAAGCTGCGTGTTTTGCTAAATCTGATTGAATAATTTCATTGAAAAAGTATATGAAATTCAAAAACTTTATAATGCATCATGTGTAACAACCTTTTTGGGTTCTGAATGTAAAACGTGTTCACTCAAATATCGCAGTAGAAACTGTATCCAGATATGTTGATGGTAAAATTTAACCACTGCAAAAATATATGTACAGAAGGTAAAAGAGAGTTTTTAGTTTAGTTCATCAGTGTATGTGAATAAAAAAGAAGCTTTTTGTAAAATGTATGTGTGTATTTTTTCCAATTTATTTCTAGAACTTCCATTTCATGGACTCATCAAAAGTGCAGCAGTAATTTAATATTTTTTACATTTAAAAGAAAGTATAATTCTCGATAGTGTGGGTTTACCGCGGCGGCCGTCTCTTTTGATGTCGGGCGTTTTAGCAGACATCTGCTAGTTGTAAACCCTTTCTTCCCTTTTTCCAATTAAATTTTTTTTGTAATGACCGAGAAGAATAAATAATAATAATAATTTAAATGTGATACATAATATATAGACACTTTCCTATTTTTAGACAGATTTAAAAAAAAACTTTCTTGGCGGACAGAAAAGTAGGTTTGAACAAATTGGGTATTAATTAACTATTAAATTATATTATTATTATAGTGACCCTTATATTACTCATTATTAACCTAAATTACAAAATGCGCTATAGTTTACTAGCTCAATTTTTAGTATAAAAAGTACATAATAACTAATTTATGAGAAATGAGTGGTCATCTGCGCGAATTTTGACGTTGGTTTATTAATTAATTAATTTTTATTCAAATCTTCTATGAATATTATAAATTTAGCTTTTTTTATCAGAAAAAAAAATAAAAAATATATTATTATTCGTTTTTTTTTTTTACTTTTAATTGCTTTAAATTTTTTTAAAATTATTACATCCCATGACTTCTTAATGCTTGCATCTTCTGTGCATGTTGAATAGTTTTACGGAGAATAGTACACAATAGCCGAACTTGGAAGCATATTTGCGATAAAATTTTTTATATTTTGTGAGAAAAAAAACTGGCAAAGAGCAATTTGTTACTATTGTCTGATAGAATAAATTATGTGTGTACGGTGTACTTACGTCTTAATTCACCCTGGTACTTCAATAATTATGATTTAATTTCCAGCTATTGAATCAACATCACGTCGAAAGTATGACACATGTGTACGTGCGAGATGTAATCGGGGTAGCCGTCTCGTCTGGCTCGCAGCGCTCGCGTTGCTTTCGCGCACTCGGCTTTTCTCTCGCAAGGGGTGCCACGCCCACCTTTGGTTTGTGTGTTGTTAAAAATGGCCGCAATGGAAGGATACCTGAGCAAGTGGACAAATGTGATGAAAGGGTGGCAGTACCGTTGGTTTATTCTCGATGACAATGCCGGCCTCATGTCCTACTACACCGTAAGTACCTGATCTCTGTATTTGCACCTTCCAGGCGGTGCCGGCCGCTGGTCAAATCGGCCGCCCTCTGCGACACCACTCCTCTCGCAAATGTCAACAAAACAACTCGGCTACGTATTTTGCCCAATTTAAAGCCCAGCCTGTTGCCTCTTACGAATTTCTAGCCGCTTAATTTTCGTTAATGATCTTTAAAAATCTCTCAAGTTCTGTGATTAGTCCATTTTAACTCGACGAAAGTTTGTATAGCTCAGCGAACTTGCTGGGTTTAATGCATCTTTTATGATTCACATACGGAACATAATTTTTGTCTCGATTTCTTAAGAGACTGGAATATCTTCAAAATTCATTACAAATTACGATGATTTAAATGAGCTTTCGGATTTTAGGAGGAACGTATTATTATCAAGTTTTGCACAACCTTAGTTACATAATTTATTCCATATGTGAGCAAAAGGCACTTAATTCTGGCCGTTCTAACATTCGTGACGTATTTTTGTTTAAATTTGAAAAATTATAATCATGCTAAAAATATTTTTCTTAATCTATGTTTATTAAAAAATAAACAAAATAACAAAAATCCCAGTGATTAAAAAAATTCGTAAAAATTATGATTTTTTTTAAAGAATTTTGGGAATTTGGTATCGTCAGAACCTCTCTCCACCCACCAAGCTAGGAAGGGCAAATAAGAAATAATATTCTTGTGTTTCTTAAGGTAAAAGAAAACTGAAACTGCAAAAACTCTGGTTTTAAAAGTTGCCTTTTTTTAATTATTTTGTAATTATTCATCTTAGAGATTTTTAATAGCTGGTTTTTTGTTCCGATTGTCAACCATGATTTTCAAGTTGGGCTTGAAGGAGTTGATGTCATTAGTCGCCTTGCCGTACGCCTTCTTGTAGAAATTGGCAAACATGAAGTAAACTATTGCCACGTTGGGGATGAAAACTATGGCCAAAGGTGTTGGCATGTGACAGTCGGACAGCACAAACTGACTGGCGTGAATTATCAGGGCGCAGAACTGCACCTGTGAAGTGGGAAAAATCTGTTTTTATCCCAGAGTGATAAGATTCCATCACTAAATACTGAGCCTCCAGTTAAAATAATTGACAAAAATTTTTAACTTAAATTTAACTTCCGATTTCGTGTGTGATTATATTAGTAAAAAAATAAAATACTAGCCATTTGAATGATGGTGAGATACTTTTTCCACGGTGCCAATTTTTTTGACATTCCAATGCCAGTGAAAAGATAGTAGAGGTACATCAAAACGTGAATAGCTGAATTTAGAGCGATGTAAATGCTCGGAGTTCCTCCTGAAACATCATAAATCGTAATTTTCATTTTTTTTTCTCACTTACTTAGACCCCGCATGCAATTAATCTGGTCTTTGAAAAAAAAACAAGCATGGTGGCACTTTTAATTAGTCGTTATGGGGGCAATTACGCGACCGACTCCCTTGCGTAATTAAAGCCGCTTAGGTGTGAAAGTGTTTTTGCCTTAAACCTGTGCAGAGCAAAAGTCACGATTCACCCCTGCAGCGTGGCATCGCGTGCATCAGTGCAGAAAAGTGTGCCACTTGCCGTAATATGGATGCATCCCTAAATGCGCCATAAAAAAAGAGCCAGTTTGCAAGACGAGAGCGAGTTGCTCTAACAAAAAATGCTCTACCTGCCACGAATTTGACCATAATCCAGCTGAAAATCGGCGTGCTGATGTGGTGGTACAAATGCAAGTTGGACACCTGGTTGTGCTTTTTGCGCAGGATGAAAAACAACTGCAAAGTTAGTTGCAAGATTTTTATTTGTTATTTACAGATTTGAATAATTTTTACTGTTTCGACCAAATCCAACAGCTTCAAAATCAGGTACCACCAACACATTCGCGCAAGCTAAGAATCATATTGAATTTCACTAATAATATTTGCAAACAATTTATGTCTAATTGTAAAATTATCAAATGAATTTCTTACCTGCACTGCATTGGGATTGTCAGAAAAGTCTACCGAAGCGCAGCCGATTATTGTCACGTTTGTGTTTTTTATATATTTCACAGTCTGAAAAGCGTACATTAATTTTTCCAATTTTCTTTCCATTATGATATGATACTAAAAAAAATAAAAAATAAAATAAATTCTTAAATAAAAATGCCAATTGAGAGAATAAGAAGTATGTGAAATTAAAGTAACTAGTTTGTAATTTTAAGGCACAAAATCTTCAATTAAAAAAGTTCAGATAATTTTGAACTTTTTACAAAATATTTTAAAATTTTGTAATTCCTTAATTGAATTATGGAAAGAATGTTCATTTGACCAAACATATTTTTTTCGTGAGGTCTTAAATCGGCATCGAAATTCTAAAAAAATGAAAAAAATCCTAAAAAATTATCAATTTTATCAAATCAGTATAAATTAATCGGATTGAATCTTCTCGCAGTCACTGATTTAATAAAAAAACCGTGACACTTTTGTACCCAAATTTTATCTGTCAAGAGACAATAGCTTGTTATCGAATTTTCTTACCTGCTGGACAAGCAAGGCGCAGGCCAACACCTGGATCGAGTTGTACATTGTTATCACGCCCTTCAGCTGCATCGCTTGTCGCTTTTCCATGAAAGAAGGTCCAATAACTCTCACGAGAAGATAATAGACGGCTAAAATGGAGAGAAGAAGGCCCGGCCCCGACATGAGGGCCCAGTCGGAGACTCTTTTGTCTGAAAATTTAAAAATTGGTACCTTCGAAAAAATTGAAAACAAATTTACCGGCCGAGCTGATTGCATTTTCGTAAAGGCTGCTAATAGTTTCAAGCATTATCGATTAAGTCTTGATCTATCTGTGCCTCTCTGTACCGAGCAAACCCCGCAATTGAACTGGGCGAGCCGTGCGCCAGCAAAACCTACCCTAACAATAGTAGCGTGGGAAAATCCCCCATCCTTCGACAATCAGTTGCAGTTTATTGCACTTCCTTCATTTTCATTACTCAAGGGCAGAAGTAATCAAAATCAAATGCATCTCATCAAGCCGCTAATACGACTGCAATAATTTTATTCTTTAACTCCTCAAGAGTTCATTTTTTTTTTAAACTATGGGGGCGAAGGGGAAACGTATGTGGTGAGAAAGAGATGCTGCAAGTGAGTGCTGAAACAAGCAAAGCCTTTGTTCGCGTCCGTCTACTTCTGCTTCTTCTTTTGTTCGACCTTTTTCAAGTAGCTCTTGATGTAGAAGTTCATGAAAAGGCTGAAGGTGCCCACGATAATTGGCAGGAACATCATGATGATGACGTTTGAATATTTACATCCAATTCGCAGTGCATTCACGTTGTGAGAGAATTGGAGAACAAATTGGAACTGAATTAAAGAATAATAATTTTTATGCTTTGCATTTTTCCGATCGAAATTTCTTACGAGCTGCATCCGTGTGAGATACCTCTTCCACCAAAGGAACCTTTGGAAACGAGGTCCCAGGCCCGCGATCATGTAGTATGTGTACATTATGACGTGTATAATTGTATTTAGAAGTTGGACGAACGTCCCGTGACCACCTGAGAAATAAGTAAATTCACTTTGGTGCACTTCGGAATGCAATTCAAATTACCAGGAGCGTATGTTGCCACAGCCCAGGCAAGTAAAAGGGTGGACACGTGGTGGTATAAGTGTAGGAATGTCACTTGGTTGGGCTTGTTTCTCAAAACGTAAATCACCTGAAATGAAAATCAATTTTTTATTTTATTGTTCAATTAAAACTAGCAAGATTAAGCTTTCATAAGTTTTCAGTTTTATACGTACAGTGTCAAGCATATCGAAGAGTTTCAGGCCAAAGTAAATATAGCATGCCCTGGCCATCTGAAAAAAAATATTATTAAAAAATGAAACGATTTGATTTTCATAACATTACTCTCATGGCCTCTGGCGTTCTGATATATTCGCATTCTTGGCACCAGAAATTGTAATGCGCCAGCCATCCGACTGCTAGGAACTGAAAATAGAACGGGAAAAATTTAAGAGAAAAATTTTTGCATCTCTGCATAACATGATGGAGATAACATCCAGAGATTTAAATAACTTCTTTTTATCAACCGAGTGGGTTGCAAAGGTCAAATGACAAAATTATTATGCGCACGAAGATAATTTTTCAATCTTCTTTAACATCTGTTATATAATTTGACTATCAAGACTCCAGAGCTTTGAACTTTCCTCCCAAAAGATAGTACTGACCTCGTAAGTGACATAAGCGTTTAGAACCACTTGCAGGACGTTGATGCTCAATATTAGTCTTCGCAAGGTGAAAGGTTTGCGGTTCCTCATCATGGCAGGGCCAAGTTTTAACACAAACACTAGCCATGCCAGGGTAAGCACTGTCACGGGAATAGGGTTGGAGAGAAGTGGCCAGTCACGGGTGCGTTCGTCTGAAATTTCAACCACATAGCAAAACTCATTTTGTTCCTCGTCCAGGTTGTACATATCTTCATTTTAAAATTTTAATACACTGAAACACGCTAGAAAATTTTCAATTGAGCTGCGCGGTACGTGGAAAAAATGTGATCTCATTCGCTACTACGCTCCAGTTTTGACAGGAAGTGATGCTGCACTCATATGAGTGGCTAGGACCATTTTATCATTGGAACTGGACAATTGGAAAAATTAAAAAAAAAAAATAATACATAAGAAAAGAAACATTATGAAAATCATTTTAAATAGTTTATTTATGACAAAAATTAAGTACAACATGTAGTGAATTAAATTAATATATTTTAATATATTATAAGATATTAAAATGATCACGAATGCAGAACATTTTTAAAAATTATTTGCATTTTTTTTTTTTAATATTTACCTGATCGCTCAAGGAACACTGTCTTGGCCCAGTCATATTGCAGGATGAAGGGATCGGTCCAGCCGATAGTGTAGCCTGTGATGTTGACCGTCTGCGCCATTGCCGATGCTCTGAAACGAAAAAAACGCCCAGCGGCTTTTTAGTCAGTCTGCCCAACTGATAGCAGCGCGGAGACACAATAGCGCGCGCGAATAGAGGTGATGCGCCGCGGCCGTAATAAAGATCAAGGACTCCTCTTTATGTTTTTAAGTAGCGCATAGATCTCGCCAATCCAATCACCGCCGAATCGCATGATTGCAAGTAGTGCAAAGTGCATTTACCGTCCACCTTTCCACGTGGACCTGTGCTCGTGATCGTTTTACACTTTGACTCCGAGAGTCGTTCCCCTGTTTCCAGCTGCGATTTTATCAATTTGAATTTGCTCCAAGATAACTCGGCCAAGTGGTGCATGTGTAATTTTCTGCTGCTAGGTCACGATTTTATAATTCATTTATCAGTGAACCAAAAATACGTCCAAGGACTGTTGTGAGCGTGGGCTGGTCACGTTTTTGCTACATGTCTCGTGAATTAAAAAATTAACAGCGCGGATAGTAAATAGAAACTTTATTTTTTGCACCACGTAGAGTTATTTGTGCAATATTCACTTTAAAAAATTGATCAGTGAAGAACTTGCGGAACCCGTACAAAAGTTTTGATGGGGTTGATGCTGGCTGTGGCAATGATTGTCTATTTCTGGCCACTTTGGATAGTTATTGATTTTACATCACGAATAAAATTGGGCATTACTCCGTTATATAATACATCTGAATTGATTCAGGCCCACCGCAAGAGAAATAAATTAATAAAATCACCAACCTAATAAAATTCTTTTTAACGATGGTGAGAGCTAATGTAGTTGAAAATTAATGTGATGATTAATTAAGTTCACCGTCATATTAATTTCTACTCTGCGGTTTTTTACATATCCGGCTTCGCAGTGAACTTAGCACTCACCCACGTATTGATTTTTTGCGCGCCCGACAACGTGGTCGCGAATATTTTTACGCAAAATCTTGAACTGTAATTATGAAGACGGCCTTAATTCGTCAAACTGTGTCTGTAAACAGGAACTTCATGCTTAACTCACCTTGCAAGTTCAAAATTTTGAGCACCGGAACTAGGAAAGCCGCAATATTGACGGCGATTTTGCGCTGTGCCGCGTTGAGTGGTGTTCTTGGTGCAGGGCAGGGCACCGCGACCGGCACCATGCTCGACCGTAGGCGCCACCGCTCGCACCCTCGCGATACTACTGCCCTGCCTCACTCACTCACTGGTTGCCATGGTGACCTCATGAGCACCGAATCTATACCACCAACATCCTTTCATGCTATTTTTTCTGCGCCACCATGCAAGCCTTTGTAATAACAGAAAGGGCCACGCCAGGCTAAAGAATTTTGGACAAATGGATTTCTTGTTTTAATAACACTGTGCCGCAACGCCTGCGGAGTAGCCCTTTATGAAATGCCAATATTTACTTAGTTACATAAATACAGGCTTGCAAAAATTTATATCTTGTCGAGATTATACAAGAAGCAAACTTTGATGATCTAGATTCTAGAAATTTGGAAAAATCAGGGAAAATAAAGTAAAAATTGTAAATATAACTTATAATGTACTTAATTATTTTCTACATAAAAATAAGATCTAGTATTTATCTTTGAATTAGATATAATATACTAAAACTCCAAAATATTAAAATAAAAATTTATAATTTATTTTATTGTCATGAAAATTCAGATGTGCTATTTTTGAAGTTTATATATGAAAACTTTGAACTCACTAAAATGAATAATTATATAATTCAATTTATATTTTAATCCTAAATTATAATTTGTTGCCAGTCTCGGGAGAAAATGGTCCGAGGAGTGAGAAGAGGTTGCGTTCGTCTCAAGGGAGCCGTAATTGGGATAGACGACGAAGACGACAGCACATTCACAGTCACGGTCGATGGGAAAACCTTCCACTTCCAAGCCAGAGATGCCGATGAACGAGAAACTTGGGTCCGTGCTCTTGAAGACACAATCCTGAGACATGCTCAAGCTGCTCACAGGGTGAATATAGTTTAATAAAGTAGTTTTATTCCATAAATTATTTATATGAAATTAAATTTGTTTGTAGCGTTGGGACCCAAGCAAGCCAGCGCCCACTGTCAAAGATTTTGACAAAAAGCTTACGGAAGCGGACGCCTATTTGCAAATTGTGATAGACCAGGTGAAGAGACTTGATAGTTACATCAGCAAGACAGTCGACGAGGAGAGCCGTGTCAGGTGTGAAAACATAAAGCTCCACGCAGAGGACATGCTCGAAAACGTCAAGCATACAATTGCACTGCTGCAAATTGCCAAGGTGAGCTCTCGATTTCATGTGAGATATTAAGAGCATCTATTGTGTCTTTTAACAGAGCACTGCACACCCTGTGAATGGAATTTATCAAGGGCCTGTCACGCCTATGCCTCATATTGATGACATGCAGAGACAAGTACGGAGAGTTTCAGCAGGTAAAAACTTGTTACCTCGACTTGAGACTTTCTTATTATTATATTGCCTTTACAAGAAGTGTAATGCTTCAGAATTTTAGATAAAAATTAAAATATTTGTAATTTCTGTCATAGCTGATTTTTTTATGAATTTTTTCTATGCAGATTTTCTAAACGATCCTATCGTAATCCCTCCGTTAGACCCAGTTCAGACTGGAATTGAATTGGGCGCAGAATGTATGGATCCATCACTGAACACAAGCAGCCTTGTAGCGTCAGGCAAGAGTAAATTGACTTTTGACTGTTCACTATTAATGCTCACCTTACAGCTCTTCCTAACATGGGCGTCCCTGAGACGTCGTACTCGAGTTCTGACGAGGAAGACTTCTTCGATGCTAATGATTACTCTTTGTCCTCGTCGCATCCTGTCTCCCCAACAGGTGCACCATTACAGTGAGTACAATTTTTCAGTTTGGGTGAGTGGATGCGTAAAAATGGGCAAATTGCCATGCTTTCTTTATAATCTGTTAATCTTTATCCAGAAATTAATGGAAATCTGCCAGGACAGTTAGAGTCAAAGGCGAAATTTTTATGCCAGACTTGATGAAAGCCGTAATTAATTTAGTTTTGCGGTTGAACTGCTCCCTGCTGATAATTAGAACAATTGAACTAACTATATATAATTGCGTTTGAAATGGCAGCACCTCATTGTATTTTCCTCTCTGTGCAAATTAGGATTTAAACAAAATAACACAACTCTGTGGAAGAGATTAGTCTGGTTGTTAGCTGCATTTTGCTTTGCTTGGATGGGCAGCTTTAAGCTTGAATGCACTGTTAGGAAGAGTCGCGCCAGAGAGCCACTTTTGTGTGTGTATGTACCAACAATATTGATTAAAGCTTCTGTGTGAGACTGAAGTGAAGCACCAATGTCAAGCACAGAGACTGAGCCAGCTAGGATGTCAAATAGCGCAATCAACTACTTGTGACTTTTGCTAAAAATATAGACAATTCAAGAAATAATTAAATTCTTAATTTAAGAATATTTTAAAAAGAATATTAAAAATAAAAAAAAGTCACAAAATCTTTCACTTTGAATTTTGATAAATTTAAAAAGTTTTTTAAGCAATTATTAATAACCAATCTTCTATTAATCTTTAAATAGTGATTTTAACCATTAAAATATTTATAATTATTACAAATTGGTATAAATTATAAAATTTGTTTTCTGTTATGCTTATACTGTGTTTTTTTATTTGACTTTAAAAAACGGCACTGTTCTTTGGTAATTACCATCAGCAGTAGCTCTGCGTCCTCTAAAGCAAAATTCTGCAGTAGTTTTTACCAGACAAAGCGCCTGAAATACAGCGCAATAAAAAGCAAAGCAAATAGGAGAAGTTTAATGTTTATTAGCGTCATGTGGTTTACACAACGTGAGGGTATTCCCTATTATGTGGAAAATTTCTTTCCGTTGAACTGTTTTGTGGTAATTAAAAACAAACAACCATTTAGTTTACATTTCCCTATTAAATTAAGAGTAATCAATGATTTGGGGATAGAGAAAAATTCTATAGTTATGCCCTCCGTCATTTCAATGGTTCACGCTTCCCCCGAAATCGCGGCTCACCATGCGCGCACCATGACCCATTTTATTTGTCTCGCGTCGAGATCAAAGACGGCTCGCTCGAAACGCGGTCCGCGCAAGTCAAGTAATTCGCGTTCGCCAACAGTCAGTCGGCACACGACACACCATCGAGTGAGCAGCAGCGAGGCCCTTTCCCTCTGGTTACTCGCTCTCAATTCTGCTGCCAAAAGCTCGGTGTCGCAGTGCAAGCTAGGATTTTTACCCCAGCCAAAAACATGGAGGGCCAGTGATGGCCGTCGACCATGATCAGCATCAAGTCCATTTCGTGGCCGTTTGGCCGCCGGAACAGCTCTTCTACAGCCACCAACCCCGCTCCACCGCCAGCCCAAAGGTACGCTCGGCAGCCTTTCGCCCTCAATTTGGTGTGGGGTCCGCACACTTGCGAGGAAAATGTGTCGTCGTTTATGTATTCGCGCCCCGGGGAATTTCGCTGACAAACAAAAATTAATTCTATATAGAACCGAAAATTTGTTTATTTTGCATTATTTTTCGTTTTCTGCTGTTTTTATAAATTGAATGTTTAGTGTTAAATTAATCCCTGTCGGGCCAAGAATATTTTAATTATTTAAACTAGTTTGAAATTAATTTTGATGCTGTTCCAAAGTAATTATTGCGTTTCGGCTCATTCACGCTTCCAGCGTCGCGTGCGATCCGAGTTTAATTATAAATGAAACTAATGCCGCCCATTTATTGATTTAAAATGATATTACTTCGCTAATATCACATGCTGGCTGTACAGACTTTTATCGGGTTATTACAGAGCTTCAAATTATTCATAGCCCATCGTTTGCTTTCAAGTTTCTCAGCCCGACTTTATATTGCATCAATACAATTTAGCTCATCAATACCATTCCCCATCGTCCTTCTGTGGAATTTTGTGTCACATGAAACTTCTTTGGCTGATTGATAAAAAAAAACACAACTTGTCTTTCTTGACGGTACCCGTATTTTGGCTCTCTGGATAATGTATTTGTGAAATTATTGATTTGTTTTGACAGCTTAACAGTTAATTGTGTTCAAAACAACGGTTGCACACAAGCATAGATATTTTACGTAATAAAACATGAATTGTTTTGTTAACTTAAAAACATTTCAAACACACAAGTTAAACAACTCTCAAAAGGCTATGGCTTCATTAATAATTTTGCCGACAAAGCTGGACCCACGCATCCATGATTTCAAGCGCGTCATCAGCGGGCTGTGACCTTTAGGCCCTTTAATATTTGGCTCATAATTTGCTTGCATTAATTAACGAGCGAGCGTCGTTGCATAAAAAAGGGGGTCAAAGTTAATAGGTATGGAACCTACCATGCGTGCACAAATGTTAACATGCACAAGTGACTGTCTTGTGTCAAGCCGCATTGGCACGCTAAAAATGTCTTAATCACTTTGTATGCATATATTTATTTTTCTTTTCTTCTTAAGGAATTTCTGCTTTTCAACTTAAATTAATATTTTTTATCAAACTTGACAGCACCCAATATTGCTTGAGTAGGAACCTAACTTGTGAGCGTGTTTCAAGAACAGAAAAGTCAGAATATTGATCAGGAACCGCCATTCATTTTTTTCTTTATTGGTAACCATTACAGTCGACTCAACAGCGACTCTGCCAGATCAATAAAAAAAATTTTTTCAATTATTTTTCCATTGTTGGGCCTGTCTTTTGTTAGAAAGCAAGAAGTAATGTATTAAAATTTTTATATTTCAAATAATATGTAATTATAATTCTTGTTAACCTCTATAGTTGCAACAATGATTAAAATATATTAGATTTTTAGCATGGCAAAGAATCTTTGGTGCCTGTGTTTTGATTTTATGAAATATCACAAAAATTTGAATCGCCGTACTTTTACCTGCAAATAATCATTTAAATTCAGAGTAAATTTGGCGCAAAAATAGCATGGGCCCAGTAATTTGGTGCTGGTGAGTGGGCCGTCATGCGATTTCTTTCAAATATGTGATTTTTTCTGTCCAATTTTGGCACAAAATTATATCTTTCAATTTAATTTTCCAGCTTGTCGCGAAGAGAGTCACAGGCGAGAGATGCGGCGTCCTCTGCAGCGGCAGCTTCAGGGTCTGGCGTGGCGGTGGCAAGCGAGGGTGGCTCGAGAGCGCCACCCTTGTACAAGAGTGATGGCTCTCTTGACTATGATGGTAAAGACCCCAACCTAGGTCGGTATTCACAAACTTATCTTGCACGAATACAGCTTTCAGCGATTTTTATCCCATTTGTGACTAAATAAGGCGCTCAGTTTTCAATTGTTTGATTTTCTTACTAAATTTTGAAATATTTTTGCACCATGCGAGCTACATTTAAAAAGCTATCCTCACTTTAGTTTTTCAAAGGAATTGGTAACCCTTTGAAAATACTAACAAGAAAAGTTTGAATTAGAATCAGTGATTATGTTTTGTAACGATTCCATGGCGATTGAGAATTTTGGCGGATTTAGCCTTTTTAATTTGTCACAAGGAGTGAAGTGATAAACTGACTATTTGAATTTAAATCTGTTCGATACTGCATTCATTACTGTGTAAAAGTCTCTAGTGAGTAAACTCCATTTATCTTGGACTGACTCCAAGTTTGTACTGTACAATCAACCATGGAAAGCGTTTGCTTGTTTTATCCTTTTAATTGATTTTACGTTTTAGCATTATTCACTTAAATGGAAACATTTCCACCACAGTAATTTTGTGCCTATTATTGTCATTCACATAAAACAACACTCACATATCAGTGTTAATTTATGTCATTTAAAGAAATGTGCAAGTTTTGTTTGGTGATACAGACCTCATTAATATCTGCAGACTGCAGCACACGGAACAAAAAAAACTCTCAAGAGAAATTCAATTGTTTTCATTTTCTTGTCTGTATTTTTCATTCACAATACATCATTCATGCCGAGCTTCTTTTTTTCTAATTGAATACAAAAAGTTTTACGATCACTCTTTTCAAAATTTTTTATTTTGTTATGAAGCTCTATTAGATTGTTTTCTAAAGCAGGCATGGTTTTTGGTTATTATGAGACCAGTTTATCACAGTTCTCACTTGCTTGATTTTGATTTTACAGCCCTGTACGAAGATGACGAGGAACATGACCGTGAGTAGACAATCACTCAACTCATTGACATTAACTCACCTCATATTACTGCAGTTGTTAACATGGAAAGCAATGGCTCTGTGGTCAGTCACCTGATATCACAAGTCAAGATTGGAATGGATCTGACCAAAGTAGCACTTCCAACTTTTATTCTCGAGCGACGGTCACTGCTTGAGATGTATGCTGACTACTTCGCACATCCAGACATATTTGTCAGGTAAATTTTATGTCTTTGTTTCCCAAATTCCTTTTTAATTGTACCAAAAATTTAAACATGGTCATTTAAAATAAAATAATTTTTATTTTAGCATTGCTGATTTCACTGACCCCCGAGATAGGATGGTGCAGGTTGTGCGTTGGTATATGAGTTCCTACCATGCAGGCAGAAAGTCATCTGTGGCCAAAAAGCCCTACAACCCAGTGCTTGGTGAAATGTTCAAGTGCTGGTGGGACGTGCCAGGCATTACCGGACACTCGAAGTCGGCCACAGCTAAAGAAGAGGTCAAAGATGGTCCTGTGCCCTGGTGCCATCAGGACCAGTTGGTCTTTCTGGCAGAGCAAGTGTCTCATCATCCACCAAGTAAAATAATTTGCATGTTGTTTTTGTTTTTACTTACTGTCTCGAATATCTGCAGTATCTGCGTTTTACGCTGAACACTACGAGAAGAGAATAAGTTTTTGTGCCCACGTGTGGACTAAGTCAAAGTTCCTTGGTTTATCAATTGGTGTCCACAACATAGGGCAGGGCTGTGTATCTGTGTTAGATTATGACGAGGAATACATTGTGACGTTTCCTAATGGATATGGAAGGTAAAGCACAAAATAGATTTTATGTAAATTGTTCCACAGCAAACTATTGTTAGCCAATCGGCTAACTATTTTAAATGTGACGTGACATAGCAGATTGGTACGCGGCAAAATATTCGAAGCTAGGAGGCTGGGAAAACCAATTAATTTATTTTTTTAGTTCTTCTCTTGCCTCCTATTTTGTATTGCTTGGAACAGTTTGCTAATTTGCCACAGAATAATAGTTTGTGCTGGAAAAATTTACCGTACACCCACTTAATGGTGCCAAATAGAATTAGGATGTTACAAGAATCAAACAAATGTTTTGTTATTATGTAAAAAATGTTAAAAAGCAAATCAACTTTATTTTAGGTCCATCTTGACTGTGCCATGGATTGAATTGGGAGGAACAGTGACAGTTACATGCAATAAGACTGGGTATAACGCCAACATTGAGTTCCTCACTAAACCCTTTTACGGAGGCAAGAAGAACAGAGTCACAGCTGAGGTGTTTGCTCCTTCTGAGAAAAAACCGTTTTTGACTGTGCAAGGTGAATGGAATGGTGCCATGGAAGCAAAATGGGCAGATGGGGTCAGTTAAGGAACATAGTTTAATTGCGATTTTACATATCCTGTATTTTCCCAGAGGACGGAATTATTTGTCGATGTCAACAAAGTACCAATTATAAAAAAATGTGTAAAACCAATCAGTGAGCAGGAATCAAATGAGTCGAGAACAGTGTGGAAAGAAGTGACTGCGGGTTTAAGGTAGATCCTTGCAAATTTATTGTTTCTGAAGGTTAAGTTGCTCATCAATTTTAGGCTGAATGACCTTGACCGAGCTCACGAAGCTAAAACTTCAATCGAGCAGAGGCAGCGAGACCTTGTGCTGCAAAGGAAAAGTGTTAATGCTGCATGGGAAAATAAGGTACATTACATCTTCAAAAATTGAATAATTTTTACTCACTTCTTATATCCAATAAGGTTTTCCACGAAGCTGGTGAAAATTGGGTTTACATCAGTCCTCTATCTTACCGATTAAAGGCCTCATCAGCCAACACCAAGAGGAAAAATTGATTACTCGCAAAGTGAAGTGAGCGCGTGACAGTAATTTGCTGCCAGGGACCATTTTATAGTTCTCACTAGAGTGATAAGTGACTCTTGAAATTTATCTTTGCTAGTTACACAAGCATTAGAGTTGTGATTAATTTGACCGGGTCATCAGACCTTTGCTAATTTTAATTGCCACCACTTTCGAGCATTATCTCTTACTTCGGGGAGTGTTCAACTGAATACTCAGGCCTACCACACACATTTTATGGCACTACATGCAGCATCTTTTATCCTGAACTCAGACACTGCTATTTCATTAAGTTTACACACTTAAAAAATGTTTAAGGCTTGACCGTCCATTTAAAAGGCCGCTGGTGCAAATTCTTTTGGTGCCACTTAAATGGCCGTCCAGACTTTCTATCCCCTGCTTAATTACTTCTATCGGCTCTCAAAATTCAATGCTTCTGACATAGACTCTTGAATTTTTTTCTACAAGTGAAAAATTTAGTAACAAAGGGCTTGTTGGCTGTAAAAAATACTTTATTAGGAAAAGAAAACTCGCATCTCAAGCTCAAGATGATAAAAGCAGGTTTTATTGAATTTTATGATAAATAATTTACAGGCTTTGAAATTTCAAATAAATTTTGAATTTAGAAAATTTTAATATTTACAGTAAGAACATCAATAGCAAAGGAAAATTTTTATGAATGATTTAATTTATATTTGCAACAAGTTTTGTAACATTTTACTACTGTAATTATAGTGTTAAAAATTATGGGGTTAATGCAAACTTTCAAGCAATTTTTTAATCATAATATTGTTTATTTGTGTATACAATTATTTTTCTAATCTAATTATTTCAGAAGCATCAACCACCTTTTAAAAATGAGTAACTTTTCTTACAATTTCTTAAAACTCATGATTTTTGTTTATTCAACGCCATTATTATATTATTCATTACCATATCCTAAAAATTATGCTCTATTTGCACCGCTTAAAATTGTGTTCAATCAATGCCAACTCTTAATATCTTACTATGCACTACATTTATAAAGCAAATTAATTATAGACTTGAAATTTGCACAAGTATTGGAAATCCAGCTGATAATCTTTACTTGCATTAAGCTAAAGGTTCAGCTCAAACACTTAGGATGAATTTGAATACTGAGTACACTTAGCATCATAATTTATATTAAAATATGCACACATAAAAATCAACTTATATAAAGTCAGGTATGGAAAATAAAGAATAAATATTTATTGAACTGCACTATTATACTTGAATGTCTGGAACAGTGCAATAAATTGAGTATAAATCATTTAAAAGGCAAATTTTCATCTTGAGGTAGAGGGAGAAATATACAAATCTGCTGATCGTATTCAGTCTAAAGATATGTACATACCAGCGGATTAATATTTAATTTACATGGTGTAATTCGATCACATGTTTTGCAATGAATACATATTAGTCTGTTACAAGAGAGTATGAATATATATTAACTGTTAAAAACTTAGTGCAATTTGATTTATCAAAATTTAAAACCTTATAAATTACCAACACTTAAATGACATGCTGATTAATATCAATTCAATATTAACCTCATAAAACTGTACAATTGAATATGCTTCTTTAACAAAAAGCAAAGTTAAAATTCTAGTCTGACAGCAACAGCAAATTCCCGTTATTTCCGATTTTTATATGTCCTGCTCATTCATTCGAATATTTCAAATTATGTGTTCGCCAATAACAAGACTTGCTCAATTCACACACACAAAAAATCTATATCCCCTCCCATGAAAATTGTCTTTAGCTCCGGTGCCATAAACGCTTCAGTGGCTAATCTGTCTTGACAACTTTTTAAATTCAATTGTCCGGTGATAAGGAAGTCAACGAGACTGGCCTTTTTAAACACTAACTGAATAACTCTTGGGCTCTCGGCCCTTGACCTCTTATAGCGAGCGCTGCAATAAAGAGATAAATAATGAGCCTAACAATAACTTATTGTATCAGTATCAGCACATAGCACATAGTTATTATTTAAAGCATCGTGCATTCCACGCGCGCCTACTTCAACACCAACAAAAGGAGACACTTTGTTAACACGCGCGCTGATGAATAAAGCAACACGTCTTTCTTGCTCATCAGCGTCTGATAATAAGTTTGCAGCAAAAAAAAAATAACTAAATCTGCAGAAAGAAATTTGGTAAATTAAATTTGGATTAGTTGCATACAAAAATTAGCAGTGAGATGTCAAACGTTAAACTGCCTATTTATAGTTAACAGAGAAAAAAAAATTAATTTTTCATTATTTATTTACAAGACATTTTTAATTTTCATAAAACTTTTTTCTGTCAAAAATATTTGTATAGGTAAATATACTACACATCACTATTTATGAAGGACTTGTTATCTTATGCATAAAATTATAATGCATAATGTAAACACTTCATTAATTTTATTAAAAAAAAATTCTTAAAATAACTTTAAATTAATTAATTTGTTAATTTATTTTTGCAACTACATTCAATGGCGTTTTTTCAGCACAAAATTAAATTAGCTATAAAGCTTTGCTCTTTTGCCACAATAAAATAAACTTTGCGTTTCTCTCATGAAAAATGCGCATTTTCGCCAGATGTATTCTGGAATTTGACACCCATTTTTGTGTAAAACCAGAACACCACGTTGACATCCAAACTCTCGGTTCCCACAGCACCCATCTCTCGCCGCAGCCATCGTCATGTGTTTTACACATGCCGCTGCGTATGTTAAAAATCTGGCTGGCAGACAAGCGAGACTTTAATTACACATCAAAATGTGGAAAAGCTAAGGGCGATGATAATGAGCAGCTAACAACGCGTCTTCATTGTTGAAATAAAACCAAGATAGTATTACTGCAAATAAGATTAAAAAAAAATTCGCCCTGAGAGATGAATCATCACTCTGCAGAGAGAAATAATAAGAGTAAAAAGCTGTGTGGTCCATTTTATATATTTTTCGTCATCCAACACTTACTTATTCCCATGATTATTCTTTTTATCTTTTTCCTATAAGCGCTCCTCGCTAGACTAGTTTTTGTATTTAAAAAGCGGCGAAAGCTTCGTTTTTCCACAAGAGTTATTGCGTGTTCGCTGCTCGTTTCTTTGCTACAGATAATAATCTACAAGATACTTCAGAGTGCAAAATTTCCTTGTTTAATAATATATTAGCACGGGATTCCTTTACTATAAAACGCGTCCAACCGACATACGGAGATTTAATCTAGTCAAGGATGGGGTGGAGGGTGCAGGTGGAATTTTTTGTTATATGCCGAAAAGCGCGAGAGTCACGGCGCAAAAGGTAAAAAGCCTGCAGGAGAAGCGAAAGGCCGCGCGCGGACCGTGGCTGATCTTTGTTAAATAATAATAATAGGGGAGATAGAAGCATGAGAGCAAGTGCGGGCCGCAGATCTCAAAACCATAAAACAGCACAGCAAAAGGAGTGTGAGAGAAGAGAGAGAGAGAGAAGGATCCTGTGAGATGGTAGGGGCTTCTTGGAGGTGGGAGATCTACAGCCTCTCGATCACGACCTTCTCAAGTGCGGGCTTTGTGTATTGATTTTTATATATATAAAATCTAGAGAAAGAAACCACAGACTTCACTTTTAATTTAATTATATATTTTATTTTTATGAAATGAGATTAATAATTTTTTTTAGTGATTTTAGGTCATGTTGCAAATAATCGACTTAGCTTCACGAGATATATTAAATGATATATTATAATTATAAGTTTTTTTTATGAAAATTAAACTTGATTTAACTGAATTTAGCTTAAATTTGTGCTCATTTTTGATCCATTTCAATCTTTTCACACCATAGAACAGAAAAAATTATTTTAAATAACAGGTTTATATTTTTTTTTTTAATTATTTAATATTTTGATTATGTATCTTAATTTGGGCAGGGATTGCCTCGTGCGGCCTAGTGGTAAACCAATAACAATTTATTTTCAATTAAACAGCAATAATTGAATTGTAAGCTAAAGAGTGTGAAGATAGATTTTATATTGCTTTCCATTTATTTTCAATTCACACTGATTCACACAATCACTAATTTTATTATGAATTATAAATAATATTAATAAATAAAATATCAGTTCAGTCTATAACGATATCAAATGATCTTTCAAATTAAGATTAAATCTAATGTGAAAAATCCCCAATAATTCCTTCCAAATTTCCTTTCTCCCTTTTTTTATTGAAAATAAAATATATTTAATTACTTTCAACGACAACTCCGTCAAAACACTTTCCGAGTGAAGAGCAAACCAAAATCCAAAACAAAATAAAAAAGGCCTAGATTGTAAAATTATTATTACATTCTAATCCAACCTTATCCTGCGATCACCTAGTTTTGAAAATCACATAATTTAATCAAATTGATCAATTAAAATATTACATTTAATCTTTTGTCTCAAATTAATAATTTTTTATTAATTATTCCGACATTAATTTATATTTGATTTGTCTTAAAAAAATTCATCTCAAAAATACAGCTACAAAAAAGGGTCAAATATACTACGCGCTTGAGTTAAACTTCTGAATACTGGTATAATTAAATAAACGAACAAAATAGTCGTTATAAATCCATGATAACAATTAAGTTCAAGATTTGTAATTAATTATCATGTTCTTTTATTTTTTATTAATTTTATATATAACAATAGAAAATAATTGAGTGAAATAAATTTTTCAAAATAAAATTTTATTTTAGATTCGCATTATGTATCGGAACTATCAAAACCTATAAGCGAGCGAAACGATTGCAATTTTTATAGCCTGTTTACATTAGCGCGAAAGGAATGTGTGCGCGGGGAGCGAAATCAGAGTCGAGCCCGCGTGAGCAGCAGGCCCCGCAGCCACCTAATGGGCGGCAAATTGAGAGAAGAATAAAGAAGCGAGCGAGGCAGGCAGGTTGGCTCTCTTTTCTCCAACAACAACAACGTGGTTTCCGACAAGGCCGTGACTCAGTCGAGATCTCGTCCTCTCCGCGTGTGTGTGCCGAGTGACGCGCCAACTGCGGAGAAAAAATAACGTGAGCGACGAGGAAACGGTGCCTCAAGTAAGTGTCCAGCATGTCCGGGACGGCGTCGGACTTCATCCAGCTGTGATCGAACATGAACGGAAAACGGCCGAAGAAGGAAAGGAGGCCATCAGGTTGGAGCAGCGACTCGAGCAGCATTCCGTACGCAGACGCCGACAGTGGCGACCTTGACGTCCGCTGGGACACTTCGGACAGCAGTTCGGCAGACGAGGCGGCGCCGCCGCCGCGCAACTGCACGTCGTCGGCCAGCGGCGGCGTCGACAGCTGCAGCCTGAACAACCTTCTGGACGCCCTGGCCGAGGTCGAGGGAGGCGTGTCCGCCGCCTACTCGTTCTCCACCCTGCTGGACAGCGACCTGGACGTGCCGGACGCGCCTCCACTGGCAGGCGGTTCGCGGCCCAAAGGGCGCGGACACACGCTGCCTCGGCAGCGAGTGCGATGGGACGACGGCGCCGCCGACGCCGTCCAACTCACGCCGGACGAGTTGTACTACTACTGTCCGAGCGGGCCTCGCAAGCAGCAGGTGGCCAGCCACAACAACAACGGCTCCCTGCTCAAGAGCAGACAGGCCGGTGATAGGAAGAAAAGTGCGACCCTCGACAACGCGGCCCACGTGGACAGGTCCAACTACCTGTCGCGTCAAAAGGTTGGTTGATTTCTTTTTTCACTCTTCCTTTCAAAGTTGTCTCGGACGTAATAATGCTGGCAGATGGCCAAAATGCATAATAGTGGCCAAAGAAAACCTAGACTTGAAATTTAAACATTGAGAGTTTATTTAATGTGAAATAGTAAATATACTTTTTCTAATTAATCCATTTATTTAAAAATTTTCGACAGTTAATCAAAAATCCTTTTTATTTAAATACTCGCTTTAAATAAAATTAATTAATCTTATTAAAATCAGAATTGAGATTGACCATGAGAAAAATGAAAACAAATTTTCTGGCTTACGAGTTGCATTTTTTAGTATTAGGGCAAAATCGTGATTGTCCCGCTCTTGTTTTTTTCTCTTAATGTTTTAATTGATTGCGTTTCTTTTTTATCCGATAGTGCTCACTCGCATCCACCTTAATTAATGATCCGAACGTGGGAAGCTCAATGAAAATTTCAATTGCACAGTTTTATAGCTGCCGTCCGACGCCATTCATCAGGATTTTAGTTATGAAGCGTGACCTTAATTAGGTTTATTTAAAAATTGGCCTACTTCTGCATACACAGGCGGTTCGCGCGCCGCTGTAAAATCGGCTCTCTTATTTTACACTGAGAGACGCAAGTCGTAAAACCAACCTGTTCTCTATTATTTGCTGAAGCATTTTCGTGCAAAATAATAATAAATAATTGAAGCACCAGAGAAAAAAAAAGAAATAAAATAAGAAGGGTCTATTTCTTTCCAAACCATGAATTATTATTGTGCACCTTTAAAAGGCAGGAAGTGAAAAGCACAGGAAGTCCTGATTTTTATTTTTATTATGCTTGACCAAATGCGACGTGCGGAGTGATTGAAATCTGTAAAGCGTGCCATTAAAAGGGAATCCACTTTGAATGAATTGAATTTTTCCATATTCATTGGTGGCGTAATAAATTTTCCTGCTCCTAAAAATGGAAGCCATTCGACGGCCATAAAATAGCTATCTGATAATAAAAACACTTTTATTTCCTCCCACGCCTCCAGTCATTCAGCCTCAGTTGGTTTTGTTCCTCATCATCGAGTTCTAATAACGGTAGCCAATTTTTTTTTGTTTCTGCAAAGGCATAAAAAATTCCGTTGCTCTTTGAATGGCAACCTCAATTGAAATAATGGAAGCCTTTGTCTCGTCTATGCCCGAGCCAAATAATGGAAATTTAAATAAACGTGTTTATTGATTTTCGGATTGGAAATATCAAAGGTGCGTTGTTTTTGGCCTCGAGAGAAAATAAAAAAAAGAGAGACCGCCGATTTCACATTCTCGTAACAGAGGCCGGCACAGGTCCGTCTGCAGCCCAGCGTTGGCCTCACCGCCGACTTTTCTGCTCTTTTGGCCCGCCAAGAAAAAGCCTTGCTTGCTCACTCGCTTTGTGTTTTCTTGCCTTTTATGGTGAAAACCTCCCCCAGATTCTCTGCTTACAAAAAAGCGGCTTTGGACATGCAAGAGAAGCAAACAGTCGCGCTCGCCGCGCACTTGTTTCGAGAACTGGATTATTACACTTTCCTTTTTTAACAATGCTCGCTGCGAAAAGGAGGGAGCGTGCGGGGAAATAATGCGTGATAATTATTGATTCGCCCGAATTAGAGTTGTTTGCGAACAAGGAAATTCCAGAAACTCGCTCGAAATGCTGCTTTGGTAAAATTTATGTGCCCACAAATATTTCGCTGAAAATAATCACTAATCTGCTAAAAATAAAGAGATCATAACTTGAAAATAATCACAAATGTGTTGCAAAAATTTAAACTGCTTAATTTTTTAGTTGACATTTATTCCATAGCATCAAAGGATCCAAATCATTCCTTACTGCAAAACTCGGAAACAGTTTTCAAAAGTTAAAAAAAAAGAACAAAAATTATTTTAGGGTAAAAAAAAATTAAAAAAAAAAAACTATCATTGGTTAATTTTTTTTTGCAAATTCTGGTGTTAAATTTTTCACGGTTATTTATTCTTTATTAATAATTTAGACGTTTGCTGCAGATATATATGCATGAATTGTGAATGTAATATTAAATAAATTATATTGAGCCTGACGTACATAAATAAAAAATAAAAAATTATGAATACTAAAATTCTAGTGCTTTTTCTTTGAATTTTATGATTTCTTTTTAATGTTTACCCCAAAATAATATTTCAAAATTTTTTTCCCTTTACATTTGCAAAGTTTATCAATTTTGTTTGCAATAGCCAATGTCTTTAATGTCATTATCTTACAAAAACTGGTTAAATTAATTTTACTGCATTTATATTTATGTTTATATTTGTTCAAGTTTTGAATTATTTATTATTGAATTAAAATGAATTTTTGTCAATGATTTTTCTTCAAGAAAACAACTTAAATATATTAATTTCAAAGCAATTTCTCCGCCAAATGCGCTGTTTCAATCTCAATCTCCAAGCAGGAAGGTCGCCCTTTTCACGTCCTTTGTGTGTCTCCCACTAACACGTCAAATGAAAATGTATATCAATTAACCTCTCGACGCAGAGAGAGGGATAGAATTAAACCAGGAAACGGTTTCGCGGCACTCGAGCATCGTCTTTCAATCGGCGGCCGCCGCGTTCATGAAATAGTCAAAGTCGTCAAAGTGGCTGAACCTCTCGAGCTGCCGCTGTTTGAGCAAGTCTGTGAACTTGAGCTCCTCCATAACCACAAGTTTGCAAATGTCAGGGGCGCCGTCATTGATCTGGTAGGTAAACACGGGGTAATCTTTGCTCGCGTCTTCGGGCGGAATCACTTTGTCGATGCACAGCGCCGTCAGCTTCTCGTTCAGCCCTTTCAACTCGGCCACCTTCCTCGCCATATTCGCCCTGCCGTACTCGTCCACCCGTTTGCGGAACTTGCGTTTGAAGTGCTCGTAAATTCTGGCGTCGGCCCCGTTGGCCTGCCGCAACTTTTCCTTCTCCTCGTCGGTGAGGACGGTGCGCGCCCCCGAGTTGGACGGACGCGCGTTCAGCTTGATGAACGCCACTTGCTCCAGCGGCCAGCACATTAGCTCGGCCAGCAGCACCAGCGACACCTCCATGTGCTCTGATACCATCACCAAGTCAAATTCCGTGTCCATCATGCCGATCAGTGTGTCCACCTCGTCTTTGCTGTCGAATTTGTTCGCTGCTAATCCAGCGTCAAAGGCCATCTGCCGATTAAAATAAAGAAATTCAAATAGGATTGTATATTTTTCAATTTGAAAAAAAAGAATAATTGGAAATTCATTTAATATTTTTTTAATGTCAGTAAAATTTGTTTTAATACTTAATGCTAAGTATGTTTTGACCAATTGACCAATAATTGTCATAATTATTAAAATTTGACGAATATTTCTAACCGCTTCCAAAACATTTTTAAATTAATACCGAATACATTGCAACGCGTACCAACCTATCTATTCAACAATCTAGCCATTGCAACAGAAAACCCACTGATTTCAAATTAATAAACACATTTTCCGGAGTAATATTTTAGAAACCAGTGGGACTTGCTAATGACGGGTCGACACCTAGCTAAAAAACAGGTTTGTGGAAAACCATGTAGCTGGAAATTTTTAATATTTGAAATATTGAAGAAGAATCCAGCAATGATAGTTAATATATTTTGGCTGTTTTCTGCAATTTAAATTTGCATTTTATTCAGACCAGGTTAGTGTTTTCTTAAATTTAAAGCATTTGTGTTTTATTGTTTTGCAAATATATGCAAAAGTCCTCAAATGTTCTCTCTAATGACGCACTGTCGAAATTTACTTTTGAGTGCCTGAAACAATTTCAGCTTTTCATCTAATTGAAGATTTCTTATGATTTCTTCTATAAACAAATAGCTTGGTGGTTTTAGATTTGGAACTGTTGATATATTTACAAAGCGATAAGCCTGCAAAAATTTATAGCTGCCATAAATATTTGCAAAGCAAATAAAATATCATCCCAGACGTTATTTCTGCAAATTTAGAGTATCATATTTTTACACAAAGGAACTTCTATTAGCTTGGGAAATGACGGTAAAATTTTAGCATTCAAATCAATGATATTACCTGGTTGAAACCAATTCTTCCGCCCCACCGCTGATGATATTTGGCCATTGATTTGAGCTGCTGCAGGTCGTATTGGAGCAACGCCTTGAGCGACGTCGCGTAGCCCCCTCGGTTCAGTTTGTAGTAGTTGTAGAGAGACTCGAACAGCTTGGCCGGCTCTCTGACGATGGCGACCTTCTTAACGTCCGAGGGCATGACCTCTGTGACACCGGCGGGGCCGAAGCGGCTGTGGTGCGTGAAGATGTCAAAATGCTCGGTCGGCCTGAGAAAGCGGGCGTCCACGCAAGACTTGCTGAACGGCTCTGGATGGCCCAGGTAGTGCCCTGCGGCGACCGACACATTTTATTACTCAGCACGTCTCGTACCGAGAGTACAGTTAATCAGCAGCCGAGGCAATGGGAGATGCATTGAACAGTGGCTGCGCCAATTATCGTTATCTTTCGTCACGTCAAAGAGCACTCGCTGCTCTAGGCACAAAAGCTCATTTGAAATCTTGACCAAGATCAGTGCACTCTGCTCAACTTTAAGCATCTTTAAAAACTCCACTTTTTTGTTTAAAGACTTTTTTTTAAGAAAAAGAAGAATAAAATGTTTCTTAAAGCGAGTCATTTCCCCCAAATTTTAATGAAATTTACATTTAATTCTTTATCATAAATTTATAGCGGCACTGATTTTCTAAGAACAAACTTTAATTTGAAAGGAAACGTTTAGAAAAAAATCTGCTTGAAACTTCTAATTAAATTTGTTCTCATGCTTTGTATCAGAGATACAAATTAAATATCTTCAATATAATATGATTTAAATATTATCGAATCAATCTTTAAATGAAGGAGAAAATGAGGGTCAATTATTTTTCAATTACCTTCTTTTGGAAGTACAAAGTTTTTCTCTCGGAGGTATCCTCGCCTCATCAAAATGTTTTGCACCGTCGAGCTCCCGCACTTGTGCACTTTGAGGAAAAATATGTGTTCCTTGGGGATGCACTTGGTCCCGAAAAGTTGCTCATGGTAAATGTCTGTGATTCTGCGCAACCAAATTATTATTTCGTGTTAAAAATTCCGAAGAATTTACATTTCATTTCTCTGAAAAATGTTAATCACGCCGTAACCAAGTATTGTTGCAAAGATAAGAAGAAACGTCAGGCGAGCTTTCGTGTTCATTTTAAAATCCTTTTTTTCACCTCATAGTAATTCAAAAATGCATGCCAAAAATCTGAAAGAGCAGAAATATTTTAATTTGTGAAGTGTTCAGCTTGTAAAAATAAACATAAGATTTTTCCATTAAACAATGAGAATTGATTTTTCCAGTCAAAACGTTCTTTCAGTCACAAGATTTCGATATTACCAATAGAAAAACAAGAGTCCGATGTTATTCATGGCACAAGCGATCCTAGACTAAACTTTTTCTCATTTGCTTTGCTGGACGCACAGGCGGTTCAACCTCAAGCCTCCCCAAAGGTATACACCAGATAAAAATGTCTTTATCTAAAAACACTTGATAAATATTCTGTTGCCATCTCATTATTCTTTCTTATCATCGATTATCTTGTTCACATATTGGCATGAATTATGATTGGCCAGATTTAAGATGTAACTAATATTGAATAAAAATATCGGAGTTAAAAAAGAAATAAAAACGTCATCGTTTATTATTTATTATCTTATCTGAGATTTGTTGAAGTTCATCTGTTTGAGCGTGCAAATGTGGGATTTGTGCAAATCGTGCGTACGTACTTGTCGGCGGGGAATGTTCGCCGGCAGTAAATGGTCGGGTGGCGCATTCGCTGCAGGCAAAGATAAACAGCGGCTCAGGTCCGGTTGACAAATGACTGGCAGGCCGTAGGGTTGCGGTCAGACCGGTTGGGGCGACACCATTATTGAATGAAGTGAACACCACTCGTCGTCGTTGCTTACACAACATTCCACCCCATTAACTCGGAGCTGCATCTGCCGCGAACCACCGCGAACCATTTGCGCTCAGGGATGTCTGCGTTGGGAAATGCGCTGCAATTGTTTACGGTGGCTCGCGCGCGTCGACCTGCAATCGCAATAGAATCGGGTCAATTGGAATCAAATAAATGGTATTGGAAAGATCAGGCAAAAATTTCTAAAGCAATAAAGAGATCAGGGTTGCAATAGAAAGTGATAAAACGTGAGAGATGCAAGGGTTGAAAGTGCCAATAATTTAAATTGAGATTAATCAAAGGAAAAATTAAAATATATATGTTTCACTTTAATTTATTTAATATTGATTTTGGATTCAAAATTAATTAAAAATAAATACAGTACGAAACTTACCACAAATTTAATCATAATATAGTCATGCCAGTAAAAATTAATTAACCCGATTTTAAAATCACATTCATAAGGAAAATTTGAAAAGATTTTATAATCCGAGAAATAAATTAGAAAATTTTACACAAGTAGGAAAAGGAAATAATCTTTCTGCTTTTTTTTTACTAAATATTTACTAACATGTAGTAATTCTCTCGATAGGTTTCAGGTAGAAATTTTTACCTGCGGGTTGCCTTCGCAACAAAAATTCCAACCATTTGACAACCCAACTTGTTCAATGAAGCCGACCCTGCTCATGTACTCTTAAACTCCGGGATAAACATAAAAAATCACAGCAAAAAGCTGTTGACTTTTTTTCTCATTTTCTGCTGTGTTGAGGGAGCCGCGGCGACTTTGCAAGCGCGCCGCGATCAATTGTTCTGCACGTTTGCCGCCATGTTCTCTCGGCTCTGTAGCTCCGCAGTTTCGCGGCACACAATTCCGGTTAAAATCCATCTTGATTGACACATACATATGAGCTGAGAGCGAAATCAATATTTCTGGTTGCACACTTTGGATCAATTGTGTTCCATCTCTGGCATCCACAGTGAATGTATACGATTGAGCGGCGTTATCACGCGCAATGCTCAAATAATTGCTCGCCAGCGCATATCACTTGAATCGACCGTACATCCGCGCTGATTGATGTGCTTGTGTGTTTTCCTCCTGCTTCTTGCCGTCCCGTTTAATTGATCCGGCAATACTCAAATTACAAGCGGCGTCGTGTTTTTGCGAATCCCATTTGACCATCATTTGGACTTTTGTTTACTTGCGTAGTATGGATCCGTGTTTTTACAAAGGCTACCATCCAGAATGGGTACTCGTTTTTCTCATTATTAGAAATTTTCTGGAAATTGTAAAATATTTAATGTTAATATGGCTATTATAATGATTCAACCTCGAATTTTCAAAAATCATAGCAGAGAGAATTTTTTCTTCATAATTTTAATACAACGTGCTAATAATTAGCAAACCCGCATTATGTGTGTTTTTGTTTTTAGATAACTTTACTAAAAATGGAAATTAAATTAATTATTTTTATTTTTTGACAGCATAAATGGTAGAAATCTTTATCTGTCCTTGAATTTGTCACATGAAAATTTATAATCATATAAGAAAAAAAAAACTAACCTATTTTTCTCACATTTAATTTAATTTTTTCGTTCACAACTTCAGTTAATTTAAAAAATAATTGGAGTTCCAGTTAGTAAAATTAATTACAGTTGAAAGCTTTTTCTTGTAAAATAACAAAAATATCAATTATATTTTTACATTATGATGTGTCTGTTCTTCTGCAGCGACTCTAAGCGCTCTAATGGTTTCTTCCAATTTCTCCAGATACAGGATACAGTCAGCGAAAACGTGGGACCCTTTGAAAGCAGCGGAACTTTGCACTAAGAACGGAAATTTTGCGCTTCCCTTGGCTTTATTTTCTCAGCCGAAGCGAAGATTAGCCATTGGCAAACCCTTTCTCTTGCCTTTGTTGGAAAATCCTCCCTCCTTCGCACACGGTTGGCCCATCATCAAAATTCAATTTGCCGGAGTGGTAATCGGTGTAGCGAACGAGAGTCGTTGCCGATATTAAATATAGAATTCGGGCAAGGGAGCGAGCGAACCACCGAATAGCGGCGGCACGTGGAAAGAAAGAATTGCAAGTGTTGCCACGATTTGAAGCTCACTCGGCTGGAGTTAAAGATTTATGCAACCCGCGAGGCACGCCGGCTTAACGGGTCGTCTAAATCCGATTAGGTGTGTTAGAGCTGGAAATGCTCTCTCCGCACAGGAAAGGCGGCGGACTGAAATTTGCGCGAATGACGACCGAGTGATTTTTCCTGTTCCAGCTGGGACCAGTCCCGGCTAGTCGTTAATTTGCGAGCTGTCAGGAGAAAGCAGAGGATTGGCAGATCGTTTGAATTTTATTTTCACTCGCAGCCATCACACATGTTTTATAATTCAATTTTTATTTCCAGTTTCTTCCATCTGCAAGATCTAATTTAGAAATGATCATGACAATTGTTCTTAAAAGAGTTATTTCGGTATTAAAAATAATTATTATTTATCAATTCAAAGTTCAAACATTTTTTTAAATTCATAAAATATGATTTGGTTTAATGAAAGTTTATTATTTAGTTCAAAAACTAATACATTTTATAGAAAATCATGTGTAAGAATTAAAATATAAAAACATGCATTATTATTCATCACTACAAACACCTGTATTTGATGGAAAATTTTATTGTTCGGAAAATATTGAACATTTTGAACTTTAAAGGGAAAATATAGTATGGTTTTTTTATAATTTGTATTGAGTGTGGAGACTAGACTTCTAACCTCAATTTATATTACAATGCAAAAGTTGAAAAATGACCGGTAGAAAATGAATACGTTTTATTTAATTATTCAGATATGATGAAAGCACATTTTCTAATTGCCTTTTAATTTTAAAATCAATCTTGTACAGGTTTTCAAAATCTTACCAACACATAAAAAAAATGTTTGTTCAAAATCTGCAGATTTAGTGCACGGGAAGTGGAAATTGGAGGGACTGTAAATTAATTAATTGTTCATTGGTTGATCAACTTCAACTTTTGTCAAATACTATTGCTATACAATATCATATTAAAATAATTTTAACATACATACTAATTAACTTAATGAAGCCTAACAGTCCCGAAATTAATGGGAAAATAATTTCAAGTTAAGTTTCCAAAACATCTGGGCGGTTGAGAAAGGGAGGAAAATTTTGCGGTTTCCAGAACCGCTCTGGCGTGCGAGGGTTGTTTATCAAACGATCCTTTTCGGGTGCTTTCATGTGTCTCAAGCAACCTTTGTGGATTTTGAGAGCTGGACCTACGTCGCTTGTCCATGCCGACTGACAACATGTTGACTTGACAGCGGTGAAATTAAAACGGCCTCCGCACAGCCCATACGCCCGGCAAATTTCTGCTGTAGGTAGGCGGCAGCCCTTTAATAACGATGAGCGAACCAACCAGCGGCGCTCGCCGCCCCCGCTCGGCGCCGCCGTGCAAACGTCAAAGTTCCTCTTCATGTGTCTAATGTGGGGCACTCTCTTTGCGAACCGATTGGCGGCCGGCCGACTGACCGACCAACCGACCGGGACGAAAATTTTTCTCTAATTGGAATTCTCGCTCGGTGAATTCCTCGCAACTCTCATTTTGCCCGGCGGGACGTGTGAGCACAAATATTATATATTTGTATGATTTGTGGCACTCGCAGTTTTTTTTATGGCCGCGCTCCACATTAAATAAATAACTATTTGGCATGACACTGAACGGACGTTATGAATTTTATGGTGCTGCATGAGCAAAGTTTGCGGCCGCTCCAGTTTTGCAGTGTTCAGATGGATGGACGGAGAGTTTGCGAAATGTTTAGTTGTTTGTTAGTCCATAAAATAGAGGTTTATTTATCACCATCTATCTACTTTTACTCAGTTAAAGCAAGAAAAATTCATTCATTCATTTTTATATATTTTTTTCTCTCACAATCAGAATCAGCTCAGAGTAAAATGTAATCTCGATATAGGCAGGCATTGCATCTGTGATACATCAATAAATATTATTTGCAACTATATTAATCGATATTAATAGTTTTTAAATTTCTTTGTTAATTAACATAAAAATCCTGTATTAATACAAAATTATCAACTTTAAAATTGTCTTTGATTAAGTTTTTTTTTAATTATTATTTATTTGATTATGTGATTTTTGTATTTTTTAAGAAATTAAAAATTAATTATAAATCTGTAAGTGGTTATATTATATTATTTTATTATTAAAAGAATTTTCTTTCTAGTCTATGTTCCTAAAGACGTTGAAAAAAAGAAAAAAATACTTCCCCATACAGTAATTTATTAATTAATAATGGAAAAATTGTGTTCAACTCGGGAAAAATAGTGTATAAATTCAAAATGTTATTATTAGAATTTAAATCCTCATTTAAAATAACATGAATTATTTCCATATTTATAAAAAAATTAAAGAAAACATCAACCACTATTTTTGTCACTTAAATTTAATTGTATGCAAATGGATCATTCAAATCTGTGCCGAAAATAAACTGCTTGGAAACCCGATTAACTTTGCAAACACAGGGGTTATATGGATTTGACAGCAGTGGCAAAACTTTTTCTTATTCTTGAGCCAGCTGGATGTTGATCACACAACCGAATCCGTACGAAAGTGTCACTCCCGCTGAGCTCGTGTTTCTTTTCCGAGTAGACAAGGGGCACATTCTAATAATTGGTGTCTTCTCAAACGCTTCCCGCGGGAATTTTGCAGGGGCAATTTTCGCAGTAGAGGCAAAAAGTGATGTATTGCTCGCTGTGTGGGAGATAAATCCAGCGGTGCCGCTCGCTGCCCTGCAGCAGCTGAGAATCCACAAAAGGTCTTTGACACAATTTTCCGTCGCCTGCTTGCGCGTGAATTCCAATTTCCCTAAGCGATGCGTGTGCCCCTTTTTGCCGAGATCACCCTCCAAATACCAACCAACTCCATCCGCAGCCCAAAAAAGTCTGCAACCTCCCCAACTGAACAGACGTTGCGCGATCGGTTGCGTACGAGAACAAGCACAAACACACACGCACCCCTTTTATTACTCTGCCAGATAGCGGCGTTGTAAAAAAAACGGAGGTGGTACCAAATTTTCTATTACTTTGAAATATATGTTACGTCGGCATTCTGACAATGAGTTCGCATCGGTTTCATTATTGATGCTTGCCAAACTAATTATTCTCAAATTAAGAATTGGTCCAAAAAACACAAACTTCAAAGAAAAAAAATCAAGTGTTGCTTGACTCTTTGTGCAAACAAGATCCATGTAAATGAGATCCGAAACGAACGAAACAGCAAAAAATTTATGCTAGAGATTTTGAGTTTTTTTTTAATATGAAATGAGAAAAAATCTTAACGAGTTTGACAACTTAAACGTATTTTCTCTGTTTTACAATCCGTTTTTTTATTGTGGCCATATTTTTTTATTGTTTTTATAAATTTTTGATTAAATGTTTTTTTTTCATAGAAAACAGAAAAGATAATGTTTTATTACCCTAAAACTAAAAATATTTCAAAATAGCTACAATTTAAATTCAAACGAACCTCTGCAAGCCCACAAAGGAGCTTTCCAAATATTTACTCTACTTATACAATAAACTACTTGATAGACAGCTTTATTGAGCAGACCCTAAAGCTAGAAGGCAAATGTTTTTTTTTATTGAAATTCAAACGCCTCCATAATCAATCAACATCACTCGAGCACGCTGTGTTTCCAACTCTCGTCCTAGATTAGTTGAGCAGGTTCAACAATGTGGCAGAATCAATTAACGGTCCTAAATCAACCTCGTCTGTTTACTTTAGGCTGCAAGAAGCAGCGTCGCAGACTTTGCCACAATCTATCCTGCTCAAAGTTTTTTAATGGACACAAACGAATATCCCAATATACTCGAAAGTGACAATCCGAGTCTTGAATTGCCGAAGAAAAACGTTTATCAAAAGTCTGGTGCGGGTCGTAACATTCGTCCCCCTTTGCAAACAAAAGGTCTTTTCACTCTTTTTTGTTCGGAAGGCAGATTGAATGGAAAGGGCACGTCGAAGAGGTTGTCGCCGGCGTGTGCGAGCGAAGCAAGTGGAGCAAGCGAATTATCATATTTTGGTGCAACAGCTACATATCGAGCCCGACAAAAGGGCCGTGCATGCGCACCGTTTCCATGGAGATGTACGCTTGTGCTCGAGAGCAGAGCGAGGCAGCATCCCGGCGGCTTCGGGCTCAGTTGGGCAGCCCTCTTGGCACGTCATGTGCTGTCTTCAGGCGGAGCGAGTGTTTCCAGCCTCGTCGGAGAGTGACGATGAGAGTTGTTCCCTCGAGCTGAGGTTCGCCCGCCACCAACGCCACTCGCCCAACGCCAGAATGCACTGGGGCTCCTCAGCCGACTCTTCGCCGCACGAAGACGAGAACGACCCTTTCCCCGGTCTCCACTCGGTCATGAGCAGGGCGCTCGGACCTGGTCGCAGGTCCTTTTCCTCCTCAATCGTCGCCGATCTCGCTTCCGTCTCGGGGCCCGAGAGGACGGTATGTTTATTATTGATACTTCCTTGATGCCTGCCTGCGTCTGCTTTTCATTGATTATGTTAGCGGTGTCGAGTTTATAATATGCTCCGTATTAAACTTACTTCTCAAAGTTTTACATGGAAAAAGATTTGGAAGCTGGTTAATTAAAATCTGATTAAAATGTTTAATTGCAAAATTTACGCTAAATAAATTTTCAATCAATCAATATTTTTGTAACCAAAGTTTCAAATTCCCTAGAAAGTAAAGAAAATGTTAGTTAAAATTTACTAGTAATAAATCTCACAAAATCTAAATCTATTCCATTGAAACATTTCCACTTTTCAATAGCATTCAATATAACACAAAATCTGTGAAACCCTTGTGTAAATTTTTATTATTATTTTTTTTTTATTATTAAAAACTCATAAATTGACTTTTTTTTTAATAAACCGTTATTTTATGTTTTATTTTCAATTTTCTTGTATTAAATGTGAATTTCTTTTTAATGTTGATGCGTGAATGATTTTTTTTCCAATAGAGTAGCCAAGAAATTTAAAGTTAAAATTTTTGAATTAAGATAATAATAAATAAAGTGATTTTAATTTTCTCCTGGGGAATGTGGCAGTTGATTACTGAAAGCGGATTTTGGAAAATTGACGATATCAAATTCCTTTTGAAAAAGCAAAGTTGCGTTCAAATGCGTTAGTAACGCCCAAAGTTGAAACATTATCAAATTTTATGCTTCCCCTAACGACAATTTCAGTCTGCACGTGGAAACTGGAGTGTATAAAAGCTCTGAAATTTTAGTACAAAAAGTCCCTTGTGATAATCTCAACGCAGATAGTGATTTTCGCGAAAGTGGTAAACACTCGCCTGAAATTTTTATGTCGCCGATCGATCCGCACATAAAATTCCGTTCGCATCCTAATCTTTATGGCTGCGCTTATTCTATACTCGAGGATGCTGCATGATTTGTTGAACGGACATGGCCAAACTATAGCGCTTTTCGTCTGAAATCCCAAAGTCGATACGAGAGCGGGAGACGCTCTGAAGAAGTTTCCAATTCAGATTGGCAAACTACTTGCCATTTCAACTCCCTTTGCGAGAAGGGAATCGGCAAAACTTTCTCAACTCGGAGGCCAATCACCATATTGATTAGCAGTAATGGAGAGGAGGTCTAGTGCTTTTTGCGGAGGAACAGTTTCGCCTTCAGCGGTCGCGGAAACACGTGCTCCGACTGCAATTACACTGATATCGCACAGCAGTGGAAAATATGATCATTTGTAATGGAACCGAGTTATAGAGTTTTTTTCCACGCCAGCAATTTGCAGATAATGAAAAGCTGAATAAATGAAGTGTCGCCAACCGGCGTGATGGAATTTCATCCGTCTGATAAATCTAAAAAGTGACGAAATAAAAATGACAACGGGCGTGTTAATTAACTCAAATGGCGCAGAAAAAACACAATTCTCTGGGGTGCTTTGAAATTCGGGCTGCGTGGAATACGCGCGGCCTTGCGATGACCTTTTTCAACTTTTCCAATTTAAATTTCTGCCACTTGAACATCACACAACCGTGGCATCATATGTGAAAAGTCACGGCACACGCACCAGAGTTGAGAACATAAAAAGTGGTGATATGTTTGAAACTCCTCTTCACTCAAAAATTGCGCTCTCATTTCACCTTTTCCGGTTGTTAACTCAGAAATTCAGTTTAATTTTGCTCCTTTCCTGCTGTATTTTTACATTTTGTGGCACAACTTCTTTTTTATATAGGATGAAAAGTGTTGAAAATTCTAGAATTTATAGCGACCTAAACGTAACGCAATAAACTGATATTCAAATTTCCCACTTGATCCTCTCATAAATCATGAGGAAAATGTGGCCCACGCCTGTGCATGTCATCGTCGCGTCGGCGAGAAAAAAACTAAAGCGAAAACGCACATGTGTGACAAATAACGAGGAATTGACTGCGCTGTTTGCTTTATAACCTATTTAAGCAAAATGATAGATGGCTCAATAATCTGTCACCCCGGCGAGTGGCTTTGGAAAATAGCTCGACCAAAAATTATTCCCTCAGCCCGGCGTGTGACGCCGCGCGCTTTATTATTAAAAGTCGGCCGCTCTCAAAGCTGGCGCCCACTTAGCGCCGCGCGCTGCTGGGAAATTTTGACGGGTTTCTTTCATTCATTCCGCCTGCGCTGCTGTGAAAAGTTGCAAAAAGTATAAGCCGCCGCAAAGAGTCCTGGAAGAAAAACCAGAGAGGGAGAGAAAAGGCGAGTCTCCCAGGGAAAGCTCCAACATATTTCCCAGACCAGATGTTTATACGCGTTTGTGAAAAAGATTCCTGGAATGTTTCCAGCCGGAATAACAAAGCGGCCAGGAATTTTTATCTGGATTTAATTTGCGAACGTAAATATAAAGGGCAATAAATCGGGCGCCGCTCGCGATACATCAGAATAGCAAAAAGGCGGCTGACTAATGCAGCTGTAAAGTGTAACTGGCAGCGTGTGTGTGTTTTGTTATACATTATACGCGAGAGCGATAAACAAACAAAGCGCAATCATGCAGTCCCAACTAGCCGACTGAGAGTCTATATTGTTCTCTCAGCGCTTTGGCAGCGCCCGTAATAAATGTCCACGCGCGCTCGCGAACACCCGAATAAATCACGCACCAACAACTTTTTCGCAATGCAAAAAGCCGAAACGCACACCGTGTTCGCCGCCGCCAGAGGCATTTATGAAATTCATATTTCCCGACTCGGAAGTAGGCACACAATAAAAAGCGCCACGCGAAAATCCCCGCCCCAGAGCTCGTAAATTTTCTGAATCTGAAAAGGCCGTTTGCCCCGGAATTATTGCCTGAGAACTGCGTAAGCGGCGGCGGGTCGCGCGATCCTCTTTTTCCAATTTAAATGCGACTTTTGTAGCAGAATCTGTGTGGAACGGGATCAGAATGAAATAAAAAATAAGCGTTTTCCGGCGGCAGATTTTCCAAAGAAAATAAATCGAAGCAAGTTTGGGGGGGAAAAGTTTTTATTGGTCAGGATTAAATTTCGGATGTAAATTTTCTTGCGCGAAGTTTTTTCCCAACGCTGCGTGAAACTCGAAAGTAGCTCGGCGCGTTCCTCCGGGAGGCTTCTGAAAGTTTCAAATCTAATTAAAAAACAATTTTCGAGGATACTGTATGGTTGAGTGCGCATCATATAAAGTTTTTCAACAGCTTCCTCGCAAACTGCTCAATTACACCAGATTCTCGGCCGTAATATCAAAATATGAAATTCTAGTATCATGATTACAAACAAATTTTTTACAGCGGAAAATTTTTTACCTTTGATATCTTGGAAAGGATTCTGCTGAATTTAATATCTCGTTTTTGAATTAATTTAAGCTGCTTGCCGAGAAGACTAATTTGTTTTGTACAAACAATGAAATTTAATTAATGCCAGACCTTTTCAAGTGCGCTTTCCTCTCTCTTCCTTTACTCTTTTATTGACAAGTTTTCTTTTAGCTTGGGCGGCACGGGAAGGATACGCAGGCATTAAGAAAATTATGTTTGCCGGGGAGAGAGGAAGCAAGTGCGCGATGGAAGAATTCGTGAGCGTGCTATTTGTCTGGAGAAGGAAAAGAGCGCCAGAAATAGAGCATCGGGTGGCTTCTGTGTTTTGATAGGCACGTTGGCTTATTGTGTTTATATTACACGACGGCCGCCTGCTCTCGCCTTTCGTTGGGCCGAGAGGTCGCTCGCTCATAGTGCAAAGAAAGAGGCAAAGGTGCAGCCGAACAATGCGGCACGCAAGCAGGGTGTGCGTTAAATGCCGCGCGTCTGAAATAGGAGCTCATTAATTCTGATTACCTGCGCCGACGAGTTGTTTGTCGAGCGTTAAACGCTAGGCTCGCGCCTCGCTGCTTAATTGCATCTAATTTCTCGTGTATTAATTTTACACCCTCCTTCCGTAGACGCAGAGATTTTCTCCTCAAGAGTTTGCGTGCAAAGTTTTGAGCTTAATTAAGCTGTTTTCGCTGCAGTAATTTTTATTTATGCCAGGCGTGCGGCGCAAGTGTGGCCGCACTGGAGATTAACCCTGCCTAAGGGTAGCCGCTCCAGTTATGCATTATTTAAGTCGCGCGATTAGACCGCGTGTAGGATTAGCTTGTTATGGCAGTATTTAGGTGCGATTAATTTCAGCGAGCGTCTGAAACTGTTTAATGTGCTGACAATCTGTTACCGGAGAGGAATTTTTCTACCTGTCCAAGGTCCTTGTCGCTTTCTGTCGCTATTGAAAGCGCTGATTTTGCAAATTAACTGTCATACTGTTCTGCTGAAAGTCGCAAAAAAATCAATTTATGCAGAAATTATATAGTCACCCTTAATTTTGAGTAAACACAGAATTGAAATAATATTACAACAAATAAAAAAAGAATTGAAATAAAATCAGTGCATCAAAAAGTTTTTTTAACAATATTTTCAAATTATATTTGAAGCATTTTAAATTTTAATCTAGATGTAATTAAACTTAAATTTCATAATAATTGTTTGATATAATATCAAAAGTAGATCAATATTTGATGCATTCGTCTATTTTGAACTGAGCGAAGGCAGTTTGATGCTTAAGAAGTGCACAACTGTTCCTAACGACTTCTCTATTATCACACTGCTCGTTCAAACTAAAAACTTCCCCTGCGTGCCACTTCACATTTCATGTAGGCGTCGAGATTCAAATCTCTCCATTATGAAAGTCCATAAGCATCTCGCTATGCGCCTCAAACCCCAATAATCCAGCCACTCCGTGTTAATAAAGCGTCTTTCTTATCAGTTATTCGCAGAGCGCGTGCATATTGGAAAACGCGCCTTTGTTGGAAAGAAGGAAACAAGTTTTTCACTGAATTACTCTCGCGGCGGTATTCGCCTGCAAAAGTCGGCCACAACTTCATCAACTCACTCGGCGGCTCTTCAGGAATTATTATTTACCTAAAGAGAAAGAAAGAAGAAAGATTTGCCCCCTTTTTCCGAGCACGAGAAATTTCACCCGGGAACTTTTGCTTCAGAGCGTCTCTTCTGCTTTTCCACGCGTGGCGAAAAATCCGAGCTGCAAAGAGGAGTTTTTCTCAGTTTATTCATATTGCTTTTGAAGAAGGAGCGCGTGCCTTATTTTAAAAAATAGGGTGCCGAAGGCGGAGGCGAAATTGCAACTGAGAAGGTTACTTGTGCGATGTATAGATTCACCCACCCTAGCGTCGAGAAGAGCAGGCCACTCTTTTGAAGAGAGACACTCTTTACAGCGACGCAGCTGCCGAGGTAAAAACTTGCTCGCGCGTTATTTTCGCCAACAATTTCCATCTTGTTCGGCTGGCGAATTCGCTTTTCCTTGCCTTTTTGAGAGAGAAAGGTGCAAACAAAGCGCGAGCAGTTTGTAAACTAGTTAGTTGCAAGTTGCAAAACGCTGACAGCCAATTAGCGAGAGCTAAAATAATTAAGCAGCGGCGTATATAAATTCACGCGTTTATACATCTTTGATTAATTAAAACGTCTTCGCTCTTTCACAACCTCACACTCGGAGAAAGAAAGAGCGAGTCTCGTCGTAAAATGTAAAATGTGTGAGGCTCCTTTTAATCAGCAGCAAGGAGAATGAAGCAAATTGGCAGGCGCGAGGAGCGAAATCGATTTTAGAGCCGATTTAATTGCGTGTAATTCACGAGGGCACCTTATTGCAAGTGACACGTCCCATACGGGCGGGCATCAGGAATCAATACGCCGCGGTTCATCATTAATGCAGGTCGAAGAGTGGTCATGAGCACTCGAGCGTGATTCGATGAGAATTGCCAGCCGGAAAGCAGCCACCGGAGACGTTTTCCATATTAGGCCATTAGAATGGAAGAGAGGAAAGTAAACGCGCTGCCGGGAGAGTCTTTTGAGTGGATGAGCAGCAGCTCCAAATTGAAGCGCTTTGAGCACAAAGTTAGCTGGTGCGGGAAATCAACGGCCTCGCGCACCAGTTAACCTGAGAGCAACTTTTTTGTAATAATCTTTCTTAAATACTTTCATTATTATGCTATGAAAGGGGAAATTAAATTAGTGAGCTTGTAAAAGACTTCTGCAAAAAATCCGTAAATTTCTCAGTATTTTGCCAGGCATATCTGTGTGTGGGTCACAATATCAGAGAAGTGATTCTCGCCACAATTCACGCGCAAAGATTCTCGCGAAGCGATTCTTGACTGAGGTGAATTTCCATTGAAGTAAATTTGTATTTAATTAAAAATTGTAAGCATTTTTAAGTTTATAAAATAATTTCTGTATATTGTTGTTGCCGATGATTTTGAACGGAATAAAAAAACTTTATTTTCAATTGATCCACTCAAATGTTTATTTTCATGGTGGATATTTTTGTTAAATAATTCCGAAAAATACATTTATGGTGGAATTATGCACCTAGAGCAATAATTTCTTATTTTTAAAATTTTTTACTTTAATATTTTGATAAAATAATATTAAAAAAAAAAATAAAATAAAATCGGGTTCATTTTTTGAAGAAAGTTTTTTAACTCTTTTATTTAATTCATGCTATTTAAATTTATAATTAATTTATTTTTTAGAGAAGTTTCCTTGTAAATTATCCAGTACTAATTATCCGTTAATTTCTATTCAATGAAAACAATACTGAGATAAACCAACAAACCGCGCAGTTGAAATAACTTCCCACTCATTTATGTCACAAAAACAGAAGCCATATTTTCCGCGACCAAAATACATTTTGCGTCACAGTCCCGGGCAGTAGTGGAAACTGGAAAGCAGAGCAAACATTGGCAATCACAAAACAAGAGGAAAGGGAGAGATGAAAATTCCTAGCTCTCTTACAATATATTCCTCCGTGTATGGAAAACGCTCCCACGCACAATTTGCGATTTGTTTGCTCTGCCGAGTTCTGTTTTCCCGACTGTCAAACAAAGTGAACCTCCCGCCGTCTCCCCAATAAAGCTCCACTCCCGCCACTTGATGCACCCATTTTTCAGCCACGTGGATTTTCGCACCTCAGGCAGGATTGACGCGTGCCAAAAGTGACACCCCAGCTGTCCCTCAAAATAATGTTTTCCGCGCATCTTGACACTTTTCCAGATCGATGACGGCTGCGCAAGTCGCGCGCCAAATGATAATCACGCAGGCTTGGTGCCATAATACAGTGTCACGCTGGGCGAGAGCAGAGAGTGCATCCACAAAATTACTCAAGTTGTGACGCTGAGTGAGTGCGAGTGTGCGTGATACACACTTAGCCGACTCGGAAAATATGTCAACGGCCGTGCCATTTCTCGGAAAATGCGTTCTCATTTTTCGCTTGCGCCGTATTTGCCAGTTGCCGGAAAAGCCTTCTCAAGAGTTTTCCAGGAGCGAGCAATATTGTGCTGAGCAAACACATATCCATGAAAGGTTATTTCCTGCAGCGCAAAGCCCCGATTTCTTTATTACAACGAGCGTGGAAAAAATATTCCCGCCTCTGCTCCAGTGATCCCTTTTTCTTTTCATTTCAACTCGGGTTTTTCCATAAGTGGCTTTTCCGGATATTTTTCTAAAAAGGTTTTTGTTTTCAATTATATATTTAATTGGATAAACTAGGTCATATTTCGCATTTTTCATCTGGAATATTATTTATTTTAATTATAGTTCATATTTTTTTAAGACGCTTATGTAAAAAAAATTAAATAGTGCAAAAAATTAGTGAACCCACTTTTTTTTATCAATGTTTATAAATCTTTCATAAGCATGAAATCCATATTCACTGCTTTTTGTTTGCCTTTCAAAAGCAAACACGTCAAGTTACATATTTGCATCGAATACAAGTTCATTGAGGCCTGGATTAAACAAAATCTGTGCAGTCTGCTAAAAGCGGCGAACAGGGCGGGAACACGCGGCTTGTTGTTTTAATCAGTTTGTTTGCACAAAAGCGAATTAAAACTTTAGATCCGTTGACAGCAGATTTCGTTGCCACAATCCCTGACAAAAACTTGCATGCTCATTAAATTCCATGGCGAACAATGCAGAGAAAACTTTCTACACTTTGTTATTCAAGCAACTTTGAAACTCCCTTTTAACATAACATAACCCCTGCTTGCATTCAGTTAAATTCATTCAAGCTTTCGTCAAATCCGTTCAATTTGCGAGCAAATTCTGCCCACTAATGTACACACGGGGTGCCGCGTTATAATTGCAAATTACTGCGGTTCCGCTTTGCATCCCAAATCTGCGGCCTGAAAGCTTATTCTCTCTCGCTAACAGCAGCGGAATTATTGCCCAAACCGAAGTTGGCCGGTGGAAAAGCGGTTGCATAAGCTCCATCACCCCTGAATACACAAACACGCGTGGTCGCCACTCCAACTTGGTGCACGCGAAATGCCGCCGCCGCCGACGCTTCTCTCTCTTCTGCTGAAATAACCGTGTTTTATTACATTCGCAAGCCGTTGCAGGCGAAACGTGCAAGTTGTTTTCGCGCAGCAAACAAACGAAAGCACACATTCGCCGCGGGCACAATTTATTTGACTCGTGATACACCCCAGCAAATGACATTTGCAAACTAGTTGTGAATTCAAAGCAGGCGAATTTCATATAAATCACTCTGCCAAACAAACGTTTGCACAGCTTAATTTCCCTCTGCAGTGAAAACTCTGCAGCCCTGTACCTCAATCCAATGCCTATAGGGGGTGCCTTATTTTTGAAGTATTAATTAAGGAAGTTTTCCTGATTATTTTTCATGCCCCTGTGGCACGGTATGACTATCAAACAATTTGATGTTTACACAAACTTTAGAAATCAAAGGGTTTTCTGATTAAAATTGTTAGTAAACAAAAATTTGAAATTATATTTTAAGCTCAAAGAGAAAAAAATTATTTTCTTTTTGAATTAACAATGTCAGAGGAGTTTTCCTTTCTTGGATTAAAATATTTTAAGCTTTATTATTTGTTTATTTAAGATTTGCTAATCCAACTTCCACTCTTTTTCTTAAATCCGACCAGAATCCAACTTACAATTATGCTTCTATCTAAGTTGAACATCACTTCATTAGGATATAAAATTGTGTATATATTTTTTTATTTAAACAAAGTTTTCGTTGAAAATAAATTACGAAAACCCATAAAAATATTTTGTTCTAATTTTGTGCGTTAATTTTCTCTCAAAAGGTCAAAGTTTGCGGGCTGAAAGACAAAATATGAAAACATTGCTACTTTTTACTCTAACAAGAAAAAATACAAAACTATAATAATTATAAAATTTTAAATTAATATAAAATTATTCTATTAATTATTATTTTTTACTTCTTAAACTAATTATTTATTTTATATACAGCAAACCTTTCATTTAGCCAGATTGAATTCAGATGCAAAATTTTATTTAGGTTTTGCGGGAGGAAGATTTTTTTCACGGTTGTATTCGTTGCCATTATTTTGAATCTGAAAGACATTAATGGAACAAATACAAGGGCCCTTCCCAAGTTTGCCCTTGTTTCTCAAGGGAGACAGAAAGTAAATTAGCCAGCGGCAAGTAAATACGATGGGAAGATAAAGCAGCTTTGCTGACATCGGAGGCACTCGAAAGCCGATTCCACTTTTCCAATCAAGCATCGCCGCGGAAAGACGAAACACAGCCGGCCAATCTCGGCTGTCAGCGTTCCCAAACTTAAATTTCTGCACCCAAGTTTCCTCTGGATGTATAGTTGGGTCAGTATATTTTGATACGTGATGCGAGAAGCGAGCGTCCAGAAAATCAATAGCGCCGCGATGGGGCCGCAAAACAAAAAGATCAGCCTGCGAGCGCAGAGTTTGGGCGAAAGAAGCTCGGGCGGCTCGGAACGGGAAATTCAAATCGTACTTTTCGTGAGGCAGGGACGCGTGCAGTTGAATGAGAGGAGTTTTACGGTCTCTTGCCAGATTAGAATAAGGACGCAAATGGCTCTGGGCGAGTGATTTTATCTTCTGAATACCAAGAGGCCCTCGTGGCGGACAAAAGGACTTGCGATGAAGACGCCGCTTTTCGGTAGTAACTCGGAAATTTTCTCTCTTTGTTAAACAGTCTTTAAAGTGTATGCATGTGAAGCCTTTGAGATTTTAAACTTCACAAGCTGCAGTCGTAGTTTCACACTTTGGTGCAAAATGAGTCATTTGTGTTGAAAACTTTAAAGGTGATTTTGGTTGAAAAGGAATATTTTTTTTTTATAATTTTCTCTGCGATTTATTTTCCTAACAATTCAAATTAAAACTGTTGGTATTGGAAATTTTAAATGAATATATTAATTGAAAAGTAAACAAGTAATTAAAAAAGAAAATGCAGCTCATTGTTTTTTTTTATGGTTCATATATTATTTTTACGTTTTTTGCAAATAAAATAATTTTCCAAAATTTGTCCTAAAAAGAACTCCAATTTTACGTTGTACTCATTTCAATCATTAAAGATATCATCGTCAAACAGGAATCATTAAATTTATTTAAGAAATGCAAAATTTGCCACATGGAAGTTTCACATTTTCATTGCAATATATTAAGGAAATAATTGACTCTGAGGCAAACACGTGTTTCGATATCTATAGAACTTCTGTGTTTTCAACTTGACTGGTTCCAATTCCAACGATTCGTGTTCATCTCGGAAACTTAGAAGGAAAGCGGCTCACCAAGAAACGCTATCCGCAAGAGAAGGTTTCAAATTTTCCGGCGGATCAGAATTCAAGTCACACTCTCTCGTGCGAATAACTTTCCATCTTCTATACATGTAGCGCCTACGACCAAAACTCGGGGGCATTTTCAACTCGGCAGATACCGGAGCTGAAAGAAACACTCAATTAGCCGCGCAGAGAAAGAGGAAATGGTCTCCGCAGACTGCTTGAATGTCATGCCGACGTCGCGGAATGAACTTTCTTTCTTTGCTTCGCTCCCCCTAACGAGACAGAAAGGAGCCATCGCTGAATTTTCGCAAATAATCTGTCAGATGAAGCGAACGTTCATTATTTTTCCAACCCCGTCCGGAGCAGGGGGAAATAAAAATATACACTCGAGTGTCCCAAGCCACTGCGTTCGATTTCATGATGGATTAGAATTAGGCGAGCCCCCGCGAATTTTCCGCTTTCTTTTCCAAATCGGTCGTATAAAAAAGGCTCCGCTTTTTCAAGATCCATAAAGATGGCCTATCAACCGCAGGCCGCTTTTTGCGGGGGCGACACGCGAAAGGACAAACGTTATCACCGGCGCAGATAAAGATTGAATAACGGGGTCGATGCTTGGAATACACAAAACCCCCGTTCCCTTATCGCCCTTTCCCCCGAATTTGCAGAGTGGCAAGCCGAGGGGAAAAACAGGCAGACTTGATTTGCACTTTCCTTGCCGCTGAATTTTTATACGCCAAAAAGATGGAAAAAAACTTCAGTCAAAGCACGTCTGAATTTCAAGCAGCCTCACACTCAATTAAACGCAGTTTTAGCCAAACTTTTATATTTTATTTTTGGCTGGCAAAGTTAGTTTGATATTTTGTAAACGGAGCGCAGCATTATCGTCTGGCGTAGGCGGTGTGGCAAGAAATTAGACGCGGAGGCAAAAAGTCGATGCCGCTCTCGTGCTGCGCCGCCCCACGCCGGCGTGTTATTTTTCTCTGCCGCATTCAGAAATTCTCGTCACAAAATCGTACGAGGGCCGAGTCCTTATGGTCCAAAAGTCCCATAACAACATAATGATTACAGTAAGGCCGAGCCTGCTGATGTGCGGGTGGCAAAAAAACTTTTCACCAACTTTTTTTTTTAAGGGATGTATCGCCTTTGGTGGTGGAAAAACTGCGCCGAGCTTAATGAACTGACTTTTAGCCACAGATGCGTGATTCCCAATAATCTCCGACGGTTAAAAAATACAAACAGATAGATATAATAAATATTTGAAAAATGTATCAAATGTGAAAAAGAGTCAGAAACACTAAGGCAATGAGCCAACCCAAATTAAGGTCTCAAATAGTATCTATATTTAATTTCAGAATCTTCATAATTAAAATTTCCACTTTCATCCATGATTCGCCATCTGGGCAAGTTGGCACCGAATTCCATTTCTTTTGTCACGGTCCCGTTCAGAGGGTCGAAAATTATTGTGTAGCCTCCAGGATTATTTGCTAAGAGGGCGCCTGTTAGTCCGAAGGTTCCATAAGCGAAAATCGTGTGGTTGCAGGCGGCGAGAAGCGCCAAATCGGCGCCCGGCTGCTCACTATCACCATCACCTAAATAAATTTTTTTAATATTTATACTCTAATCTAATCAAGCGAAAATTTTCAACATACCTCCTATGTAGGTGTCATTTCTATCGGCAACGATATTTTCATGGACCCATTCGTTTTCATCGCTGACCACCACAAAAATCAGAAGTTTATTTACTTTCTGGCTGATCCAATTCATCGCATTGTGGAAAAATTTCGGACTAGCAACCATTGCTCCGGGGTGAACTAGTCCCATGTGCGACATGTAGTCCGTTCGCCGCACGTGGACCCCGACAAATTCAACTTCATCAATGTTTATCTTGAATTTAAATCGGCTTTAATGGGAGTAATTGTTCTAAATAAATATGAATAACAATCGAATAGGAAATTTCAAAATTAAATACCATTTTTTCTTGGTGCTTTTGTGTGATATTTTGCAACCGTCTGAAAGCTTTGTCCGTGTATACTTCCTCTAGTTGAAGTTCATATTTCAACTCATTCCAATAAGGAACCAGTTCTTCGGTGTTGGTCACATAGTAACCAAAATTAAATAATTTATGTTCCTGCCCTTTTGGGTTGAATTCTAGTCCTCTGAAAAGGTCCTTCCGACTGCCGAGTCCTAAAATGCTTCCGTTATAAAAAGTATTTTTGAGCCATCCGCCCATGTTGCACTGCTCATCTAGCCACTGCAGTGATGGTATTCTTAGCGAAGATCTTTTGAAATATTTAGCCAAATATTCAATGTTGGATTCGTTAAAGACGGGCCTTAGATTGTGTCTTCTTGCGGCCGCCAGAACAGTCAAGTAGGACCAAACCACGTTTCCCAGGCGACCGTCCACGTGTGCGGTGACGAAGATTTGACTTTTACCTGGCGCAGGACAAATCCTCCACGGATCAAGACTTTCGCTTTCGGTCACATTATTTGCAACCGTATGATTCGTCAACACCAAACTGCCATTAATGTAGTCCTCGGCAAGTGGTGCAATCAGAATCTACAACGGACAAATGAAAACAACAAACTTATTTTCAATCCTCACACTGAAGAAAACTCACATCATTGTCTTTCCAATCTCGGATTAAAAATAAGATGAAAACACCACTTGAAAAAACTAGGAGGAAAAAGAAACTCTTCATGCCACTGCAATGCATAATGGCAATGAATTGTTTTCAAAAGATAAGAAAAGGGAACAAATTTTGTGTTACTTTGATTAGATTAGATTTATTTAATCATTCAAGCACAAAATATACAGTTTTTAGCATGCTTTATATCACTGCAAAACATTTAAATTAATGTTGCTCACACAATTATTAAACTTCAGAATCATTAATTTGCTAACTAAAATTGGTGGTTTCTCTAAATTGAATGAATTACATTGTGGTGTGCCACAAGGATCTGTTCTTGGCCCGCTTTTGTTTTCTCTTTATATGATTGATATTAATAGGATTTTCAAAAACATATGCAAATATCATATTTATGCAGAAGATGTTCAGTTATATATTGAGTGCGGAGTAGGTGAGCTGAACGATGCTTTTGGAATAATGAATTTAATATTACAGGATGTTTTGAAATGGTCTGAAAAACACGGGCTGCGCTTAAATCCAAGCAAGACCAAAGCTATGTTAATTCATTCGCCTCGCATGAAACAAAAAATTAATTTTAGCAACCTGCCAAAGCTGTTTTTGGGTAACTCTGAAGTCGAATTTGTTGAAACTTTTAACAATTTGGGAGTGTTTTTTGATAATGAATTTCGTTGGGACAAACAGATTTCTTCAGTTTGCCAGAAGGTGTACGGGACATTGAACAATCTTAATAAATTTCGTGCTTTAACCCCTGAAAAAATTAGGCTACAACTTTTAAAAAGTTTAATTCTGCCCCATGTTGATTATTGCAGCATAATTTATTGCGACGTGAGAAAGGAGCGACTGAAAAGGATAGATGTGGCATTAAATAATTGTTTGAGATATGTCTATGATATAAATTTCAGTGAGCGCATAACCCCTTTTTATGCTAAAGCAGGTATTTTGAAAGTTGAGGAGCGAATGAAGCTGAACACTCTGTTGATGACACACAAAATATTATATGAAAACAGCCCCCCCTATTTAAGGAAATTATTATTGCTGCGCGATGACTATCAAGTCAGAGCTGCTAGAACACACAGATTGTTTCTCCTTCCGCCATTTGATTGCAATGATGACTCTTTCAGAATGACAAGCTATCGCCTTTGGAATGCACTGCCGCAAAGTTGGTGTTTAAATGAAAATATTAACTCTTTAAAAAATAAATTATTGCAGCAATATTTGAACCAGTATAGGCTGAATGAATGAAATAAAAATTAAAACAGAATTTAAAAGGACTGATCTGGAATAATAAAAGCTGAATTGCGAGGCGAAAATCAAAGACGAAAAAGCCTGTTTTACTAAACATAATATGAGCTGCAGTTTTTTGCCAGGATTAAGAGCAAAAAAAGAACAAAGAAAGCGGCATTTGGAAGTATCAGGCAGTCATTTAAATGCAAGCTTTCAGCATCCAGAAAAAAAAAGAAAAATGTCCAAAGAACTTGATTATTGTTATTTTTCTTTTGTTTATATTTTGTAATTGGAAATTTTTTTTGTGAAATTTCGCATGTAAAATTTTGTTTGTAAAACTCTCATCTTTTCTCTCAATTGTATTGAATTTGTATAATTTTGAATGTATAAATGATGTATCCCGTTATGGGCAGCAATTGCCTTTGTGATATATCAATAAACACAATTTGCAACTAAAATTATGGAGAAAATGTATATTTTTTTCTTTTGCATATCTAAATCATAGTAAATAATATTTAAATCATTGTTTTTACTACACAAATTTATTTCGTATAATACCTGTATATAATATGAGAATTTCCATAATCAAAATTTCCATCTTCATCCATGATTCGCCACCTCGGCAAGTTGGCACCAAATTCCATTTCTTTTGTCACAGTCCCGTTCAGAGGGTTGAAAATTATTGTGTAGCCTTTGGGATTATTTGCTAAGAGGGCGCCTGTTAGTCCAAAAGTGCCATAAGCGAAAATCGTGTGGTTGCAGGCGGCGAGTAGCGCCAAATCAGCGCCCGGCTGCTCACTATCACCATCACCTAGATGAATTTTTATTGTTTTATATGCAAGTAGCTAATCAAGTAAAATTTTAGAACAAACCTCCTAAGTAGGTGTTATTTCTATCGGAAACTATGTTTTCCTGGGCCCATTTACTGTCATCGCTGACCACCACAAAGATCAGAGGTTTATTTACTTTCTGGCTGATCCAATTCATTGCATTGTGGAAAAATTTCGGACTAGCAACCATTGAACCGGGGTGAACTAGTCCCATGTGCCGCATATAATCGGTTCGCCGCACGTGGACTCCGACAAATTCAACCTTGTCAATTTCCATCTTAAATTTAAATTGGCAACAATATGAGTTTTTTTCAGTGGCTAAAAATAATTAAAAATTAAATACCATTTTATCCTGGTGCGTTTTTGTAATATTTTTCAATCGTCTGAAAGCCTCAGCCGTGTATTCCTCCTCAAGTTCTAGTTCATATTTCAATTCATTCCAATAGGGAACCAGTTCTTCAGTGTTGGTCACATAGTAACTAAAAGCAAGTAACTTATTGCTCTCTTTTGGGAAAGTTTCCAGTTCTCTGAAAAGGTCCTTCCGACTTCTTAGTAAAATGTATGCATTATGATTAGCATTTTCGAGCTTTCCGTCGAAGTTGCACTGCTCATCTAGCCACTGCAGTGATGGTATTCTTAGCGAAGATCTTTTGAAATATTTAGCCAAAACATCTATGCTGGATTCGTTAAAGACGGGCCTTAAATTGTGTCTTTTTGCGGCCGCCAGAACAGTCAAGTAGGACCAAACCACGTTTCCCAGGCGACCGTCCACGTGTGCGGTGACGAAGATGTGACTTTTGCCTGGCGCAGGACAAATTTTCCAGGGATCAAGAAATTCGAAACCATTTTTCGAGGCCTTACGATCCGTTGAAACCAAACAAGTACTACTGCAATCTTCAAAGAAAGGCTGAATCTATAACGGGGAAACGATGAAAATTATGATTTTCAATCAACACACTGAAAAAAACTTACATCGCAAGCGATCCAATTCCTAATTAAAACGAACAAGAAGACATTTGTCATGAAAAATACGATAATAATAAGAACAAAACAATACTTCGTGCCACTGTAACGCATATTGGCAGTAATTGTATTGCTAGTGTGCCATGCCGGAGAGAGGAAAGGGGTAAATAAAATAGAACTTACTTAGATAATAAAAAAATGCGAGCCTAAGCGGAAGCCGTAAGGAAAACAATCAAAACGAATAATCTCTTGCATTTGCCTCGGTTGCAGCTTTGAAAACTTTGCTAGTAAATAATGGAAAGTGAAATTCCTTTACCTGATACTCCTTTAATTTTTTTTAATCTGTCCCAATTTTATGTTCACAATTTGGGATCCTTGCTGATCGCAATTACTATGCCGTGGAAGCAAACTCCAATTTTTTTCTTTTAATTTTCAAAAAATGCAATTGTTTAGGAAATTTTTTGGGGGAAATCAAGATTAGGACGGGCTCTAATTGCCGCAGAGAACAATTTTCAGCCACTTACTTTATCTCACTTAATCAAACGATTTTTATCATAAATCAGAAATTTGGAAAAATAGAACATTAAATTTTAAACTTCGCCTATTTCATTCAATTCTAATGTGAAATTATTATTATGTAAATACAGGTCACAAATAGTATCTATATTTAATTTCTGAATTTTCATAATTAAAATTTCCATTTCCATCCATGATTCGCCATCTCGGCAAGTTGGCACCGAGTTCCATTTCTTTTGTCACGGTCCCGTTCAGAGGGTCAAAAATTATTGTGTAGCCTCCAGGATTATTTGCTAAGAGGGCGCCTGTTAGTCCAAAAGTGCCATAAGCGAAAATCGTGTGGTTGCAGGCGGCGAGAAGCGCCAAATCGGCACCTGGCTGCTTACTAAGACCATCACCTTGAAAGATAATTGTAAGAAATTGTTTTGATTGTAGGAAAACAAATAATGGAAACCTCCTAAGTATGTGTCAGTTCTATTGGCAACGATGTTTTTCTGTGCCCATTCATTGTCATCGCTGACCACCACAAAAATAAGACATTTATTTAGTTTCTGGCGCATCCAATTCATCGCATTGTGGAAAAATTTTGGGCTTGCAATCTCTGAACCAGGGAAAATTTTTAGAAAGTGTTTCTCATAATCGGTTCGCCGCACGTGAACACCAACAAATTCGACTCTGTCAATTTTTATCTTCTGTGAAATTGGTCATTATTAACTAAGGTGTAAATTTTTTTTAAATAATTTATATACATCTTTATCTTGGTGCTTTTTTATAATATTTTTCAACCGTCTGAAAGCTTCGGCCGTGTATTCCCCCTTTAGTTCTAGCTCATTTTTCAATTCATTCCAATAAGGAACCAGTTCTTCAGTGTTGGTCGCGTAGTAACCAAAAAAAAGTAACTTATTGCCCTCCTTTGGGGTAGCTTCTAGTTTAGTGAAAAGGATCTCCCGACTTCCCAGTACATTTTCATCGTTTTTATAACCGTTTTCAAGCCATCCGTCCATGTTGCACTGCTTGTCTAACCACTGCAGGGACGGAATTTTCAGGGAAGTATTTGTGAAATATTGAGCCAGAACAGTTATGTTTGATTCCTGAAGTGCGGGCCTTAGCTTGTGTCTTTTTGCGGCCGCCAGAACAGTCAAGTAGGACCAAACCACGTTTCCCAGCCGGCCGTGTATTTTGGCGGTGACGAATGTCTGTTGACCTTCTCCAGGCGCGGGACAAATCTTCCACGGATTAATGGTATCTTTTTTTATTCCTTCGTTTATATTTTTGGCCACATGATTTTTCACCAAACACTCGTTAATGCAATCCTCAAAAGAATGAGGAATCTATAACGGAAAGATTAGAATGAACACTTTATTTTCAATTAAAGTACTACAAAAACTCACATCATCGTTGCGCTGAACTAAAACAAATGAGACGTAAACAAAACTTGTGAACAATAAGAGAATAAAGCAAATTTTTGTTCCTCTGCATCGCATATCGTCAGTTATTTTAATACGAATCCAGTCAGCCAGGGAGAGTAAAAAGAATAGTAAATTATAGGCTTCTTATCAGCCTGATGATGATAAAAAAAGGCTAAGCGGAAACCATACGGAACACTCGACCAAACCGCAATGTTGATAGTATTTTTGCTTTGGCTCCAAGTTGTCAGAAAGCTTTGCGAGATAAAAGTATATTTTCTTCATTTTGAAAAAATTGTGATGCACGTTTTTTATTTCAGCATTAATGTGGCATTTTCCGCACATATAATTAACTGCAGTAAACCTCAGAAGAAATTAATTTTTAATGGAAGAAATTAAAGTTCAAAAAGTTCTGGTGGACAAACTGGAACAAATAAAAGCGTTAAAATTGATCTATTTGAAACCTAAATATTTTACCTTAAATTTTCATCCAAATTAAGAAAATTAAATAAATATAATTTTAATTTTGATCGAGCTATGAAAGTTATTAATAAAAATTTGAAATGATTAATGAAAATATAGGCAATAATTTTTTTGCGGAACCTGGGAGTTACTTTCCTTCTTATTTTTTAGTATGAATTTTGTTATGCAAATATTACTAGTTACATTAAATGTAAGCACAAAATTATTCAAGACAATTTAGAAAAATATGTTTATCTTTGCACTTTTTATTTCTTGATAAAAACTTGTGCCACATGATTAAGGAGGTATGTCCGTGCATGTTTTCTTCGCATAAATGTCATAAATCAAAATATAACACCTCCGCGACTTGAGGAAGCCGGCCGACAAAGAGAACACTGAAGAGTGTAATTAAATTTTATCAGTGCTCGTTGCAATGAAAGGAAAATAAACGCAAAGTCAGAGAGCAGTGTCCTTTTTGCGAGTGAGCGAACGAGTTTTCCACGCAAATGTGCTTGATGACGATGCACAAGTTGTCAGACCAGAAGCGGCGGCGGCGACGACCTATGGCGGCCAGGCTGCCGCAATGAAACAAAGGCGCGGGCACAAAATATGTATGAATGAATATAAAAATATCTCTCTTTTGTCTTCCACTCGCGGCGCAGACTGGTTTGCAACGCTCGCCTGATGAAATACAAAAAACCAAATCCTGCGCGTTGCTCGTCAACTTGTCAATAAAATGAGTCTTTGAAATTCATTAAATGAGGCAATTTTAAATTTTTTTACATAATATATTTTTGGAATATTTGAAGAACGGATTTAATGCCGAATTTGTCTTATTTCAATTAAAAATTCAACATGAAAACTGATTTTAGAAACAATTAAACACACAAAACTATTAAATTAAATCCAAATATTTGTTTATTTTAATACAAATTATTTAAAAATCCTTTCTTAATTTTTCCAATTTTGTTTGCAGGATCAAATTGTGAGTCCGGTCGCACCACCCTTGGCGATGACGCGGCTCCAGCAAAGGTCGCCCTCGCCAGGCAGCTTGGACGGGGTGCCCCCGCCGCCCCCTCAGCCCCACTACATTTCCACCCTAAGGGCGAACGCTCGGCGGGGGAACAGCCCTGACAAGGAGAAGGACCCTTTGGCCGCCCTGCAGAGGTTCCTGCGCGCCCTTTACAGAGAACTGGCCTCGCGGGACCAACCGCAGCCCCCGGCGTGGGCACCTGAGCTCCCGCCGGGCACTCTCAGTCCTGCGTCGTTCCAGCCGGCGCTCCGACTCGTCGCTCCCGGAGAGTCGGCAACCATGAGGATGGATCAATTGCTGACTGCACTGCGGGTAAATCCTTATTTGGCGCTTTCCACTCTCCCACACCTTTTCAAACCGCACACGTGCAAAAGATGAAAGAACGAAAGAAAAAAAACGAGCGGATTCCACGTGAAGAGGTTTCGCCTGGGGGGTGACGCGGATAACGTGGGCCGCGTTGTTAAATTTAATTAAAATGATACACGACTGTTGGAACAAGAGCCGTAAATTTAATAATAGAATTGCAACTTTCGCAAAATGTTTGCATTTAATTTTGGTCGTAAAATAAAATAAAAAGAGATCGTAAAAGGAGGACGGTAGCGGAAAGAGAGATTGCGGTATTGATTTTGCGGCAGACTGACCGAGAGTCGCAGACGCTCACGCCACAGGTGCATTGGGAAGTCGCCAAGGTGGTGAATATTTTATCATGCCACTTTGTTGTGCGTGCTGTTGCCTCCTCTCTCACTCTCTCGTGAAATATTTTGTGTTATTATTCATATAAACGTTGTTTGCGTCGATCTCCCGTAAGCCTTTTTTACTCACTGCTCAGCCCACGGCACTTGAAAAAATAACTCCCCCTCTTCCTTCACGAGAGCGAGATTAAATTAAATTGCGAGCAACACATTTTTTGGAATTGTTAGAAATGGAAATTTGTTATCAGAAAATTGGAGACAACGTTGGGCGTTAACGCAACCCACCCAGCCCAGTGCAGTAATGTTGTTTGTTGGTCGGATTGATATAATTATATTCATTCATTCACAATGAAATTTTTTACCAAGTTAAAATGCAAGCCTGCCTCCTTCTTCAAATCAAAAGTGTAAATTTTCTTAAATGAAATAAAGTTAGTCAACACGCACTCGAATTCAAAATTTTTTTTTCATTTGAATTATAAATCAAGAAATAATTTTTAGACTAGATGTAGCATTTTCCTAAATTTTTAAATAATTTTGTTCTTTAAAAAATGAAAACTTATTCCTGCCTATTTATTTATTAGTACCAAATATAGTACAAAATTAAAACCAGTGTGAAAATTATTGCAGAGTTAAAATTAAATAATCCAATTAATCCCTTTCGCCTTGCATTCATTTTTATGTAATGCAAATTTTGAAAAAATATATGTTGCAGATGGACGAAGGCATCCTCCTAGAGGCACCTCGTCGCGTCCTGATCGAAGGTCTGCCCGGAAGCGGCAAAACCAGCCTAGCCCTGCGTCTGCTGCACTCGTGGGCCACCCACTCGGACCCTTGGCTGAGCAACGCCATCAGCATCGCCCTCCTCATCCCCTTGCGCGAGCTGCGCGCCTCTGGCCAGAGTCTGAGTCAGTTCATCGGCAAGTCGCTTTTCCCGCGAGCGGCTCTCGGCAACGGCAAGGACAGTTTCTCCAGGGTGTGGCGCCGTCTCGGCGCCCTGGAGGAGAAACTGATGATCGTCATTGACGGCGACTACGACGACGAGCTGCTGCCCGGCGAGGCGACCGACCTGCTCGAAGGTCGCCTCCTGCCGGAAGCGCGAGTCGTGATCACCCTGTGCCCTGGCCGACGGGCAAACTCGCTGGCGCCCTTCGTCCAACGCCGGGTGCTGCTCACCGGCCTCCAACTGAACCACGTCGCCAGACTCACGCAGCAGTACTTCCTGGGCAAACGCATCCCGGACGGCGCCTCCAGGTTCCTGGACGCACTTGGCGAAGAGAGCAACCCCCTGCGCGACCTGGCCACGTGGCCCCTGGGCTGGATTTTGCTGTGCATCATGTTCGAAGAGGGGTCGGGCACGCTGCCGTCGCCGAACGCGCCCATCCACGAAATCTACAACGAAATGTTCAAGTGCATGGTGAGCAGGTGCCTGGCCCGCAGAGGTCAAAGTCCGACCGAGGGCAACGAACTGCCCACGCACTGCAAGAAGCTGCTGGCCGAGTTTGGCAAACTGGCCCTGTCGGGGATCAACAACGGCTGCTTCGTCTACCTGGACACGGACATCAAAATCGTGTGCCGAGGCCTGGAGGTGGCCGACCTGGGCTTCCTGACCAGGGGGCTGCAGTTCAGCAGGGGCACGCGCAAGGGCGAGACGTACCACGTGATCCACCCCTCGTTCAGCGAGTACTTGGCCGCGTATTACGTCTCCTCCATCGTGCACTACTCCAACATTCTGCAGCGCGAGATGGAGGAGATTCCGGGCTTCCTGCATCCGGACACGCCGAGTCTGATTCCGCGCATCCTGATGGGGTTGCTCGGCCGCAAAGGGTTCCTCGTCTTTGAGCAGCTGTGCCCGCTGGACGTCAGCATCAAGGTGCTCTTCACCCTTTTGCGCGCGTGCGGCCCCGGCGACGCGAACGTGGCCGCCGTTTGCCGCCTGCTGCGGTGCACAGGCGTGGGCAACTCGGGGGCCCAGGTCGTGCACACCAACACCGGCGAGCTGCTCGGCTGGGGCCTGGTGCTCAGCAGCCCCGCGTGCCCTCTGCAAGCGCTCGAGCTCACCGTGCAGACGGAGGGCGTCAACCCCGACGCACTCGACAAGTTTTTCTGCGCCCTCGCTGAAAATGAGAGTGTCAAGGCTGTGCGCATTTCGTCCCTCTTGGGACACGAACTTTCGGCAAACCAAGTGATCAGAATGTCCAAATACGTGGCGCTCACTGTTCCAAAACCTAGACTGCAGACGTTCGAGTTGGTCATCACTTGCGTTGATGAAAGCCCACCTGACAGGTAAAACATCTTTGTATCATTTTACAATGAAATAAAATGAAATGCACGCGACAAATAATGAACGTTTGCATAATAAACCAAATTTTTTTTATCTTTTTTAATTATAAAATAATGTAAAATATTTATTTATTTAAACATGGAATAATTTTTAACTTAATTTTCCAAATTCAAACAATTAGAATTTTGTATTTTATATTTTCAGTGCAACCCTACAGTAATATTTCATTTCCACAAAAAAAAAGAACGAACTTGCCAAATAAAAATACTAATTTCACCTATTTTTTTCTTTCTCAGATAATTGTTAGTGTGCATGTGTTTTTTCTGTTCAAATTAGTGTAGAGTAGTGTTTTGTTTGTGTTGTAAAGTGTAAAGCAGTTTCAGGGGTTAATTTTTAAAGAGGTTTTTTCCGTGGATTTTTAAAAATTAATTTCTCAATTAAAAGTCAAAATTTTGGTTTGTATATTCCATTCTTTAAAGCCAAGTGTTTCTCGCACAGTTTCAGTAAATCCACGGAAAAAACCTCTTAAAAAAATATTTTTTTTCTTCTTTAAAATCCTAATTTTTACTTCAAAAGAAAATAACTTAGGTGCTGTTCAGTCTTTAAAATTTTAATTTCATAAAAAATAAAAATATTGAAAATAGAAAATTAAAAAATTAATTTTTTTGTTGTTGCAGATTTCAACCGTTAGTGAACTCGCTGTCAGCATGCCTATCGCAAGGCGAGATCAGTTGTCCCCGGCTGAGCAAACTGGTGCTCGATCTGAGTCTGAACTCGTTGCAACTGGTGCAGCTGTGCGCCGCCCTGGAGGAGGCGCCGTCCGTGTCGGTGCTTCACCTGCCGCACCTGGGCTGCGGCGCAGACGGTTTGCGAGCGCTGGCCAGTCTCATGAGGGTGCGACCCCTTCTCGCTCTCAACTTGAGTGGCTCTTGGGGCGCATTAGTGCGTGATGACCCTCCATCGTCGAGTGGGGCCAGCGTCGGCAGCAGCAGCGGCTCCACCGAGCGGCCCAAAGGCGCCGCCGGCTCGCCCAAAAGCAGCAGCTACTTTTCTCTGCCGCGCTCGCACACATACCACAGCCTCTCGCGCAGCACGGCCGCCACCCTCCCGAGGGCCCCCGGCACCCCCAAGGACGACAAACGCCTCTCCGACTCGGCCCTTTTCCAAAAGTACTGCCCCCCTGTCGTCTGCGAGTCCCTCGAGCACCGCACGGCGTCTGGATTCCACGCGATCTTCGAGTCGGCCAAAGACCCCAATGTCTGCGTTCGCGCCCTCAACGTCAGCAAATGTGCCTTGGGGGCCGACGACGCACTCTGCCTTGGGGACACGGTGCGAAAGTCGCGGTCTTTGGCCGCGTTGAGGCTCGAGGGGACCTCGCGCTTGGGCGAAGTGCTGCCTGTGATTTTGGCGCTGCCCGAGTCACCGGCACTGCAGCTGCTCGACTTGGCCTCTCCGAGAATCGTCTTCATGGATGCGCCGACGCAGCTCCTGTGCCACGCACTCTCTAGGAGCCCGTCGTTGCGACTGCTGGGGCTCGATGGATGGACTTTTAGAGTGGAGGTGAGAGATTTATTGAAGCTACTTTGAGGTTTACGTGCGTTGGAAGGGAATAAATTGAGGGATCTGCGATTTATCTTTTAAGTTTAAACTTTATTCTTATTCCTTGTTGTTGTTGTTTTTGTTTTTTTTATTCTAATTCAATGGGTCAGGTTTATGCGATTATTCCCCAATCTTATCAAGGTACCCATGGAAATTACCCTTTTTTTAAATCATTATCTAATAAAATTAATTCAAAGATAAGAATGAAATTTGAATAAAAATTTCCTTTGCTGTCAATTTTTGATTTACTGTTTTTTAACATAATTAAAACATTTTCCATTGTTATTTCAGGAGGATGTTACTTTGACTGCCTTGACAAGCTTTCTGCGATCAACAGATTTAAGAGACATAGTGCTCTCACACTGCCGAATTCATATCACCTGCGTGGAAGGTCGCCTTGCCCGACTCGGCAAACGAGACGACTACGAGGTCCGAGCCGAGCTTCTCTCGTCTTTGCCCGAGTTCAACGCTTCGAGCGTTGCGTTTTTGAGACTGGCTGGCTTTGCCGTCGCAGTCAACGACCACGTCGTGCTGCGCGGTCCGCACATTTTACCCTTCCTACGAGGCTTCACTCGGCTCAGCGAACTGGACCTGAGCCTCGACCAACCAGGCGCCAGGGACGACCCTGACAAGGAGGAATTTGTCGACGACAAAACCCTAGTGCACTTTTTCTTGACACTGTCGCAGAATTTCCGATCTTTGCAATCGCTACGAATCGGCGGCTGGCGGGTCAAACTCGAGGAGCCCGAGAGGTCGCTCAGGTCTGTGGGCAGGTCCCTCAGGCTGTGCTCGTTGAGCCACCTCAGGGCCGACGGTGTGATTATGGTGGACGGAAGCAAGAACTCGATCGAACACTGCTTTTTGCAGACGGCGGTTGCCAGCTTGGGTTTGCTCACCTGGCTGGCCATCGAAGGGGTGACCCTGCAGCCCCATCAGGCGGCCACCTTTGGCAGAGCGGTCCGAGACCGATTTGCCGGCGCCACCCTGAGAATCAGTGCTCAGGACGTGAGTGTCGATTCAGTGAAAGCGATGATTGATGCGGTGCAAGAAGGGGCCAAAGCAGAGGTGACTTACCTCGGGGGCGCAGGTTGCAACCTCAGGATCCAACGGGTCGTGAAAAATCACAAAATTAGGGGGAGAATAAGGAGATTCACGTCGTTAAAAGATTAAGATTTTATCAGCCGATGTATTTGTCTGCGACCTGTTGCGAATGTAATTGTATAGCTGAGTATATTTGCAATATTATTTGCATGAACAACTCTCCCCCCATTTTTTGAGGTTTTGTCGGGAAAGTGTGCAATGCAGTGGCTAGAGCGGTGATTATAAATTCATAAATGTTAATGAGAATAATATGTGCGTAACTGAGACGTATGTGTAACTCATTGCCCTGATATGATCTATGAATAAACAGCTTGGCGTGTGTGCGGGAAAATCGAAGTTATCAGTGCTCCTTAAAAATCGCCCTTATCCAATTAAATAGTAAAGAAGTGTCCACTTAGATTATCAAAATAGCCAGAGCCTTTTTGTGCTTCTCTGTGTATCCTTTTAATGTATAACTCGTCCCAAATTCTAAATACACTCTCCTCTGCGAAAAAAAATAAAACAAATTTTATCAACCTAAACTCTAAAATTTTGCGTCTTATGCGTTAGAAATAGCTCGATGGCGCTTTGACAAGGGCCCTGCTGCTCAAGCAATGTGGGCTGCCAGAAATAAATAATTTTTAAACATTTACAAAGAGTGAACAAAAGTATAGTCAAGTTTTCTACTTTTGTATGCTTTTAATTTTAAGCCATGCAATGCGTTGGAACGTTGTTATCAAAGTAAATAATTAATGCAAACGAAATACTCAAAATTATTGACTCACTGATTAAATGAGATTAGGCGTTTTGGATTATTTGCATTTTACTCATAATTGACAAGGATGTTGATTTGATGAATGACGTAAAATTTATTAAAACTTATAAAAAAAGATAAGCACATATAAACACATATTCTTCGTGGCTGTGTTGTTGTTTTCCATCGTCCTTGCAAAAAATATAATATAATTAAATGTATATGTAAATGTACTGAAAAACACATTTGTGTGAACCTTATTTGTTTTAGCATAGAGAGAAAAATGCTGCCGGCACAGACCTCTGCTCGACAAAATGAACAGAGCGGGAAAAAATAATGCGCCGCGGGGTATAAAAATGCTTTTACTTTTGATTTGTTGGCAAAATAATACATGCTTGCAATTTATCAGACTCAGCGGAAATCACGCAAAAAGGAATGCGGATGGTGTGTAACTTTTAGTTTCCAGATCATCAAAGCCAATACGCCAGCTCTGTTAAGCTGTAGGAAAAAATGAGAATGTTATGTCAAATGGATGGTTATATAATATTTCAGAGTAAAGAAATGAAAAAAAAAAATTGCTCCCATTCCAACATAATTACCTTTTTATAAGGCAATACCTTTTACTGTAAAAGGAAACAAAAGCATTGTTTTGAGATACAAAAATTTTGCATTAATATTGTACTTGCATTCATTGCATCTCGTGAATATAACTTTGTCTCTTTTGGTCCAAAGATGCCATGTTACAATTTTTAATGTAAATAAAAAAGACGTTTTCAATTGTTAATCCAGTGTTGTTTCAATTAATGTCTCCTGCTTTATTTTTATGCAAAATAAGTAGAACTGTACAACAGAAAAGTTACATAACAAAACATAAAAGTTATATAAGAAAAGAGAGTGTTGGCAATAATTACGTAACAGGAAAAATTAGTTGAAGAGGCAAAAGTGCAAGGAAGTCATATATTAAAAGCGTCCTGTCAACAAATTGGCACTTCACCGGCGCTTTATTACATTACTGCTGATTAATTATAGTTGAATTAAACAAGCTGCATGCGACGCATGTGTTGAGGCACGTTTGCAATCAAGAATTTTCTGGTCACTCTGGAATTATTGCCTAGAGTGGTGAGAAAATCTATGGGAACCACTGCATTGTGAATCAGTTTCGTCAATGGTGACCCACAATCGTGGAGTCGCTTATAAAAACCATCGGAGACCTCCCCTTGCCCATTCTTCTACTAGTGTGTTGGTGCGACAGGAAAGATAAGCCCATAGGGAGTTCAAATTGGAATATATCCGCTGAGAGAGGTTTCGCGAAGGTGCGAAATCCGAAATTTCGGACCCCTTTCATCATCTGGATCTCATAAAAAGAAGGTGAGTTCAAAACAACAGTGAAAAATTGATAGAAAAACAAAAATTTTTGACATGTATTGAAAAAAAATCTGAAATAAAAAATTTATTTTCTAATTTTGGTACAAGTCTTTTTTAAATGTAGAGTTTTGCTGAAATTTCAGCTGGTTATATAATGTTATATCCTGGATTCACTTCAATAAATTTAATTTATAAAAATTGATTAAAATTCAATCCGGACGATATAAGAACTACAAAATTAAAAAAAAATTTGCTTATTTAATAAAATCAGAAAATAAACCAGCAAAACTAAGAAGAACTAAAATATCCAGAAATTTTATTAGTTCACTTAAAATTACAGTAATTTCATTACATAACTTTTCGGCAACCACTAGAATAACGCGTGATCCTATAATAATGAGTCATGGGAAATCAAATTTCGTTCACACCTTCAAGGACAATGGCAGGACGATGCGCTCAAATTTATGCAAATTTCGTGCTTATTTTTGTTGCCGAGGTGACACGGTGAGAGTCATCGGCCGGCCCCACTCAAATTCAATTTCGCCGTTCGCTTCAACTGATAAGCCTTTTTGTCCGACAGATCCCATGCCACCTTCACCACACACGGCCAACGGGCCCTTGGTGGCTCCTCCCGAGGGCACAACAGAACCTCGTCTGCCCTCCAAAGAGGAACTGAAAAAGAAGGAAGCAGAAGAGCTCCTGGCCGACTACTCCGGCGAGATTGTCTGGTTCAATACCATAGGATTTGTAATCTTGCACGTGCTCTTCTTCATCGGCGGTGTCCGATGTCTCGGCACCATTTTCAACATTTGCCCTCTCACGCAGTGGAAAACCATGTTTTGGGGTAAGAAAAAAACATTTTTTTTCCTTCTTTCTCACAGACGTGTGATATAAAAATTTTGCGATTTCAGCATTTTTTGTCGGTTTCTTTAGCGCCGAGGGCGTGCTAATCGGCGCGCATAGATTCTACTCACACAAAGCATTCAAAGCCGACTGGCGGCTTAAATCTCTCCTCCTCTTTTGGCAAACAGTTGCTGGACAGGTATACAAAAATCTTAAAAAAAAAAATTGAATATAATAATAATTTTTCAGAACTGCATGTATATTTGGGTGCGAGACCATCGGCTGCACCACAAGTACAGCGACACGAACGCTGACCCTCACAACGCGCGCCGAGGTTTCTGGTACTCGCACATTGGTTGGCTGGCCATGAAAAAGCACCCTCTCATCAAGATCAAAGGAGCGACCATTGACATGAGTGACCTCGAGGCCGACCCCATTCTTATGTTCCAAAAAGAGTAAGTGCGATTGGGCTACTTGTTTTTCTTTTTACGTCGAAGACTCAAAAGAATGTCCGCTAATTAAAGTTTTAAATTAAAACGTTTCCAGACACTACAAAAAGCTCTACGTTATTTTCGCCATTTTCCTGCCCGTGATTGTTCCCATCTACTTCTGGAATGAGTACTGGCTTGACTCGCTCTTCACCGTTTACTTTGTGAGGAGCATCATTGTGCTTAACCTGACCTGGACAGTAAACAGCGCTGCCCATTTGTGGGGAACTAAACCTTATGACGAGTGAGATTTCATTATTTCTATTTAACTATTTTTGCAATTTGAATATCAAAACTTTAGAACGATCATGCCTAGAGAGAACAAGTGGGTGGGTATGTGGTCCTTTGGCGAGGGCTGGCACAACTACCATCACGCCTTTCCCTGGGACTACAGGGCGGCCGAACTGGCCGTGCACTACAGCTGGACAACTCAGATCATCGAGTTTTTCGCTAGGATTGGCTGGGCGTGGGATCTGAAGTTTGCCTCAAATGACATGATCCACCGCAGAATAAAGAGGACCGGAGACGGATCGGACATACATGGATTCCACAATAAGAAAGAGTGCCATGACCACATAGAGGAGGCCGAACCTCATCCCGACGAGGTTGCCTCGATTAACAACAACCCAGTTGTGACGACAAACGGAACTACTGCTCGGCACAGAGCTTGATTATGTATTGATAAATTATTAATCAATAAGAGTAATATTGGAAGTTGCAACTCTGCAAGAATATGGTGATATTAATGTTTTGTAAAATGCAACTTTGAGCTTAATAAATAAAGTCTTATTCAAAAATTATCTCTTTGTGAAATTTCATATTCGAAAAACAGGGAAATAGAGAGTTTAAATCAAGATTTATTCATTACACATAAATTGCTTAAATGATTAAGTATTTGTTAACGTGATAAAATTCTCAATTAAGCGCAAATAAATATCCACCCAAATTCAAACTTAATGGGCAGTTGATTATTTTGAAGATAATTGAACATAAAAGCATTGTCGTTTCATTCAGTTATCCTAAGTTTAAATATTTCTAATCACAGAAGATTCGTACGGCATAAAACAAAAAAGTGCAGCAGAGAAACACAAACCTTAGTAAATATCAGGGCGGAAGAGTCTGAAGCAAACTGAATGGCATCATACACAGCAGTCTTTGATCAATAGATGACATGTGAATTGGTGCTTTGCGGTGCGGGAGATGTGATGGCTTCCTCCAAATTAGTGTCCAACTTTCTGTAGTTGGACGAGTTCGGTCTCCTTCTTGAGCCAGAATTATTCCTCCGTCCTTCCAACAGGAGAGCAAGAATCTACATAATTTCACAATTATATAATAAGTATGTATATTTAATTTTGACTTTACCTTTTGCTTGTTGTGGAACAACAAGTAGCAGACAACACTAATAATGGCCACCGTCAAAAGATATGATGAAAAGTTGGATTCAGTTTCCGGGCCTCGGTCATTTTGGGCAAAAAAATCATTGCTGGGCATCTGAGGGCCAGCTTCAATTTTTAATACAGAAAATTATATTTATGATCAAAATGGGTTTAAATTTTATTATTGAATACCTTCCGGAGTGTCATGAGGCATAACTTTAGGAGAATTATCGTCAAACCCAGCACCTTCAAAATCTTCAACACAAGAGAGAACAAGTGTGTCAGGTGCAGGAAATAAAATTTTCTTGCAAACCATAATGTCAAGTGGTTTCAAAAAAAGAAATAAAAACTCATTGTGATAGATAAAACATAAAAAAATGATAGTCCTTTCCGTAAAATAAATTTGCGCAAAGAAGAAAAAAAATTGTGCTTCTGTTAAAGAATTTAAAAATAATTATGAATAAATCAAATACCATCTCCGTCGTCTTGATTTCCATTATAATTGGTGCTATCAAGATTGGCCATAGATGATAGCACATCCTTGGCAGGAGTACTTGTGATCTTCTCTTTTTGTGAATCAGGTTCCAGGTTATTAACATTTAAAGCCGTCGAGCTGGCTTGAGCGCTGGTTGCCTTCATAGTTGAGCTGGCAGCAGATTTATTATCAGAGCTTGTGACATTTTTAACCGCGGATGTAGAGGTCTTGACGGCAACCATGGCTGGCGAAGAAGAGGAGGAAAGCGAAGAGGAGCTTTTGCTTAACATAGACTGTGAAACAGCTTTGCTGCTTGCGCTGCTAGAACTAGGTTTTAGTGCTGGTCCGGAGTTATCATACTTTGCAGCTCCGTTTGGGGTAAGGCTTTCGTCCGCCATAGCATCTAAAAATATCATCAAGTAAAAACAAAATTACTGCTTGCCTAAGTAAAATGGGAATTTCCCGTTTTTAACAGAGTCATTAAACAATGTAAGAAAAAGTGAGAAAAAAAATGTTTTAAAATTTGCACCTTCATTATCGGCAGCTTCTTTGGCTAGATTTTTCCTGCCCCAGGAAAGTATATTACAAAGAGGGTTGACATGCTCCTTTCCAAATTTTGGTTTGCACAGATTCTGGCAATCCTCCTCCTTTTCCAACAAGCCATTCAGAATCTTGACCCAGTGAGTCGAAACATTATTGGCTGGGCCAAGTGGGTCTGGTTTCAAAAGTTCTCCACAGGTTAACTCTAAATGATCCTCATCCTTGAAAAAACTGATGAATTCCTCTGGTGTTGCAGGAATAGCATTTGAATCAATAACATCAGATTTGCAAACATGTACAGAGAGGTCGTAAACGCCCATGCAGAGAAGGTAGTTGGGATTGATTTGGGCAAATTCTAGAGTTTGATTCTCAGTCACTAGATCTTCTTCAAATTCCATACGGCATGTTCTCAGAGGTCCCAGTTTGCTATTATCCTAAAAATGTAGAGGCAGATAAAGTCAATTAAAATTCACCTAAATGTCCTGAATACATAATTTATCCAGAGGAAAAATGTTATAAATTATTTGCACATGACAAGAAACTCACCATAAGCATTTCCTTCGGTGGAAAATTGCAATTCGGGGTGTCCTTGGCTATAAGACCAATGATGGTCTGACTGCTGGAAGTCTTCTGAACAGGACCCGAGGCCACGCTCAGCACCAGGCTGAACAGTAAAATGCCCTTTGACGCATCCATTTTCTGTGGATATTGAACATGGCATTAAGTTATCCCCAAAAATGTAGAAATTGTGTATATAGTACATATTAAGAAACGTTTTCCTCCTAGCCGTCCTCAAATTGAGACTTCTTCCTCCTTCCTCAGTGCCTCTATTATCGCGAAAACTTCACCATTTGCTCTGTTCCTGCCCTCCGAGAGAATTAAATCAAGAGCAATGTAAACTGAAACTAACCGCAACTTGGCACTCTTGGCAGATTACAATTTCGTGCACTCGTAGAATCGACAAACGCGAAAAAGAAAGCACAACGCACAACTAAGAACAGCTGACATTGACCTAAACCTGAACGCAATAATAACGGAGTCTTAGATAATTAGGAAGATCTAAATGAAAAAAATGAGGATGTTTTCTTAAAATTTTAATAAAATTTAAAAATATTATTTTTTAGTATACTAGCTTATAATTACATGAAAGTGTTTACAAAAACATAATAAAACTTAAAGTAACTGAACTGATATATGTCTCCTCTGTAAACACTCCATGAAAGTTTTTTTAACTCTCATTTGAATTGAACCAAAGCGCTAAAAACACGTGGCCTTTGAAGCAGCAGGACAGGTATAAAATTTAAGAATAAATGCAAAAGATAGGAAATATATATATTTTTTTTTGTTTCAAATTTATTTCACATATCAAAATCACTTATTTTAATTAGATTTTAAACAAAAAATTAAATATTCCATAATTAAATTAATGAAATACATGATATAAAATTGATGAAATCGTCAACATTTGTCGACATTCATTTATTATTTAACAGAGGTCACTTGACAAAAATGATTCTAGGTCATCAGTTTTACTAGACTTAAGATTTGGAGGCGGTGTGCGACAGAATGGGCAGTGTCCTTTCTGCAGCGTTTGCAATTCAAAATCATCGACATGGAAAATCTAAAATATAAAAATAATATTATAAGAATTAAGTCGATCCAAAAATAGATATTATAAAAAATATACTTTATTGCAACTTTGGCAATGGGCCACTGGAACGTCTGGCAACAAGTTCCTGAAGTACTGGAATCTCAGAGGTGGGGCCCATTTCATAATTATAACTTCATTCGGTTCCAAGGCCCGAAGGTGTTCTCTGTTCAAAGTGATTAAAGAGGTGCTGAATTCATTGAGATCCTGTTTTAAAAAAATATTCAATGATCAATATCACAAGGTAAAATGAGACAACTTGCATCAAAATTCAGTGTTGGAGATGTGAAAGGATCGTGAGTGGCTGCTTCGTCAAAAGTCAGAACTTCTGCTTCTCCTTCATGGGCTTCTTTCCAAGCAGAATTTTGTTTCGAATCATTGGACAATTGTAGAAGCCTCACCGCCTCATCATCACTTATACCAGCCTCCAGGCGAAACTCAACAAGAGGGAGAGTTTCTGCAAAAGAAAAGTAATTAGCATTGATAAATATTGAAGAGACAATGATACCGCTTTACCAAATGAGACAAAGGAGAATACCCATGGTTGAAAACAATTAGCACAATTGTTGCTGTAATTTGTAAGCAGTGGGTTGTAACTCGAGCACCTGTAACACATGGGCTGAAGATCTTCGTTGTCAGTAAACGGTAATGCTCGAATAGCCAATGCGGTTGACTCAACACTTTCCTAGGGATACAATTTTTTTTATTCAATGCTCCCACTGTGTGCTAATTTTTTTTTACTTGAAATCGAACAGGAATCCTCATTTTTTGCATTTGTGTTAAAACTTGCTGCGCCAATTTGTTTGCACCTAAATTTCGGCCTTGTCTAGCCAATGTGTATAGAATACAACTGGAATATAATTAAGGAAAGTTAAAAGTAACTAAGAAGCTATTGCAAAAAAAAAAAAAAAAAAATAGAAGAGGATACAATTGGAGGACACCCTTTGGACGAGAATCCTTGATCTCATGAAGCAAAAATCTTGCTATATTGAACAAAGCTTCAGGCATGTATGACGTAAATGGTTCGTCCTAGAAATCAGCAAATACTTAAATATTGTCTTTAAAACATTAAAAATGTTATACAGTATATCTTTGAATTCCATGGTACGCGTAATAAATGGAAGCATCTCTTTGACATTCCATAAATTTTATTATGAACTTCTCCTGTTCTTCTGGCCTGATATAGAGTGAAAAATAGTTAAAAAAAACTACTAGCTTTAAAAATTTAGCTATACATTTCTCTTGCCATGTCCAAATACTGCATTGATAAAACCCAATTGTAATAACCAGCATCGTCAAAACGTTTTTCATTAATTGCATTGTCTGTGAGCTGTTTCAAAACCTTTAGCGCTTCTTGTGGCCTTCCAGCTTTATGGAACGCTGAAATTTTTCAATTCATATCTAACATGCAAAACTGCAATACTTAAATGAATAGAACCTTTTTGAGCCAGTAGAAAGTGGTCATTCTCTGCAAGCCATTGTGCATAAGGCACATAAACAAGGTCTCGCAGATTTGGATGCTGCTCAGCAAGGGAAAAGGCCTCACGCCACTCTTTGGCTTGCACATATAATTTGACAACACTCATCATGTCACCCAATTTTCTGTACATGTCAGCTGCAGAAGGCAAATGACCTAAAGCACTTAGGTGATCTGCCAACCTGGCCATTTCTTCAACCTCAGCTTTTCCAAGTTTTCTGCCAACGTCAAGCAGCCTACCAGGATTTAAATTAAGTAAAATAAATGTGATAGATTTACTTACATGTCTATCCACCCATTTTCGGCAATGATGTCGATGGCTTTTAAAGTTTCTCCAGCAGACAAATACATTTCTGCAGCGGCTCGAGGCTCGTTGATGCTTCTTGCCCAGTCTGCTTTTTTCTTAGTCAAAGTTGCACTCTCTTCAGAACCAAGATATTCCTAAAATGAAAAGTTGAATGTTTGTCATACTATTTTTAAAAGATTTACCTGAGCCAGATGGAACATTCTAAGATCGGTGAACATTTCAAGAGCCTTTTTGGGCTGCCTTTCGTTTTTATACAGTCGAGCTGCTTCTTTGAACTGGCCCCTAAACGCTAGAACATCAGCTAAGAAAACTTCATGCTCATTTTCTCCTTTCTTCTGACGCTCCTAAGATTTAACATAAAAATATTGCAAGACATTTATTATTTCTCTGTACCTCAATTTCAAAGATCAATTGCAAATAATTGATATCCTTGATTCTTATAAATGCCAAACGAGCTATGCTCAAGTCCAGGTGGTCAAGAGCTGCATGAGCCAAGCTCTCCCAGTCTCCCTCGGTCACTCCAAGACAGGCAACCTGATACGCTTCTCTTCTCATTAACAGCATACTCGTTATAGATTTAAGCAATATATTAATTGATTTTTGAACCTGAACATTTTCTTCTCTAAATATTGGTACATGGGTGCAGATAGAGGTACTTCAATGGTCGACATAGTCGCTATGTGCAGACAAAAAATTTTCGATCCACAAAGTCCCACGACAAACCCCTGGAAAATTATTTTCATTTACAAAATAAAACTCACCTTGAAAAATAGCTTTACTTACTGAAAGTTTCTGCTGGTGGACGGGAAAGTCTCCCACTTTGATACTAAGTAAATTATTTCCAGAGAAGCACAGCATATCTTCAAAATGTGAATTCCATGCAACAGAGTTAGCATTGGGTTGCTAAAGTAAAAATTAAAAACTGTTAACGGAAATTTCTTATTCAACTTCAAGACATACCTGGTACAGCATATCTGAAGTTTGGATATCATAAACTAAGCACTGGCTGTTTTCGTCAACAACAGCTAGTTTTTTCCTTGAGGCACTCAAATCAAGGCAACGTATCGGGGATCCAACCTTGAGAAGGCTTATAGGAAAGGGGTTGTCGATGAAAATTTTAAAAACCTAACATTTAAAAAATAGTATTATATTTAAGGTCAAGAAAAATTTATCGATTTTTCACCTCCCCATTTTTTAGTCCCAGAAGAAGCCCTTCCTTTCCAGGCGGACCTCCAACAACTTTGATGTATCTGATTAGCGAGTCCATGACCCATTCTCGAACCACTGCACCTTGCAGGTTCAGGCATTGAAGTCTCCGCTCCTGTAAATTAATTTATCAGCACAAGTCAAGGGAGGACAAATAACCTTTTATCTTTCTCCATACCTGGCATAGCACAAGATGATCAGTACAAACAACCAACAAATTGCAAACAAACTTGTGGTTGATTTTTTCTTTGACACGATAATGCATTCCATTTGAGTCACCAGAATAGAGCTCGTAAATAATTATTCTTTCTGGCAATTGCACCTAACATAAATAAATAAAAAACTTCTCATTACATTCTCTTTAAATCATTGCTATCTACTTACAGCTAATCGATGTTTGTATATCGCTATCTTCTTGATTAGTTCCCGACATTTAATTCTAACTTTTTGGTCTGTCAGCAAATGCTGTATAATTACGTCTGTCATGTTTTCTCTGCAGAATAAATGTTTCAAAATTATACTTGTCTTGTTATGTATGTTTTTTTTTAACATACCTGTACGCATATCTCTCCTTATATAAACCATGGACAGTACTAAATACAAGCTGGTAATAAGCTATGGTCCCATCATTGCAACCAATGGCCTGTTTTAAAAAAAAACGTATTTAAAATTTGGCCTTAAATACAAATCAAGAAAAATTACCACATAACTTGTGTTTGGTCTAGCTGCAACTCCCCACACCCAAGTATCTTGCTGACCAATTACCCCAAGTCGTACGCCGTCTCTGGTCATAAGGATGCAATTACCACCCGATCCAGACACGAGGAGATATTGACCTTGGTTAAAATAGCTGATGGATAAAGGATCAAATCCAAGATTGCGCTCCTTTCCAACTGATTTGTATGAAAAAACATCCTCTTTCTTGTTTTCCGGTGAGTAGAATGACAAAGTTTGGCTCCAATCAGCAACACAAAGAGTGTCACAGCCTTCATCTCTTTAATTGAGACAAAAAAATTAAGTCGTCTTTCAAAAAACTTATTAAAAAAAACTTACTTTGCAGGGTTGAAAGCAAGTCCCCATATTGGAGATTGGAAAAGTCCAGGACGCTCTAGCCGACTTTTCTCTTCTCCAGTTTTGCTTCTCAACGAAACGCAACCGCTAGCCAGTCCGAGAGCCAAAATTTGGCCATCGTTAGACCAGGCACAGGCATTTATTCTGGCATTAGATTTATGCTTCTGGACAGCTTTTTGCTGCGGAGCCCACAAACCAAAGTCGCTGATGGCACAGCTAGCAAGCTGATGTGAAACAGGGTTGTACGCTAAGCACTGGATAGCATCACTATGCCTGCAATTTATAGAAGCAATTAAATCTTAAATTATAATTTAAAAATATTTATATTACGTGTATTTCAAAATACCCTCCAATTTGTTTGTCCAAATAATAACACTTTTGTCCGAGCTACCTGATGCAAATCTTTTGCCATCTTTAGCGTAGTTTACACAGTAAACATTATCTTTGTGTCCTGAAATGAACCAGATAGAAAATACTTGCAGCATTCAGACTTTTTATTACCTTTAAGAGGCTGAATTAGGGATCCATCATTTGCGTCATAAACTAAAACCCTTTGACCTGCTGCAACAATCAGTTGCGCTCCATCAGGGCTGAAGCATAGGTCGTAGACACTGTAAAAATTAAAAATTTGGACATTTTTATGAAAGCAAAATAAAAATAAAATTATTTTATTACCATTGTTCAACTTTATCATGGTCTTGGACCTTATCAACCCATGTTGGTACAGTCCTCATCATTTATTGTTTAACGCAGGCTTTGTAGAAGCTCAATATCTGTAATTTGGAATTTATTAATAAGTGTAATACGTATTATGTAGTACATACATAAATAAATTTTGAGCATAACAACTAACATTGATTTGTACGTTATTTCATTTAAAAATATATTGAGAATTGAGGTATCAAAGTTTTGGTTGCTTATCATAATTTTTATACATTGCAAGAGCTGTGCAGGACCTGCTTGTGTCATATGCTACATAATTATTGTTGACGCAAATACATTGATCACAGTCGAGTTCGACAGGAAAGTAATAACGCAAGATCAACCAGGATAATGACAACCAATTAAAAAGTCACTCAAGAGGTTCTTGCGTGGTGAGAAAAAGACCAACGAGACGGTAAATTACCATTCATTATTGCGCTTCGAGCAGAACCTGAAAATGTAAACAATCAAAGGGGAAGAGCCCTGAGCTTCGACGAAATATTTTCATGGATTCAAATTTTTCCCGCAGCAGGTACGTGTCTGCAGATCAAGCTGCAGATTATCTGCACTCTTGCTTTGCCAACTTAATAAAATATAACCAGAATGACTGACGATTATGAATTTGTATAAACTGCTTCTAGAATCAAAATTAATGATAAAAAGACGTGTTTGGAAAAAAGGCAAGTAAATTTTTTTCGCTAAAAGTACTTAATGTTTATTAAATAATTATTTCTTTCGAAAGTGATCATGTGGCCTTGAGTTGGTAGCCCTGTTACAAGCTTCCTTTTGTGCATTTATGCAAAGTGTTATTGATATTGATTAACATGGCCGCCGTTGCCTACAAAGTCGTTTTGATCGCCGGCTTTTTGTCCCTGTTTCATTCGGCCTTCTCTGCCGCCCAGCGTAAGTTGCATTGATTAACCTAAAACTTGCACCTTGAGACACGCATTTCGTTGGCGAACAAACATCATCGAGCAAGAACTCTGGTAGAAAAAAGGTGAACTCTCTGTGACAATTTCCCCCAACCCTCGTCAGTAAGTTGCTTAAAAGAAAAAAATTAATACAAACAAAATACCCGTGGGACCCAGTTGTAAAGGACCGGGTAAGTGCCGGTAAGTGACTCTTGGTGGTAAACAAGACCGGTCTCAGTGGTAAGTGCCGGTACGCATTGCCCGGAGAACATCCAAATCAAGCCCGAGTGGTAAGTGCCGGTAAGTTGCTCACAAAATGACTGAGTACCTGCCTCCTAACTTGCTGGCGCTATTTGCCCCGAGGGAGCCGATTCCGTTTCTGCCGCCACCGGACAAACTTCCCCATGAGAAGAAGAACCGTGGATACTCGGGGGTGGGAGAATTCCTCGCCTCCTTTGAAGACCCCCTGGACACGCCTGCCCCAAGGAAGGTCGAAACCCGCGAAGAACGTCTCGATCGTCGCCGTAGAGAAAAAGAGGAGCAAGTCGCCTACAAATTGGAGCAAGAAATAGCAGTGTGGGACCCACAGAACCTACCCACGGCCACCTCCGACCCCTTCAAGACGCTCTTCGTGGCCCGCATCAATTACGATTCGTCCGAGTCGAAGCTACGGCGCGAGTTTGAGGTGTACGGCCCCATCAAGAAAATTGTGGTGAGCCACAATGTCAATGATGGCAAACCCCGAGGCTATGCGTTCATCGAGTACGAGCACGAGCGGGACATGCACACTGCGTATAAACACGCTGATGGCAAGAAGATCGATGGTCGCCGCGTTCTGGTGGATGTCGAACGCGCCCGGACGGTGAAGGGCTGGTTGCCCCGGCGTCTGGGTGGAGGCCTCGGAGGCACCCGACGTGGCGGCCCCGAAGTCAATCTCAAGCACTCGGGCCGCGAGGACAATGAAAGAGAGCGAGAGCGGTACCGGATGGAGCGCGAACGGGACATGCGTCCGGCCGAGTGGGACAGAGACCGCGACCGGCGCCGCTCGCGGAGCCGAGAACGCGGCGGTGGCAGCGAGCGTGGTGAGCGGCGCCGCCGTTCCCGCAGCAGGAGTCGTGAGAGGAGCGAACGGGGTGAGCGGAAGAGGCACCGTTCGCGCTCCAGGGAGGCCAGAGAGCGTCGACCCCCCGCTGAAGACTTGGAGGAAAACGGTTCCACTCGGGGCCGTGACCGCAAACGCTCGCGTCGCAGCCGCTCAAAGGACCGGACGGAGCGGAAGAAGGACAAGAAGCGCGACAGAGAAAGGGACAGAGAGTCTCGCAAGGAGCGGCGCGACCGGTACGCGGAGCCAGACGAGCCCCGAATCAAGGAGGAGCCCATCGACGACTACCCCGACTACTTGGATCCCACGCCCGACTTTGCAGACGTGGACAACTACGGCAGTGCGGCCATCAAGTACGAGCGCATGTTGGCCATGAGCGAGGCGGCGGCGGCGCAGCGTGCGGCATCGATGGCGCAGACCCAGGAGGACTACGAGGACAACCAGTACTAAAAGTGTGCATGAGTCTTTTATTATATTTCTAGTTTTGTAAGTGGTGCGTTTGTTAAGAATTTTTTTCAATGATTTTTTTTACTATTCATTTTTAAATGAATGAGAGGCAGTTCTGAAATCGGAGATTAATTAGCCGCTCTCGTTTGTTGTTGCCTTTAGATCGGACGTATCTCCGTCTGACAGAGCAGGAGTTTGACTCACTTCCCATTGATGTGAGTAGATGCAAAATTTTAATGTCAATTATTCATAATTTTAATTTTTGAGTCAGGCTTCAAAGAAAAATTAATTTTAACGTCAGAACTGGAATTAATTTGTCTCAGTTAATTGCAATATTGCAATAAATTATAAAATTTAATTACTACTCAAAGCTATAAAAGTAAAAAAAAAAAAAAAATGTTTTTAGTGAGGCAGTGAGGCATAATTTTGGAATCTGTGTGTTGTTTTTGAGTTAATTATTTATTTTTAATAAGAAAAATTGTGTTAAACCTCATCTTAAAGAGTATTGCAAATAAAAAGTTTTATCTTTCTTGTATGTTATATAGAGCAGTTGAATTAGTTGTTGTTATAATTCTAAATGCACAACCTGAAAAATGTCTTCTCAACACGAAAATTCCAAAATTGTGTTTTACGGCCGAAGAAATTGGAATGCCACCTACGGTGATTGAAGAAATGGTGAATCTTTTCCAGATCCTTGCCCAGGGCATCGTTAGCCTGTTTGTGACCATGTACGGTTTGCTTCATGTTGTCGGGGAATTCAAAGAAATCCGAGCCACCGTCGAGTTGGAGGAGAAGACATGGGACTTGGTAGGCAACAACCCCTCATTCTATTCATTCAACCACCGCGGCAAAACGCTGCAGCCAAATTACGAACTTCCGATTCCGCAGAGTCGATCTCCCCTCAATTTGTCCAGCCCAACAGATAGTTATGACTAAGCAAGCACATTGTTTTGTCCAGTTTCACTGAGAGGAAAACGTTTGATAAACTGTGGTGCCCTTATGGCCAGATACTAACTATTAAGAAGTGTGTGCTCATATTTTCAAATCTCCGCTACTTGAGTTGTAATTTTTTAATTGTTCTAGTGAATATTCAGCATTGAATAATAAGAGGGAGTTAATAATTCTGTTTTGTTTTAACTTGAACATGTATTGATTTGCTTGCCTTTAAAATGATGAATCTTCTGCAAAATTTTCAATAAATAATGTTGACAGACTTGTACAAATATAGAAAAATTGATCTTTATCTTTTAATAATGGTCTTGAAGCTGTATTAAAAAATGAATGTGGTGTTGCCATGGCGACAAATAGTTGAAAAATGTCTGTGCTGGAGAAAATTCGCGCTCTATCATTTCCTCCAGATTATTTGAGTCTAGAATACATATCAAACTGCAAAGACTTAAAAGAGCTAGAAAAGATATTAATAACCTTGAGGTAAATTTCAATGAAGACATTTTATAAAGTAGGAAGCTATATTTTTAATTTTTAGGGACGATGAAGGTGGCTTGTACTCTCATTTGCTAGCCTGCGTCGAAGAGCGAATCTCGCATTTAAATCCTAACAACTTGCTTTTAAAATACGGTTCAGGAGTTGTTCCATTATCAGATCTTGATAAAGAACATCTAGATCCTCTTATGGAAGAAATGAGCGTAAAATTATGAAATTAATTTATTGCATTTTTGATACAAAAAAAGTTAAAATTTTAAAATTCTTTATACATAAGGCTTGGCAAAAGCAAATGCATTCTTTGGAGCAAACTATTACCACAGCTGAAAGAGAGGCAAAATTGGTACCACCAGTCAGGGATGGAGGTTTGCTGGAAACTGGCAAGAAATCTGTGAGCAACGTCAAGGAGAAAAAAGAAGATTGGAGTGAGTTTAGTACCGAGAAAGAGCTTCGTCTTGAGGTTGACAAGGAGAGAAGAAGGAACGCAGCTCTTTTGTTGCAAAAAAAGACAACCGGTAGCAGTTTTTTTACTAACTCGACACCGATGGGTATAAAAATTGCAACTCGTCGGTAACAGATTCATAGGTGTAACAACTATTTTTCCAGGATCTCTTGCCAAAGAGGAAAGGGAAATATTAGCGTTGAGAGAAAAGCAAAAGGGCAATGAATGTTTTAAATCTGAGGATTACAAAGAGGCGATTAGGTTCTACTCTAATAGCATTGCAATCAACCCATCAGTTGAAGCCTTCAACAATAGGGCACTTGCTTGTAAAAATTTATTCTTTTAAATTTTGTCTATTAATTTCAAAAATTTAGTCATGAAAGGTGAAAATTATTTGCTCTGTCTGAAGGACTGCGGTGCAGTTCTTAGTGAAGATCCAAACAACATCAAAGCTTTACTGAGATGCGGTTCCTCTCATTCTAAGCTGAATAATAGACTTTTGGTATATCAAAAATAACAAAATATATCACTATAACGCTTAACCACGGAAATTGTGCAGGCTTTGGAAGCTTTCCGTAAAGTCCTTGAAATTGAGCCAGACAATAAATTGGCTCTGAAGGAAGTGCAGAAGTTAGAGATTAAACTGATAGTGCCTGAGGCCAAAAATACCTCAAGAAGGTATATTTATTTGATTAATTGACAAAGATTTAAAAAAAAATCTAATTGTTTTAAATTTTATATATTTTTGCAGCGGCAAATCACCACTGATTGAAGAAATATGATTACCAAAATAGCATCTTTTTCTATGAAATATTCTTTCAAATAGCAAATAGCACTATAAATATTTCTTCATTGCAATTTATTGTGCAGATTAGTTAAACACTTATTCCTCTACAATAAATTTCCTAAAATGTGTATGAGACGCAGACCATAATAATTAATTGTTTTTATGATCTTGATTTTACTTAAATTTTGAAGAAGGGTGCAATGATAATAATTGGTTTTATGTTTGGCAATGATAATGAAAGAACAGCAAGAAACTTTTTATTATTAAAAACACCGCCGAGCTATTAAATTTCAGATAACTGGTAATCTAAATTGAAATCTACGTAATTGAATGACATTTTTTTAGTTCTCTCGTTTCGCGGGCTCCCCTGCTGTCGTCGGTCGTATTCACCAATCAGAGGCGGCCTTTTTTTCTTTTATTCCAGCCAACAGGAAAGCTCGTCGAGGAAACACGAAATAAATAATCAGCAGTAAAAACGAAACAACGAAAGATTACAGCACAAAGTCTGCTCAGCTCCGAATCTTCTGTGAACCAGTAGGTTCAGCACAATTATTGTGTTCGTCTTTCTTTTCCACCTGCCAGACTGGCCCTGCATATTGTCCACGTGATATGAAGTCGGAAAAACCACCGGGGCTCTCTTTGGGTGGAGGGAAAAGCAAGTCGAAATTGTCAACATAACAATTGACTGAGGAGGCTGCTCGTGTTAATTTTTGGAGAGGAAGACGTGGCACCCTCCAAAATTTTATTTTGGCCTGCTCATTTATTGGCAAGATGAATAGCACCAAGTACATAGCTCTCAACATTCCCAGCAGTCTTGCTGACTCGACTGTCAAATCGAGACGAAGTCTTTGGCGAGTAAGCTGGAACTAATTAAATAATCTCTTTAAGTTTTTTACTATTTTGTGTATTTTTTTGACAGTGGTGGAATCAGCTCTCCAGATTTCAAAGATCCTTATTTTATGTGGGATTCACAAGCATCTTACTGATGCTTATTTACTTCTGGCCGGTCCTTGAACAGAGACGAGATAATATTTCAAAAATTGCATTGGAGTCGACGCCTGCTATGCAGCAACTGCCCGAAGAAAGTGCACTGAAGGCTGCTGCAGCTGAACCATTTGGGGCCAATAAAGTTGAACAGCAAGGCGAGGCTGCCTATGATGCAGAAAACGAGATAAAACAACCTGCAGCAGCAAATGAGGCCCAACAAGTTGAAGAGCCGATATCACAAAAGGCAGTTCGGTTCAAAGGTGAGGACGGTTTTGAAATTGCCGGGCAAGTCTTTTTGATATTGACAATAATAATTTAAAACATAATTTCAGGACCTAAAAATGAAAGACAAAAAGCTGTGGCTGCTGCAATGCAGCACGCTTGGAAAGGTTATAAAAAATACGCATGGGGGCATGACCACCTGAAACCCCTTTCTGGCGCATACCATGACTGGTTTTATTTAGGGCTAACTATTGTTGATTCAATAGACACGTTATACATTATGAATCTTAAGAAAGGTTTGTTCCAAATATTTTAAATAGGAGATTTATTTTTATTTTCATTCTTCCATTAGAGTACTTAGAAGCTAAGGATTGGGTAGAAAAAAGTTTGAGGTTCGACAAAAACAGAGACGTGAACCTTTTTGAAGTCACTATTAGAGTACTTGGAGGAATGCTTAGTGCTTACCATTTGACCGGGGACAAGATTTTTCTCGGAAAAGCTGTAAGTTCTGCTGACAACTGATCATAATTGTCTATATTTGGGCATTATTTGTAGATGGACTTAGGCGAGAGATTACTGCCCTGCTTTGATTCGCCTTCAGGTGTTCCATTTTCTGACGTAAATCTAGGCAACCACAAAGCTCACTCGCCTAAGTGGAGCCCAGACAGCAGTACCTCCGAAGTGACAACTATTCAGCTTGAATTTCGAGATCTCACGTACAGTACAGGAGACTCTCGATTTGAGGTATATTTGCGTTAACATGCAGGCATAAATAATTATGAATTTTAATTTGCTCCTAACTTGCAGGAGGCTGTGAATAAAGTGTCCGAACACATACATGTTCTGCCAAAAACGGAAGGTCTTGTCCCAATTTTCATCAATGCAAACACCGGGCAGTTTCGTGTTTTTTCAACGATAACCCTTGGTGCCAGGGGCGATAGCTACTACGAATATCTACTGAAACAATGGATCCAAACAGGGAAAAAAATTGAATAGTAAGTTGCCTGCCAAAGCCACTTTTGATTAAAAAAAACTTGCTCGTCAATCAGTTTAAGGGAAGATTACATAGAGGCCATTCAAGGCGTGCAAAAGTTACTCGTCAAAAGGACCAGCAAGTCTGGCTTGCTTTTTATCGGGGAGCTTCAGTCAGGCGCCCGTGATTTCAAACCAAAAATGGTGAAATCTCAAAGTTGAAATTTCTATTTGGCGTTATTTTTACTTCCTTGTAGGATCACCTCACTTGTTATTTACCAGGAACTTTGGCTTTGGGTGTTCATAATGGTATGCCTCAGGATCACATGAAACTGGCCGAGGATTTGCTCTGGACGTGCTACCAGACTTATGCGCAAACACCAACTTTCCTTGCGCCGGAAATTACCTATTTTCAAATTCAGGTAATTGTCTTTTTTTGAGATATTTTAAAATTTGAAACTTAAAACATTATAAATGTCTTTAACTGAAAGTAAAAACCTTTTTACTCTACATTTATTTACTTTTTGTTTGTTTTCAGGATGCAAATGCAGCTGACATGTATATTAAAACAAACGATGCTCACAATCTGCTGCGGCCTGAATTCATCGAGAGCCTTTGGTACATGTACCAGTTCACAGGCAACAAGACTTACCAGGACTGGGGATGGACTATTTTTCAAGCTTTCGAGAAGTATACCAAGGTTACAAACGGCTACACATCTATCAACAACGTGAAGGCGCCTGCTAATGTGAAGCCAAAAGACATGATGGAGTCGTTCTTCCTTAGTGAGACTCTCAAGTACTTTTATCTCCTCTTTTCAGACAATCCAAAATTAATTGACCTTGACGAGTATGTTTTTAACTCGGAAGCACACCCATTGCCCATCTCTAAGGGCTGAACTCTCTAGGCCACTCATTTAAAGTTGGGACCACTTGAAATTTTTCTCCATTCTTGTGTAAGTTTTATCAGAAAAAAATTTGAAGTCTTAAAGTTGAGGGCGTTCTAGAACCTCCACACAATTTTAAAGTTTGCGGTGGTTCTATTTTACCATAGCTCCTTTCTCCACTATAGTTCATTTTAGAGCTACTCGATTTGAGCATTAGGATCATTTGTAAAACCAACTGGTGGCTGCATTTTTAAGCTAGTCCTTCAACACGTCATTCATCACAATGAAATACATTTATTAAAATATTACTTTAAGTTAGATATAGAAAACAGCTCACTAATTATACACAAAATTAAGAACATTTACTATTACTAGCTGGAAAGTGGTCATTTGAACGAATCATGGAGAAAATGCAATGCAATATGTTATGCAAGGTTGATTTGGCGTGAATCCGAATTCTCTTTCAAAGCACACTTTGCTCAAATTTGCTGTACACATGTTTTAGAAAAGAATTATGTTTGAAGATTTCATTACTATCAAGAGTGAGTTTATCTTGAGCTTGCAAAAGATTCTGTGATTTTTGGCTCGGCGTGTTGATATTATTTTTGAGCACGACATTTTATCATTTTAATGTTCCTAACATGTAAAGTTTACTGCAGTGTATATTATTGTACCACTTATATTTGTTCATGCAAATTGTGTTGCTTTACCAAAAATCGCCTCAACCTTATTAAAGCTATATTATGTTATTTATAATAATTTGTAAAAAATTTTCAGCAAATAGTGTGTGTAAATAAAAAACACTATTTCGTCAGTTTTCAATTATGTTTTTTAATAAAATAGCATAATCTGCAGTAGAAATGTTAGTACAGTAATGAGGGTTAAAATTTAAAACAATTTTGAACCAGCATATAAAGACTAAAGACAATTCAATTTTAATAGTCAACAGCAGACCTTCACGAGCAATTCTGTTGATGAGTTTCTTATAATCTAATACATCAGTTAAAAACCTGAACTAAATAGATCTAGGAATCGCTATTTTCTTGTACTTATCACCAACAATAACGTTATAGGGATTTTAATTTAATGTAGATCAAAAGAGCTTGTATAAAGCTCTGGGAGTATTAATGATAGCTTAGCGACCACATTTGTGTTTTTTGGGTTAATTTTATCATGTGAAACAGAAAAATCCCAGGCACGTACAACACCCTATCATACACTCGTACCATATTCCATGTGGTTCATCATCCTCAAACTTTTTTAATATCAACCTTTGTGTGCTTTTGGCACTAACAGTTCCCGCCGAGTGTGCGTCTGATTCTCCAGTTGACCTCTCCTCATGGTCCATAGGTGTGAAATCACCAGTGACTTGGTCTATTGCATTGGCGATGGCCTGAAGAACAAATTGGAAATCAATATCATTGCCAAGGAACCGTTTTCGTCAAGTGCTTTAAAAAAGACAAGTGAGGGGAATAAAATTAAAAGATCATATATTTTTTTTAGCTGGAATAAGGATCTGGTGCGCCCAAGTGCAGTTATTAAAAAAAGAGTGATTTTTATAATATTTTCTATTTCTAATTTTTCTAAAATCTACATAATACTAAATAATTTTGCTAGCTCTCTATCTAAGAAAAGATATAAGAGTAGAAAAGTTTACAGTTTCGACACTGAAATCAAAATTTTGATTTTCTTCTTGCGGAATGTAAAATTCCCATTCCCGCTCCCACATGAAAATTCCTGTTCCACAAGAAACTTGATCCCAGTTCCAGCTCTGAAATAGGAAGAGATACCCTAGGTGATTATGAACAAATTTTGTGACTTAAAAAATGGACAAAAAAATCATCTGCATAAACGCTCACTTCAAGCTCAATTTCGTCGTGGTTGGAATGTTGTCGGCAGGGTGCTTTCGTTATCAGGTCAGAGGGCTCTTTGAACTCTACAGGGGGCACTGTGTGGTCAGTGTGGTTTTCCAAGTCTGACGAGGCCGGCCGTCTTTTGCTGCCTCGGTTCACGGGCAACCTCAGGGTGGCTGCGTCCGTGTACTCAATTCTAGCCTCCGTCTGGTGCTCGTTGATGGGCGGTGATGGCGGTGGCGTTTCTAGATGACTCCGGTTGTCCATTATGGTGCTAATCAAAAAGAATACAGATGTTAGCATTACTCTGGTTTGGTATGTTGCGTCTGCTTACGCTCTGTAAGTTTCTATTAAGAAAATTTTCGCTCGGCAACGCAGCATTGTTATTCAAAATGTTATTGTTTATTATGTTTTTTGTGCTGCAGGTTTAAAACAACAAACTAGAAGGAAAAAAATGAGAAGAGGGACTATTATCAAGTGTAGCGATTACACGACATAACGTGCGTGCACAGGCAGACTGAGCGTGAGTAGATTGAAGTTGCTTCCGGTTCCCTGAGAACCCCCTCGCACCTCTCAGCGCGCCACGATAATTATCCATATCAGTGCACAGGCATATACAAAAGCCCTGATCCCTGACACTACATGCGCAAAGAAAATTTAAATTTGCTTGCAATAAAAAAACTATCAATTAAGGTTTTAAATAAAATTAAAATTATTAATAATAAATATTTATTATTTTATAAATTATTTAAAAAATTTAAGGTGTGGAATTAATATTCCTGAATCCATCCGATATTCTATTCCTTTTTTGTAATAAAAGAAAAGATTAAAAAAAAAATAGCTTTATTTAGTGTTATAATTTCAGTCGTTTGATATAAAATCTGCATGAATAAATTTTTTCTAAATAATATTTTTTTTTTATCAAAATATATTTTACGAAGTTTCGCGGATATTTTGTTTGATAGTCTGGAAAAACATATTTTTTACATACAAATAGTCTTTAATTTTAGTCACTTTAGTCGACATTAATTTGAAGAAATAGTCGGTTTTAGTCAAATTTGAAATAGGTGCCAATCGTAATTAAATCACTTGATTCATGCATTTTCGGAACGTTTTGGGCGACGTAGAAAAAAAGTTTATCGACTTAAATGCACTAGCCTTTAGCCTAACGATTTATACAACATGAAATACATTTTGGCTGTTTTGTCATAAAACTATATTTGGTGCATTCTGCGAATACTGCAGATCAGATTCGATATAAATTTATGAAAATTTAAAAATATTTCATTCAAAAATAATATTTAAAAAATAATGCACAAATAAAAAAGTTAACAGAGAATAGAAAATAAATTTTAAACATACCTTCCAATTTCAGAGTGACTTGTCTCTGCCATTTCTTTATGTAGTTTTGTGCAAAGGGAGAGCAGCTATTAATTCTTTTAAATTAATAAGCCAGATCAATAACTGGGTCATCTCAGCAAGTGGATCATGATTCCTCTGAGGAAGGAAAATTTTTATTAAAAATGTACATTAAACAAACAAAGAAGTCTTAAGTCTTAACAATACTTTTATTACAATAATTCATCCTATTGTTTATTTGGTATATTCAATACAATAATCAAGCAATTTGATTAAAAATAAATAATTGATGTGATTATTTTTTTTAATAATCATTGATACATATCAAAGTAAAGGGGTCTAGGAATGCATAAATAAAGGTGATTTGAAATTCTTGATTAACAAGAGATGAGGTCAAATATGCTCATGGTAAAAAGAAATAAGAGCTATTTATCAAGAAATATCTAAAAGTGAGAATTTCTTCCTTCAGCCAAATTGATTTTGTCTCTCTATTAACAGTCATAGCAACGCTTCCTCAATTATTCAAGGGCTCATAAAAGAAAAATTCCACGCCCTAAACGTGACTTGCGATCAGCAAGAAAATATTTTGCTCCTTCTCCGACCATAACATGGATGGAAAATTATTAACCCATACCGAAAAAATTTCATCTCAAGAAGGGAACACACCGCGGTTATTTTAATGGTGACAATTTAATATTAAACGCAGGTGCGCGCGGCACGCGCATTCTGCTAATTAGCACAGCACACCAAAAATATTTACCTCGACCGTAGACGTAAATATCAGCTGTCATTTGACCTCTCCGCAGTTTGTGGTCTCCATTATGGCGCGTGCAGTACAGCTCAACATAAATTTTCATCCATTTAATGTTTATAATCCTCCTGCTGGACTCACTGGAGACCTTGATAGCAAAAAAATTCAAAATTAGATGTTGGATTTGAGGCTTTAATGTGACCTACGGTTCCTCTCGACAACGGAAATTTCAAATAAAAATTATGGGAAATCGCGCAAACTATAATAAATCATATTCACATTGCATGCCAGCGTGGAAAGTTTCGAGAAAACTGGAAAATCACACGAAGAAAACAAAGTGGCGCGCAATCATTGGCCGACAGTCAATTGTTCTAGGGAGGGGGCGCTGGTGGGCGCTGGCCATCTTTATAAACGTAAACAAACCAAGCGCACGAAAGAGCCGCAAAATTTATTACTCTTGGTTTTCGCATAGTATTATGCGACTAGAAGAAAAATGAGTGACAAAGAGGCGTCCTATGGAACAAACCTGTCACAGGAGTCGATCAAAGTGATCGCCGAGAGCATAGGTATAGCGAATTTGCCGGAAGAAGCAGCCAGAGAATTGGCCGATGAAGTTTCATATCGATTAAAACTGGTCATGCAGGTGGGATTGTAGGATTTTTATGAGATAAAATTTAGAACTAAGACCTAATTGATTCTTTCAGGATGCGGCAAAATTCATGCACCACGGAAAAAGATCAAAACTCTCTACCTCGGACATTGATTACGCACTGAAAATTAAAAATATCGAGGTATAAAATTTGACAAACCTGTCTGAATTGAATTATTCACTCTATTCTTGCAGCCTGTGTATGGGTTTAATTCTGCTGATGGAATTCCATTCAGATTTGCGTCTGGTGGAGGCCGAGAACTTCATTTCCAAGACGAAAAAGAGCTCGATTTAACGGAGCTGACGAACGTTGCCTTGCCAAAGATGCCGATGGATGCTAGTTTAAGGGGTTCATTTGAAACCGCAGGATTTGAATAAAAATAAAACCATGTATATTAAATTTCAGCTCACTGGCTGTGCATCGATGGCGTCCAGCCAACCATTCCTGAAAATCCACCACCAGTTGCTAAAGAAGTTCAAAAATTAGAAAGCATTGATCCCGCAGGTGCTTCAAATAAAAAAGATAAAGGCGATATGGCTGGAAAGCCTGTTGGGTAGGCTTTTTATCCTTTCATTAAAATTGATTTTTATTAACATTGAAACTGGAATTTCAGAAAAGTCCACAAACTTCGAAATGTCGAGACTGTCCATGTTAAACAGTTGGCAACTCACGAATTGTCGGTTGAGCAGCAACTTTACTACAAGGAAATTACAGAGGCCTGTGTAGGGTCAGACGAAGCACGTCGAGCGGTTAGTTTTTTTTTTTTTTTAAATAAATTCGTTTAGCTAAATATTATTTCTCTTCGTGATTTAGGAAGCATTGCAAAGTTTATCGTCAGATCCAGGTTTGCATGAGATGCTGCCTCGGATGTGCACATTTATTGCCGAAGGTGTCCGAGTCAACGTGGTGCAAAACAACCTTGCTTTGTTAATTTACCTTATGCGAATGGTGAAAGCACTTCTTGACAATCAGTCCCTGTACCTTGAAAAATATGTAAGTGGAAAACTCTAGGTTTTTTTACGGGTTTATTTAAATTTAAAATTTCTTTCAGCTCCACGAGTTGATCCCGTCTGTGACGACGTGTATTGTCAGCAAGCAATTATGTATGAGGCCAGAGCAAGACAACCACTGGGCTCTGAGAGATTTTGCCTCAAGACTTATGGCCCAGATCTGCAAAAACTTCAACACCTCCACAAACAATATTCAGACAAGAATAACAAGATTATTCAGCAGAGCACTCAGCAGTGATAAAACTCCTCTAGCTTCACTTTATGGGGCAATCGAAGGTACCCAAAGACATTTTTTATTTATTTCAATAGCTCATTAACAATAATTTTCAGGATTATCCGAACTTGGTGCCGAGGTTGTTAAAGTTTTTCTCTTGCCTAAGATAAAAATTGTATCGGACCGTGTTGAGGCACACATGGGAATCAGCAATGCTGACAAAATTGCCGCAGAGCACATAAAAGTACTAATGGTGGTGAGTCTCGCATGAATGAAATCCACATCAATTTGGCTATGTCACAAATTTTTTTTTAGAAAACGCTGGTGCCTCATTTGAAAACTGTGCGCTCTGGACCTGACTATATAGAAGACTACAGGCAAGAATATGGCTATCTGGGAAGCAGTTTACATGCAGGGATGCTTAAAGCTCGCCAGCAGCCCCAGTCAGCGACTCAAGCAAGATCTCAGTCAACGTCAATTATTCAGCCCAGTATGAGTATTAACTTTGAGTGATTGAAAATAAATATAGCTTATTTGTCCCATATTAGCTACCCAAGGTAGAACCTTTGTGGTCGGAAGCTCGGGGACCATCCGCTCAGTGACGCAGAGCAGCGTAACACCGAAATACGTGATGGTGCAATCTCAGGTTTGTGAATTAGCAAATAATAACTATGGAATGGAGATCCTTAATTCAAGCCAAGATCCAAGCTTCACTACAATTGGAGCAAATTGGATTGTTCTGATTAGGCATAGCTTAACTTAGCCCAATCAGAGAGCTCATTATCAGTTATATTGTTTCATTGTAGTGATATGCAAACCATAATATGAGCCAATTAACTTAAGTAGAATAAAAAATCTTTCCCTTTCCATTATCTCTTGTAGGCTTCTGCCCCTACTGTGGTAAAAATCAATCCAGCACAGCAGGGAGCAAACTTTGTAAGTTTCTCTGATCATGTGTTAATATTCCACTTCATCTTTGATCCTCATTGTCAGTATCTTATCTTTATCTATCTTTGAATGTAATAATTTTTGTAGGAATCCACATGTCTATTGGATTTGATGGATTTTGTTGATTGGTATTTAGTTCAATTGTTTATTTCATATTTCTTGACTACTTCTTTGCAACAATTTTAAAATCAATTTGGTTTTCAGAGCTCGCCTAATGTTAAAACGGTGTATGTGACTCCAAAGATGGAAACGGACGAAGATCCAAATCCCCTGTAAGCCGTGTTTGTCTATCATTGATGATGTAATTAATAAAACAAGTTTTTAAGCAAAACAGTTATTTTTATTCTGATGGGTGTAAAGCATATCCGCTTCCAACAATTATTGGCGCGTTTTCAATTTCTTTTTCGTCAACTTTCTGTGTCTCGCCAGGGTGAATCGGAATCTCGGCCTGCACTTGTGGCAAGAGGTAGCTATTATACAGCACATAGCCTCTGTAAGGCGACTCAACTAATTGTTGAGTTTGAAAAATGGCAAATCTTGAAGGAAGGGCCTGTTGCCTTTGAGGAGCAGTTTGCAAGGGTGCTACCTGGGACGGCTGTTGAGCATAAAAACGCTGTGGAAATGCAGGCTGTGCAGGAGTTGCTGGAACGTTTTGAGCAGCATTGCGTGCTCCTAGTGGTGTAGTTACGGGAGCAGGTGTTTGTTCAATTCCCCTTAATCAACAGAATATTAAATAAACTTAATTAATTTGTTTCATCCTTAATAAATTATAGATTTTTGCGCAAAAATTGAACAAAAAAATTTGGCCTCTATTTGAAGTTACAAAAATTTTAGTATAAAATTAAGGAAAAAATTAACTTACAATGCTCGGAAAATGTATGGGAGGAAAAGAGCGTTTGCCGTTGAAGTAGACACGATAAATATAAAAATCTGTGAATAAAAAAACCAACTTTAAAGAAATATTTCCAGAAATAATAAAAAATTTAGTAAGATTGAACCAAATACTTTTTTTCAGCAAAGTACGGTACTCACTAGAAAACACTTCATGTTTGTCCGTCTAATAAGATGATGCAGAAGCAACAGTTTCCAAATCAGGAATGCTGGTGCATCCCAATACGATGAACCCTTTATATAGGGCTCTCAACATCAAATAATGAATACTTGCGTCACTGCACCGCCGGACAAGATCAAAAATGCAATAAAAAAAACTTGATGAAGGGTTTGTAATTATTATACAACATCAAAACCGACCATCATTATAAAAATTATATTTACAACTCCTTATATAGCTATCTCAACGTGGAAATCACTGGAGACGGTGAGGATAACAACCTCTCAGGGCACATCATATTTGGGAGAACCGAGAGTGGTGCAGGAAAGATCACTTTCATTATGTAATTATGTAGACACGAGATGCACCGCAGCTCGAGTGCAATGCACCAAGAATGAGCTGCTGCGCCCACAGAAAGGGTTGAGGAATGCAACTATAGAGCAATGACTTTATTCGAATGTAGAAAGAAAATCAACAGCTAGAATTTTTAAAGAAATAAAAAACCATAGAAAATTCATTATATTTGAATCCAGTCAAATAATAAAACAACATTCTTTTGCGCGTAATTTTGTTTCAAAATATTTATATTTGTATCAAATGGCCGCAATAAAGTGTGCTTTACAAAATAATCAAAATTGCTTTTAATCAAAGTTGAACCTCCGCTTTCCGTCAAATCTGAAGCCATAAGCGGGTGCATTTTTTACATCGATGAGTGCCGGGTGGCGGTGCTTGTAAAATGAGCCGTGGCCATGCGCTGGCCGAGCATCCCCGTTGACGACTCCGTACGCTCGGTTTGGGTAAAAAGCTTCAAACTTATCTTTGGGAAGGAGCACCTTGGCGAGCTGCTCGTCCTCAGGGTCGTAGGCCAGACACAACGCTAGGAGGCACGCCAAGACCATTATCTACAACAAGAGTAATTTTAAATTTAAATGAAAATTTCCATTACATATTTATAACAACATTCACATGCTAAGTTGGCTTATGGGATTTGCAGTGGTGATAACTTTTAGCATGTGTGAATATCATCCAATATTTTTGCAATAATATAATAAATGACCTATATATATTACAACTCACTTTCTTGGTACACATTTAAATTTGAAATTAGTTTGCTGTTAGCTACGGATTGCGAATTGCTATAGACTACACTTTGCACCCTCTTTCTTGTTAGTTAGAAATTTTAGCACTCGACGTCATTTTTTTCTGCGAATATTTACCTTGACGAGCGGCTGCATGTTTACAGAAAAGACCAGCGACTGATTTGTGTGCTGCAAGGCGCGGTTTCACCAAAGTGCGTGACCCGATCGAGATGCGAAATCAACGCAGCTATGGAGACATAATTGCTGTCATGCTGACTGATTATTGGCTTTTTAGAGACGGCTGAGGACAGCCACTCTTACTTTCAGCGCACTCGGTTGTCAGTCACTTTACAATTAGAGGGATAAATCTGCAGATAATATGCAATTAATTTGACATATATATATTATTGTTTATCTTTGGCAACAGACTGTGGCTTTGTCTTGGCTCAAGAAACTAGGAAGTAAAGCTATCACTTGGCAAATATTATACACATACGAGTTACGAGTTGCCCTTTTTTGTTGGGCTTTCTCTCTCATTAACCACACCTATAGCAGCACAGTAAGCCCGACAACGTTATCCCCTCTCTTGCCCCCACACAAAACTATTTAACCTTAAGCATCGCATAATATTCAAATTTATTCACCTCTAAATAAAAAAAATTACTTGCTTTATAAGACTTTGCTTCTATTATACTTTTTTTTCTGCGAGGTAAAACAAATCTGCTTATTGTTAGAATGAGATCAAAATTTGTGTTTGGGGTTATAAACATTTTATTATTGATTATACATTATACCTTCATGATATTCCAAAGCACTAGTTTTATTTATTTTTATAGAAAATAAGAAGCAAAATTATTATTAAAATACGAAATAAATTTAAATTTTCATTTGATATTCACATGTGCATGCAATTGTTAATAATTACGATAATTACAGACAAGTTTATGCGTATTTTTTATGCCTTTTGTTACAGAAAAATTAAGCCTTTTGCATCAGCTAAATGTAAATTTTAAAAATTCCGAAAAATGCATGTTGCTGATTTGAGCTTTTTTTATGCTCCTTTCAATTTATTTATTTATTTTTTTTAAATTGTATTAAATTTGCATTAGAAAAATTTCCTGCGTTGAGATTTGTCTCCACCTAAGAGATTTTTGGTGGTTATTGTTTTGAAGCTGATAATAAATTTTTATAATTATAATTTTTGTATTATTTATCTCGATTTGGGCAGACACTGCCTTGTGGTACACCAATAACTTCATTTGCAACTAAATTAATAATTAATTGCGGTTTATGCGGACAAGTTAGGGTATGACAAATTGATTATGTATCAAATTAAAGTTCATACAAACGGAGTACCCTAAGGCAATTTTTGCCCAACTGTAACACCAGATATAATTATAACGAGATTTATGCATGGAAAAAAAGTTAAAAACCCCCTGTCAATCATTTAAAACGACGATCCCGCAAAACACAAAAGCACGTTGTATGCTTTATGACATTCAATAACTTAATCCAGGTGATTAACGTTTCCCATTTTCATTACTCATAAAGTATTCACATGCACGGATTATTCAATTTCATTACATTACAAACAAAGCTGATCAGCAAATAAGGGGCTTGAGGAATATGACACAAATCAAGGTAGGAATTAGAAATGATTAAATCATGAACATTATAATTATTATTTTATTTTAAAAATTTTATAAATTGCAATTAGTGTTATTAGAGGAAAATAAGTAAATATTCAGGCAAATAACCGGCATTAAAATAATAAGAAATTTAAACAAATTGTTTACATTTTTTTACACGAATCAAAATATCCTTAACTGCAAAAATTTTCAGGATAAGTTTGAACGTTCGAATGTTGAAAATGATGTGTTGAAAAAAAAAATCATTACACTGGATAATTTTGTGTGAACCAAATTTATATTGGCTTTAATTGATTTATCTTTGTATTAATTAATTGTATATGATTCGATAAAACAAACAGGATTTTAATTGATCACCTGACTTGCAATGTTTTGAATGTCATAAAATAGTCCTTAGGTTTGATCATAAATAAACTCTACAATATCAATTGGCCAACAAGGCGGTGCAAAAACGCATCAATTCGCTCTAAAGGGGTGTAATGCTGTCAAATTTTAAGACTGACCATGTGGATTGTGGTACACGCGATAATTCATGTGAGGTGAGTTTTGCCTTTGGTACTATTCCTGATGTTAACGTGGCGTGGCACAACAAAATTTTAAAGCAATAGAATAGGTTTAACAGTGTAAGTTCTATACATGCCTACAATTTTTAACATAAAAGCGCCTTGATTTTAATGATCAAGTTTTGATTGCCTGAGAAATATTTTGATCGACGATTAAAAAAGCATCCTGCAAAGAAAAATTTTCTTCCAAGCAACGCGTCTGTGAAACGTCTAGCAAAATTTCGGCAGCAATATTTTATTGCCCTCCAAAAATAGATGGGACGGAAATAGGTTTCACTTATTTTTTGTCGAATGGCGTACAAAATAAATAATGCTGACGACCGCCTGCGCTGAGGCCGAGGGGCACAGGGTAGGAAGGTCATCGGCGACGACGGGAAAGCCTACGACTTCTATGGTCATGCATTATTTGACGTATCCAGTTGCGGTGGTGCGAAAAATCTGGCCGCTGCTGATTAGGTATGCAATTAAAGGGCGCCAGCTAATTAGAGATGCGGCAGTCGCTTGCAAAGCAGATTAGGTCGCAAGTGGGGACAACTTTTAGCATCATCTACCTTGTTAGGATGCTGCTTTAGTTGCAGTGAAATGCTGCAATTTTCCAACGCAAGATAATAAGAGGGAGAGCCAAATAAACTTTTTCAAACATTAAAAAAAAATCAACCTTTCTTCCCAAACCTCACAATCAGAGAGGTAAAAACAATATACACTGGGTGCTACGAATTTATCTTAAAGGTTTTCTTTGCCTTTTTTTTACATATTTTATAATGAAATTTTTGTAAACCGTGAAGGATGTAAAAATAATACAGAAAAAAATGGTGATTAGAATAAAGTCGGCTTTTCCTCTATGGGTTTTGTGAGTTTATGCTGCTCTAAATTTTTTATTAAACAATAAACAACCCACAAAACCTATCAAGGAAAAGGCGACTTTAAATTCAAATCACTGTGAAACTACCCTCGATCGTGAAATTCTACTGAAAAAAATATATTTAAAAAAAAACTAATTTAAAAAAAAAAAAAAATACAAAAGTATTTGATTTTAATTAAATAAAATTTTTATAATCTCCCAAGAATAAAATAAAAACAGTAAAATTTGATAAACATGGGAATTGAACCTAAAATCATAAAATCAAGCTTTTGAGACAAGGAATCATAACAAAAGATAAATTTAAGTATAGACAAAAGAATTAATTTGCCTCGGAAAATGCTATCAAATTCTTGCTGAAGATGCCAAATTATTTTTAATGGTTGAATGTTCTGTTTTTTCGTTCAGAGAGCTGTTTTTTTTTTTACATTATTTGTGACGTATCAGAACAAGCTGCGTTTCGCTTGGCTCGCATGCGCCGGCAAACACCGAGCAGTTCTTGTCGGAGCGACTTGCAAAGTGATACAAATTTTCCAGCCGTACCTGCGGAGAATCGCGGCCGGTTAGTTGTTTTTCAGCACTCACCGGCACAAATGCTGCCGAAATCCTTGTCCGAGGCGCCAGAATATGTTTGTTTCAAAGGAACGACTTGAATGTTTTTGGCGCAGTGGGACTCCAAACCATGTGACGGAAAAAAGAGATAGCCAGCACCAGCAACAACAACTATTATCACCCTTGAAAAGGTACGTTTCCGTGAGCACCCTTTTTCTCCTGTTACTTTCCCTATCACCTTAAAAAAGGCACTCGCATATTATTCCTTGGTCTTTAGCCACTTGCGAATTTCAGACGCTTTTGCACTGGTTATATTTTATACGTTAGAGTCGTTTCAACTTTTGCTATTTTTGTAAGCCATGTTATGGTGTCTAGTGCGGGACACGGGATCTGCCGCCGTTTTGTGTGCCAAGGACAGGGACAGTTCAGCATGTGCGCTAGTGATTATGTGTACTTTGAAACGTGAGAATGATATTTAATGCTGCATTTAATTGCGTTTAACAGCTAACAATGGGGGCTTACGTGTCTGGAAAAAACGACTATGTTCATAATATTACAGTACATGATTATGAATCATGAGCGTTTATTGTTAATTATGAACTTAATGAAATAATTATTTCAAGAGTTTTCATGGTTTTTCTATTCATGTTTGTCAGTTTTAAAATTATCTATATACATTTTTTTTTTTAATTAAAATTAAATTAAAAAGAAAAAAAAGTTGTTTTTTTGGTGCTCAGATCAGTGATTTATAAGAAAAACGAAAATAACTCGTTTTCTATGCGTTGTCAGCAAGCAGTACGTTCCCTTAAAACATAAATATATCACTCCTTTTTAGTACTGAATTTTTAAATTTCAAATTTATATTTTTTAATAAAATCATAAATATTTATTTTTTTCTGCTTGTAAAATATGGTTGAAGACGGTGACCAAAACTGGCGTTTAGAGAAACACAAATTTTATTTAATGATGACAAAGCCCGTTCCCTTCTCTTCATGAATGTCTCCTCAATTGCTAAATTGTTAAAAAAATAAAATCCTGTTTGAGTGCCTGAACCTGAAAATTCAGTGACGTTAAAAATTTACTCTGATGGCCAAAAATGGCTCAGGCTAGGTAGGTTAGCTTTTGGATCCACATATCAAAATGGACAGAGCTTATTGAGATAGACAAATCAATTCTTTACAACAGGAACTTTTAAAAATAGGAAAAATGTAGCTCCAGAAAAAAAACACTACAATAAGCCAAAATTTTTAAATTGAACCATCAATAACCAATTTATATTTGAAATTTGCAGAAAGTGCCATTATGAAGTCGACTGGACGCCGGTGCTGGAGTCTCACATCAGTATTAACATTTGTCGTTGGCACATTTTTCATGCTTTCCTATCACGTCCACCTGCATAAAGATGCCCCTCGCCAAAGAAATCAAAGAACTGATAACATGCTCAACCCTCCCGCCACTCATCGTCTGACCTCCCTTGCCGATGACTACCATCAACTGATCAACCTGACTGACTTCACCTTTCAAATCCTTGCAAACTGTTCTCAAGACGAAGACCCACTTGTAGTCGTTGTCCACTCAGCACCAACTTATACCAAGTACCGAAATGCAATTCGAGCTACTTGGGGGTCGTCGCCCTTCAAGGTGGTTTTCATGCTCGGGGCGGTTACGAATGAGACCCTGCAGCGGAGACTGGAGGACGAGGGGCGTCGGCACGGCGACCTGGTGCAGGGTTCGTTTAATGACTCATATAGAAACCTGACCTACAAGCATGTGATGGCCCTCAAATGGCTGCACTACCACTGCCAGGGGTACAAATACGCCCTTAAGACTGATGACGATGTCTTTGTTAAACTGGACTCCATAGTCACACTCATAAACAATGGAACTTTCCCTGAGAGCAACCACATAGTGTGCGACGTAATCAAGAGGTAGGGAGATCAGATCATTAAATAAAATTGAACCCAATTAAATTTTTAGCATTTAATTTTTTAGATTTTTCTTTTATTTCAAACATCACAAAATTTTCTCCCTTAAACTCTAACAATATTAGAACGATTGACAAGGTTAAAATAAAAACCATGAACTGATAATAAGAATTTTCTAATAACAGGCATCACAATAAAATTCCTCCAGTTAATTAGTTATCACTTACATGCATCTGGATTTTTGGGATTTTATGTGCTTAAAATTTTAATTATTTTTTTTTAATATCAGTTGTTTTATGCATAAATTTTAGGAATTTGATTATATCTACTGCAAAATTGATATTAATTTTTCTTATATGTAGGGCGGAAGTGAAACGGTCCTGGCGCTCCAAATGGCGAGTGTCACCGCGCGAATTCCATGAAAGTTCCTACCCAACCTACTGCCCTGGCTGGATAGTGCTTTACAGTCAGGACGTCATCGGCAGGCTTTACACGCTGGCACAGAAAGAGTCGTACTTCTGGGTCGATGACGTCCACATTACCGGCATTTTGGCGCAGAGGGCACAAGTTAATCACAAATCCATCAAGCCTTGGAGAATGCCCTCCAAAATGGTTTCAAAGGTACTTAAAAAAGGCCACTGCCCTTGGACTTTGTGCCGAGAGTTTGCTTTCGGATCGTATGAGTTAGAGCCTGATGAAATCAAGTTATTATGGACAGTTTTGTCCAACAGCAAGAATGGTTCAGTGATTCAAGTGGATACAAATTAAAATGATCTTCAGTCTTCAGTTTTAAGGCTTTATACTGCAGCAGATGGTTAGTCTGTATTCATAAGAGAAGTTGATTTTTTTAATCAAAATAAAATCATTGAAATATCTTATATCTCAGGGAACGCCAAATTAGTCCAGTTCATATCTTGTTCCAGTCAATTATTATATTTTCCTACTCAATAATAAGCATACTTATTACTGCTCATCAGTTGCATTCAATTTGATATAATGAGTTACAATGAGACTAGATAAAATATAATACAGAACGCCAGTTTGAGAGTGAAAATAGATTTGGATTTATTCATTACTCGCCACAAAATATTAAGGCCAAACTTTAATGCTAGAAAATCATACAAACTTTTAAAGAGCCTCGAAGAAAGAGAATTAAAGATGCTTAATGTAATTTATTGAACGAGAAACTAAAATTGTAAATAATAAAAATAATTTATGAAACACAAAAATTATTTATTTTATTTGTCTTTCCTTTTCAGATATATCTTTTTTATTTAGCAAATCATATACCATGCAGCACATCAAAAGGCAATAAAAAATATTTCTACAGCAGCACAGCAGCAGATTTAAAAAAAAAATCAGAATCAGAAAAGATATTATCCAGAAAGAAAGAAAAGCAGAATACTAGTAAAATTTGCTGTAGATGAGATAAGCCAAAAGTGGGCGCTGATAACTTCCAACATCGACTAGGCAAGATAAAATATACCAACATCAAAGCCTGCGCGTGATGTCGAGAGCATTCGCTATTCACAGAGATGCCGTGGACCAGCTGCAAACGCTGGTCCCCACTGATTGCGGTGTGCACATTTATAACTTTGGCAAACTTTAAAATCAAAATAATTACCACAGAACATTCAACAATGGAGCCAAGTGAATTCAGTTCATCATATTTGCAACAACGGACGTCCCTTGACGATGACTACCACAAACTGATAAACCTGACTGATTTCAACTTTCAACTTCTTGTAAATTGTTCTCAAGAAGAAGGTCCCCTTGTAGTCGTTGTTCACTCAGCGCCAACAAGAGCTGGCCATCGAAGTGCGATTCGAGCTAGCTGGGGGTCGTCGCATGTCAAAGTAGTCTTCATGCTTGGGGCGGTGACCAACGAGACCCTGCAGAGGAGCCTAGAGGATGAGGGGCGACAACATGGAGACCTTGTGCAAGGGTCGTTTTACGACACATACAGAAATTTGACCTACAAGCACGTGATGGCCTTCAAATGGCTGAATTACCACTGCAGAGGACCAAAGTTTATCCTCAAAACTGATGACGATATTTTTCTAAACTTGCCCAGTGTTTCTGAACTAATAAGAAATGACTCTTTTCCCAGTGATCATATAATTTGCCACTATAACCTCATGTAAGTAAATTTATTTGATTCATTCAAATTAAATACCATACACATTATAAACTTATAAATTTATATTGTATTTACAGTTTTAAAACTAAAGAGGTTGATGACCACTCACTAAGTCACTCTTACATTGGAATAGGCCAAAAATTCAAATTTCTTCACCACACAAAGCACATTTTTTAAATTTTTGATTTGCTTCACAGTGATATAATATGCTTTATTTTGACGTAACAAAAGAAAAAAAAGGAAAGCCTACCTCATTAAAAGGTGCCAAAATTTTAAAAGTCTCTTTCCATTTGTTTTTGGTCATAGCAGGAGTTTTGAAAAATTGTGGGTATTTTTGTATTTACCAATACTTTACACACTTAAAAATTTATTCAGTAGTGTTACTTAATGGGATTATCCAGTGTTTAATAATCAGCAGATTTGCACATGCTCTTAAGTAATAACAGTGAAGTAATAAATAAAATTTCCTTTAAATATTATTGAATTGAAAAAATTTAAAAGTTTAGATAATTTTTTAGAATTAAAATTGGAAGAATAATTTTTAAATAAAAATTATGATTATTTATTTAATTCATTGAAAATTGTGTATTGAGTAATGTAATCATAAATTTGGTATTTATGATTACAATTTGTAGAAATTCAATTTAAATGTATAATAACTGTTGAACTACAAATTAACTTCAGAAATAAGCGACAAGTTTAAAAAAAAAATGAGTTAATTATGACGTCATCAAATATAATCTCAATCAATTAAATTTCTATGTTGACAACACTGAAATTAGAGCTTAAATTGAGTTCTACGTCCAAATTCATTAATAGTGAATCATTTCTGATCTCGAGAAATATTAGCGATAAGACTAATATTGCGTCAATAAGCTGAGATAATAATTTTTGCTTATTTTTTGGCATTCAAACCCACCTCAAATAAAAAAATTGATATTTCTTAATTACAGGAATCGTCCGTCTCGTTCATGGAGAAACAAGTGGCGTGTTTCACCACTTGAATACAAGGATACATTTTATCCCCATTATTGCAACGGCTGGCTGGTGCTCTACAGCAATAAGACGGCAAAGAAGCTGTACACTCTGGCGCAGCAGGAACCTTATTTCTGGATAGACGATCTCCTCATCACCGGTTTTTTGGCAAAAAAGGCAGGATTGCACCATTTTTCGACTCGCCCATGGCTACTGGATTGGCAGATGAGTGAAGACATTATCCGAAACGGCAGCTGTCCGTATGACAAAGATTGCAAAAAGTTTATCTTCGGTCCGTCTGAGCTAGACCCCGAGCAAATAGTTTTACTTTGGAAGATACTCGCAATCAGTAACAATACAGGTGATGACACTTAAAAAAAAATCAATAAAAATAAGTTTTCTCAGCAGAATTTCCAGACAAAAATGACCCAAATCTCATTAGATGTATATTATATGAAATGTGTATAAAAAGCTTTTTGTATGTAGCTAGGCAAAAGAAAAAATGTTTATGGAAAAAGCCTAAAAAGTACAATAAAATAATAAATAAATAAATAATTCTAACAACTATAGAAACTACTAGAATTTGCTAAGTGCAATGAACGAATCGTTTTCATTTACGCCCGCCGATCCCAAATCATCCAAAATCCCAGACAGCGGGCCAGGCTATTGATTAAAGCGTGCGGCGAGCTACGGAGATAGAGCGCTGTCGTTGGTGCCACTTGTTAGAAAAGCACTGCAGTAGCGAGGCGAGATCGAGAGGCTCAAAACAAAACACCAGCAGGGTCCAGTGGTTCAAGGCCGAGTTAATCTAGGAAATTAAGGTGGCAGGATGCAGCTCATGATCCGCGGGTGCATTCGGCACTGAAAGCGAGCCGACCATGGCTTTGGCTCTCATAAAGAGGGTCTTCAAAAAGTACCCCTTGGTGGCAAACTGTGGGGTATATGGCACCCTGTACGTCGGAGCCGAACTGTCGCAGCAGACCATCAACAAGAAGTTCCTTGTAATTGCATTTTGGTTTCATTTGGGCTACATCAATATCTGTATTTATTGTTGGCCGCTTTTTGTTGTCAGGCACTCGATTTAATTCCAGCAGGAGTGCTGCAGACTTTTCCACCCCTTTGAATATCTCAGCATATTGATTTTCACCGCGCCTTTGCTCTGTCTTTTTTCCACAGGCCCCTATTCCAGAACCCTATGACCAAGGTACCCTGGCGAGATATGGAGTTGTTGGCACCTTTATTTATCCCACTATTCTCTTCAACTGGTACACACTTTTTATTTTAATTTAATCAATTTTCGTTCATCTCCGCACCTTTTATTTTGTTAAAAATGTATTCGATCTAATTTTGATTCTACATTTTTCCTAAATTCATTTTCAACACTTCCCCTCAGAGCACATATTGTACCAAGCAATTGGTTGTCACTCTCTGTATTGAAAATCCTTATTTCATTTACAACACTGAACTCACAGCTTGTCTGCATGAAAACTTGGCTTTCAGGGCGGCCCGCCTTATGATATGCAGATGCTTATGAGATACGGCCTGCTTGGGGTTGCTCTTTACCCTCCTATCTATTATCACTGGTGAGCTGTCACTTTAACTGTGCAATGGCAATTGAAAGCGTGTGCGATTATTTGAAAAATTGCAATTAGCTAATCGGCACAAAATCACCATTCACATGGCACAATTTATCAAAAGCCGTGCACACACCTATTTGCACTTTTCAGAAAAGTCCTTCATCAACGAGACTTAACTGATTAAATGGATTTAATATCTCCTTATACAGCACATAAATGTTGCATATACAATTTCATCATAAAATTTTCCATACTTATATAATGTAATGACACTTATTATTAACAACTTTTAAAGGTACAAGTGGTTGGACGCCCGGTTTGTGGGTACCGCCGCGCCTATCATTGTGAAAAAACTCCTCTTGGACCAATTTTTACTGACGCCACCACTTCTTGTTATCTTTTATGCAAGTAAGTTATAATCAAGAGGACACTTTTAATGCGAAAATTGCTATCAATTTTGTTATTTAAATTATTTCGTAAAAGCACTCTTAAATGTTTTTTTTATCTCTTGTGCAATTATTTAAGTCCTTTTTTTGCAGGCATGAGTATTATGGAGCGCAAAGGTGATATACTTGAAGAGTGCAGAAACAAAATTATTCCCACCTTCAAGGTTTACACTTTGGTTTTCAATAAAAAGAGTTGAATCATTATAATTATTTATTTTGTTTTAGACAAGTTGTATGTTCTGGCTTCCAGCACAAAGCATCAACTTCATGTTGGTCCCACCCGCAGCTAGAGTGGTGTATGTTGGCTCGTGTGCTTTCATCTGGGTCAACATCTTGTGCTGGTTCAAGCGACAAAATTATTAAACCCTGAATGCCCAAAGCAAGAGCTTTAATGTTATAAAAAATTATTTGATTGCTTATTTCTTTGCAAAATTCTCACTAAGCAGTATTATCGCAAATGAGTCATGCGCTCACTAAATGCTTTTAGACGTTTAAACGCAAGTCACCTGCTAAAAAAGCTTATTAATGCGAAACGTCTTCAATTATTCATTTTCAGTAATTTTAAGTTATTTTTATGTTTATCCCATTTTTTAACTGTAGAAAAGATTATACCAATTTTATTTACGGAAAATTTATATCTTCATTATTTTATTTGTTATTTTTTTTTTTATCAATTTAAACACGATTTTTCTACGATTATAAGTCATAAATGAACACAGAATAAAAATTATATGTAAATGTTGCAAATATTGTGAATTTTTGGGGATGCTTTACAATAAAAATGTACGCAATGAAAAGATAATAACGATATGAACTGCCGTTTTCTTGGTATCCATTATTGACACAATATTTCCTGTCAGCATAAAACATAAAAATAGAGAATTTGCAGAAATGAAGTAAAGAAAGAAATTAAAGGGTGAATTCTCTAATTAATAGAAAAAAAATTAATTTTAAAATATATGTCGCACCTTGTAGGAAAGGATTGTTTTTTTTTTAATTTCGGTATATATGGAATAAAGGAATAATCCTGAGTGGTTACACCCCTCTTTTAACTCGAAACATATCGATCGCCTCTCCGAGTGGCCCGGCGACAAACGTAAACTCGCGTGAAAATATTAGATGTTTCTCTGCGAAAATAAAAAATGAGACACATAAAGGCCTCGGAAAGACTGACAGAGAAGAAAGTGGAGAAAAAGCTGAGTGTGGACAAAAAGCATCCCACGTCATCGTCAGAGGATGAAAGCAAACCAAAAGAGCCGTATGTATTGCAATTAAAAAATACTTATTTTAATTTCTCTTATCAAAGTCTAAAATTGTATTTTTATTTCCAGAAAATTTGGACCTATGCCTAAACTGCCAAACTCTAGACTGTGGACCCGAGGCGTGATGGTAGGCGGAGCTCTAATTGTTCTGCTCTTCACCTCTGGAAAAGGCCGCGAAGTCACCATTGCAAAGCAGTCAGAAACTGTCCAGCACAAGGGCCAGCACGTCCACTGCTCTGACGACTACACCAAAGAATTGCAACAATACCCAGGCTGTGTACCAGAACAGTGCGGACGCGTAATCACGGACGGATTGGTCAGCGCGAAAGAGGCAAAGGAGCTTTTGCTGTTGGCGAAGAAGGGCATGGCCCTTGGGGGATCGGACGGTGGTGCCACTATTCTGGACCTGCACTCTGGCGCTCTTTCAAAGGGCAAGGCCTTTGTGAACGTGTATGGGCTGCAGCCAAATTTGCTCACCGCCCAAGACTACAAATTGTATAAGACTGTCCGAACCAAAATCCATCACTCGGTGGCGCATCACTTCGGAGTGTCGGCCGACCTGCTCCATCTAACTCATCCAACCTTTTTCTCCAAGCTGACAAGCCAGGAGGCCCAGTCACAAAACGATGAGTACTGGCATCCACACGTCGACAAAGAGACCTATGAAGCATTCCATTACACTAGCCTGCTTTACCTCACAGACCACGGTGAGGATTTTAAAGGAGGGAGATTTGTTTTTGTTGACCCTGACCACACCAATAGAACTGTAGAGCCGAAAAAAGGTAATTTTCATTTAAATTCAATTTAAGCTGTATAATTATTTTAATTAAAATTCTTGATTTCTAGGTCGAGTTTCTATGTTCACTTCAGGGTCTGAGAATTTGCACTTTGTAGAAAAAGTGACTTCGGGAGAGAGATATGCCCTCACTGTGTCATTCACATGCAATATAGAAGCAGCGATCAAAGATCCAGCAGCTCAAAAGTGATTAATAACTGGCAATTTTTTTGATCTCCAAGTCGCATTTTTGAGCAATACCGAAATAAATCATGTACCAAAGTATGAGTGGCAAGAAAAAATTTTGACACAAAAGACACAATAGATCATATTTCCCTCACACACGTTGTAGTTGTTGAATTTGAATGTTTGATAAATAAGGTTTAAACAATATTAAAGGTTTTTTCCTACCGTTATCAGCACCTCTCAGCCGCATCACAGTCACATTGTGCGTGTCGGTGGTTAGGCGTCCAGTCTCCTCGACTGTCATTGGCATAGTAGTCCATTGGGTAGTGACCATCCTTGGTTAGTGTGTTGTCTCTCCTGAGAGTCATGTTGAGCTCAAAGGGCGTCAATAGGGGCTTTTGAAAAGCACGACCCCAATCTATGCTCAGGCGAGGGCACGCCACCTGGACCCAAGCATCTATAGAAGGCCCAAAGAGAGCAAGTTTTTGTGGAAATATTTCCGACAGGAGTACGACCACACTCTCCAGATTGGACTTGGTGATGCTTTTCTAAAATTTAACATTTTATTTAGTTAACGTCATTTATTCCATTAATATCAGTTACCTCAAGATTTGAAAGCACAGTGGGATTGCCTTGTCTACCCAATGTACCCAAAATGAGCCCAAACGTTCCAGCTTTTATGGACTTGTCAACAGACTCTTTTCGAAACGACAACATCATTTCATGGTCATATTCCTCTAGAGTGAATTTCTTATCATAAGGATCAAATCTGTGAAATAGGGTTAAAGTTAATAAAAACAAAAAAATTCAAATATTATCTCTATATTACTTGTATGCTGGTACGGTTGGATTAGAAATCATGGCAGACTCCAAATGAAATCTTCCGTCTCCAAGATAAATGATGGCATCAACATTGGTCTCTAAATTGGGTGATGTGCAGCCCAAAATTTCACCAGCAGACAAAGGCTTCGATTGAGGAATAATGATGTTAAACCCGCATTTTCGTAATTCGGACGCTGCTCCATGGAGTGATGCAATGAACTGGACGGTGCTCACAAAAGCCAGAGTCTTTTCGATAGTGAAGTTCAACTTCACAGACTCAATAAAATGGAGAATGTCTATTTTGATGTCCACAAAAATATAGAGCACTTTGATCGAAGCTGTCCTATCAATTGGCACAAGACAACTGTGTCCATAGTGAATCAAAAGCTCAACTCCCAATGACTTTGCAGTTATATCGTCTACACAGCAGGCACCGTAAGTGACGTCTCCCATGATGACAACCTCTTCACATTCCGTGAATTGCTCGATGATGTCAGCAAGTGTGGTGGCAAACAGAAGGAGGCCTTCAGGTAGCTGTAAGCCAACAATCTTGGCGTCAAGCTGCTTGATACGCCAAATCGTTTTGTGGACTTCAAAGTTGTAGTTCGGGGGAAGCACCTTGATGGCTGCATTTAACATGTGATCTTGAATGATTTCATCAGGAATCTTGTTGTTGACCCTAGTGACTGCAGGCTTGATCACTTTGCGTGCAGGGTTTGCAACCACCACTGCTGACTGAGAAGTCTCCTGCAGGTCGGCGCTCATTATCTGAAATGGTTAAAAATGAAGACCATAAATAATTAAAATAACTCACAAAATGACATTATATTATACAAAGCTCTTGTATTTCAAATATTTTTACGCTGCATGAATTTTTACCTTTCCCCTATATTTCTTCTTTTAAAAAAATAACTCAATATATGCTCTTTGACTTTGTATTTTTAAAAAATCTGCAAGGAGTGCCATATCCACATGGTGTGTTGCACATGGACCCAATAATAAGCAAAGCTGCCAATAAAATGGAATTTTGTAATAAAATAAATATTATGGTTTTATATATTTAGACGGTGAACGTAATTTACATTACAAAACATGTTTTATTGCAAAATAAATTAATGCAAAAATTATTTTGTTATATTATGTGAATTAAAAGAAAAAGACAAATTTTTAAACAAAAACGTTGGTACGACACAAGCGTAGCTCTGCAAACACCGGCTGGTTGGGCAGACTTGACGCCTCTCCCACACCCACAAACATCAAAACGAAAAAAAAATGAATTATAAAACGTTCTTTTTGTGATGGTGCCTGATTTCAAAGTAAAACAAAAATGGGGCCTTCTTTGAAAATAGTCCTATTGTCCTGCGTGGCAGGTAGTCTTTACCTGTACGGGAGTCTCTTGATTCTGGTCGACACCCTGCTGAGTTCACTGCCGCTACCCGTGATCTTCCCTTTACTCCTATTGCTTCTAGTCTATGGCATTCGCCTGCAGCCTTCACCTGATTATTTGGTCGAATCAGTTCTTGGAAAAGACCTTGATCCAGAGGCTGACGAAGACAAAAATGAGGAGACCTCGCACGAGTTCTATTTAGACAGGGTCGCTCACCGAGGGGCGGGATATGACGCACCTGAAAACAGCATATCATCATTTCAATTGGTAGATTCACAATATTACATGCATTTAATATCCATGTTTTCCCCAAAATATTATAATCAATAAACTCAAAAATTAAAAATCGAACCGTATTATATTCGGAAAAATAATGGGGACATTTTTGTTCTTTAACAGGCACACGAACATGGTTGCATGGCAGTAGAATTTGACGTAGCCTTGACTGCAGACGGGGTTCCAGTTTTGTTTCATGACAAAAGTCTCCTTCGCATGTGCGAGGTTGACAAGAAAATTAGTGAAATGACTTTCGAGGACTTGGAAATTCTTGACATTTCGACAACTCACCCTCTCAGGTAGGGAATAATAGTCTTTTACTAAAATTGAATGTTTAAATTTTTATTTTACGATTTATGATTGTTGAATAAATAAATTGTATCGATTTCAGTCGCAGCTTTGCCGGTGAACAAATTCCACAATTGGACGAAGCAATCGAAGAGTGTCTGAAATTAGATATGCGAGTGTTCATCGATTTGAAAGACAACGATACTAGAGTGGGTTTGATTAACCAAGGGTTTCAACAGAAGAATAATGTAGAAATAATGACATTTTAGACCCTGATAGCAGTTCTCAAGATGTTTGAAAAATACCCTGATTTACAAGCAAGGGCAGTCATTACCTCCTTTTATCCTAACCTGATTTTCTGGGTAAGGCATACTTTTATTAAAATGATAAGAAGTCCCAAGTTTTTAATTTAAATTAAGGTTAAACGGGCCGTGCCTAGTGTTGTATGCGCTCTTTCGTGGCGTCCAGGTTTGATCGCCTATGAGGACTACACATACTCACGGTCCGTTGGTGGACCTTACCGCAGAAGGTTTGCGTTATTTTATTGCATCTAACAAAAGTGACGCGAAATTTATTTATTACAGGTATCCTGTGTTCTGGCAACATGCTTTGGCCGTGATTGCTGATGTAATTCACCAATGGTGTTTCTTCAACGTTTATGACTTCCTCCTGGGCATTTCTGCTGTCATTGTGCACAAAGATTGTTTATCACCGTAAGACTACATTTCTCTTTAAAAAAAATAAATTAAAGATTTTTTTTAATTTTTCAGGGATCAAGTTCGACAATGGCGAAAGAGAGGGGTCAGGGCCATAGCCTGGCCTGTCAACCTAGCGTGTGAAAAGGAATACTTTTCCAAGGCACTTCATGTCACCTATATGACGGACACGCTGAGGGAGTAGGACAAATGAATTTTTTTTATCCAATACAGCTCATGTAGATTAATCCTTCCTTTGCCAAAGTGTATTTATTAAGGTTTTTCAAGTCCATATTTTAAAAAGACATCCCTATTTGAGCTGCTTAACGGTTTCATTTTTTTTTTACGTTTTGATGTTTTAAGTCTTTAATTTTGTCTTTTACCTCCCTTTGCATTATATTATTGATTGGTTTTCCCTTTTTTCACTTTCAAGTCTCCCTTGATCTGCCATTTTTTAATTATAATTGTTCTAGTAAAATATTCCACCAAAGGGTTAAAAACTCTTTGTTCCAAAGTTCAAACCCGCCTAATACTGGTAGCCATGTATATTTTACAAAAAGTGTTTTAAATTCTGTAACATGTGCGTTCAAAACGGCTGCTATTGTCCCATGTGATATTTTAAAATTTTACAAACTTGTTTCTAACCCCTAAGTTTAATGAGAATTTTTGGAGTCCTCAATTATGTCATATATAATATTTATGTTTTTTTGATTTTTATTCCCTACCAACAACGATTAACGTTTGTAAACTTATTGTCAGCGTAATGTAAAGAATGTAAACATGTTAAGTTCTCATTCAAAAAATTGTGGTGTGTGCTCCTAGTGTCATAGAATTAGCTTCCAACCCAGTATAAGTATGAGCTCAATGAGCTACAAAATTATTAAATCACTCCAAAGTAAAAAAAAGACAGATCTCTTTGTGTGCTTGTTTTCAAGTATTATCCACTCACGGTCATAACGTTTTGAACGGGACCTACTTTAGGGCAACTTTTTGGATTATTTCGACTTTGATTAATGTCGCGGCGAAGGCCACGGATGAGAGAAAAACTTGCTCAAGCTGTAAACTAGCGTTTTGTCACGGCCGAGCGCGACGACCGGCCAAATTTAATATCTTTACCGATCACAAGAATTGACACTGCTCCGATTAAAAGGCAGTTTTGCGCCGCGGCAAAAAAGCGCTTGGTTTATTTGGGCGATTTAATAATTCATCGACCTACATTCGATTTGCCTTAGGTTACATAATAGCTGCATTATATGATTCAAAAACACGTTTGGCCGGTGCGCCGCCCGCCATACAGCACCCATTCTCCACTTTACACGAGGGACCTGTTGCCCACCTCTGATCGCACCACGACACATGCGAGCACTGCAAACACAATGACATGAACTCACCTTTGGGAGATGGCAAGGTGCACTAATGGAGGGGCTGCAGAGACTGCGAGGATTGCGTGCCACGCCCGGCGGTGCCCTCTCTGCCGATGCCCTGCAGATTTCAGACAGTATAAAAGCACCTCAATGGACACTTTCTAATCACTCAACTCAAACACCTCAACGAAAAACATGGCCTTCAAGGTATGTGCTTTAAGCCGAATTGCCATTTATTTTTTCAAAATTTCTACTTAAAATTGCGGAAAATTGAGTGTCCAAAAAAAATTGAATTTTATGATAATTTTCTGAATTTCCAAAAAATATTAGAAGTTCCGACCATCACATAAAAATTTCCTTTAATTTTGCAAACTTGTTTGTAAATTTGTCTTTATTTGTATAAATTGTCTTTTTAGATTATTTTTTTGTCTTTCTAGCTTTATTTCATAGGCTCGCACTAGCATATACATAATATGATATAATTATCCTCTCTACCGTCCACCACCACAACATGCATATATATATATTAATAATATTCTATTTCATTCTGTGTAACAAAAAGCTCAATTTCCATTTGATGTGCATCATTTCCCACCAAGTCTTTCATCAACATTCACATCAATGAGATCAAATTTAAAATTGCAGCTCCTTGCTTTCGCCGCCCTCATCGCCGTCGCCCGCGCTGGCGTGATCGGTGCCCCCCTGGCCTACGCTGCCGCCCCCGCTGTGGCCAAGGTCGCCGTCGACACCGACTTTGACCCCAACCCCCAGTACAGCTACAGCTACGACATCCAGGATGCCCTGACCGGTGACAGCAAGGGCCAGTCCGAGACCCGCAACGGTGACGTCGTCCAGGGCTCCTACTCCCTGGTCGAGCCCGACGGCACCCGCCGCACTGTCGAGTACACCGCTGACCCTGTCAACGGATTCAACGCCGTCGTCCACCGTGAGCCCGCTGTCGCCAAGGCCGTCGTCGCTGCCCCCGCCATCGCCAAGGTCGCTGCCCCCGTCGCCTATGCCGCCCCCGTCCGCGCTTATGCTGCTGCCCCTGCCTACCTCGGCTAAGAAGTCAATCGCCTATTTTGTACATAATGTCTCAAACTGAACACTTATTTATTGAAAACACTTTCTTTCAAAACCTCTTCCAATTTTCAAACACTCAAAATAAAAAGTGAAAAAAATCCTAACTGCAAATGTATTATTTTTATAAGCTTTGAAGAAAAATTATTTATATACCCTTTGAAACAAAAGCAATAATGGATGACAATAAAATAAAGAATGTTAACCTTTAAATTATGCGTGGAGATGAGACGAACATATAAAAAAAAACTAATAAAAGAGAAGAGAAGCATTAGAAGTGTATATTTTGCAATCTAAATTAAAGGTTCGTATAAGCCAGACTCGCATCCCCTGCAAACTTGTATAGACGACCCGCATTTGAGTTAAATTTTTATAATATAATTTTGGGCTTTCCACATTCTGTGAATCAAGTTTGTAGAATTGTATAATGCTAGATCTTAAATCTTCAATTATATATATGTCGTTGAGAGTAATATGCTGATTGCTATGGCTTTCATGTGAAGTAGCAAGCACTCACTTTATATAAACACAAAAATTCAGGAAGCAAATTGGTTTTTAAAAACCTTGTTTGATTGTGTACACTAGGATCACTCACTAACGACTTATATTATATATTCAGCATTTAAGTGTCAGTGTGTCACTATATAATTATTTCCTAGCCAAAGTTATGTTTTCTGTGCCTAATTGCCTATATGCAATATACATACAATTTAATAATAATTTTTTTATGTTAACAAAAATATTACACGCAAAATGTGCAAAATATATCATTATGAATATTATAACATTTTTGAACTTATATTCAAGATTATAATTGAGAAAATTTTAATTTATTATTTTCTCATAAATATTTATAGTAAAATTCACATTATTTTAAAAATTTTGATTGGAAGGACTGCCGATAAGCCACTGACCATAATACAAAATGTATATCTTGAGCTTGCACACTATATAACCATAAATTTAAGTAAAGAAATAAATTCAAATAATTATGTTGCAAACATATAATGAATACAATTTATTTATATGAGATTTCTTTGGAAAAAAGGCTTTCAATTCCAATATAATGCATAATTTAAAAATGATAAATATGTGAGAAACAATTTGGTGTAATCAATACTCCGTTGGAAAGCTAAGTTCACAAAGGAGTTAATTAATTACAAAAACTTAAGGCATCATGCAAAATAATTAATTTTTTTTCCAATTTAAGTACTTAAAATTTATGATTGGTTGACAAAAATATCTCTGCGACAATTGCTAGTGGCTGTAATTTAAACCTCTTTGAGATTCCCTGCTTTTGATCTTTTTTCAGGTTGGCAACTACCGGCCTAGTTTAGTGCGTTTATGACCACTTTAAATAAGATAGAGAGCAGTGATTTATTGCTTCTCATTCATATAAATTTATACGTGCGAAAATATGGCATCACTGCATAATTATTAATGGTGCACGACAATGCGCGCGCCTAATAAAATACGACTGAATTATAGCGGGTCGTCTACAAGTTGGCAGGCGGCGAGTCTGGCTCTTTAAAACTTTTAAATTGAAAAGAGTTGGGACAGACAGTTGGGTCTCTCGTAGTTTCTTGAGCGTAATTTCCTGCCGCTGCCCCCCAAAGTCTAATTTTGGACTCCTCACATTAGCGCTCGGCATTATTTGGGGAGATTTTTCTTATCTCTATTTCTGCCGTCACACACCGCGCACCTTGAGCTCGTCGGCCGCTCGCTCGAGTCGCTAGAAAAGCAAATTGAACACGCGCCGAGTAAATTTTTCAGTTTTCGATCTTTGATAGCTACACAGCACACGAGAGCACAAGATGAGGGAAATTCTGCATCTCCAGGCCGGACAGTGTGGTAACCAGATTGGTTGCAAGGTAATTGAATTTAAAATTTACAAAATTAAAAATAAATAATTAGAAGCTCCTAGAAGCATAAATATTTTTTTTTTCAAAATATAAATCTTTTTTTTTGTGCTGTGGCGGGAAAACTTTCTGAAAAAGAGACCAAGAAAATATTGATATTTGTAATTATTGCTTTTTATTTAAATTTGGAATTAAAATGTGTTGCTTACTGTTAAAAATGATGCATCTTCAGCAAAAAAAATTATGAATTTTTGATTTAAGTTTTGGGAAATTATTTCCGACGAGCATGGAATTGACCCCGTTGGACAGTACCATGGGAACAGCGACCTGCAGCTGGACCGAATCAGCGTCTACTATAACGAGGCGTCCAGTAAGTACTTGGAAAAAAATTTGGCAACTATCACTCATATGTTCCATGTTAAGACGGCAATTACGTGCCTCGAGCCGTCTTGGTTGACTTGGAGCCCGGCACCATGGACTCGGCCCGAAGTGGACCTTTCGGTACCATCTTCAGGCCAGACAACTTCGTGTTTGGCCAATCAGGCGCAGGTAATTGTGATTTTTTAATCAATTCTTTTAAATAGTTCAGTATTTTGCAGAGATATCAATTAATTTTTAATTTTTAGGAAATAACTGGGCAAAGGGTCACTACACCGAGGGTGCAGAACTGATTGACCAAGTCATGGACGTAACCAGGAGGGAGGCTGAAGGCTGCGATTGTCTGCAAGGTAAAGAACTTTTATCTTTTTTAAAATCGATGCATTCATAAGTAAGCAAGGCGCGTCAGCTTTTTACCTGACAAACAAGATAAGCGGTCGTAATTTTCTTATCACCGCGTGAAATCGTTTTTTTTTGTAGCGCTGCATATTGGGCGGTGACCACTTAAAAAAATATTGCTCATCGCTAATTTTATGACTGGGGCTATGTACTCACGTCAGCAAATTAGGGAGAACTTAATAGAGTGCGGTGACGCAATGCTTTCAGCAGAAATAATAAAATGTCGAAGAATTAAAAAAAAAAAAAAAACGAATAATTTAACTATACTAAAAATTATTTTTACTTAATATTTATTCGAACAACCCAGGTTTCCAACTGACGCACTCCCTAGGAGGTGGCACTGGCAGTGGTCTTGGCACCCTTCTTCTTGCAAAAATTAGGGAAGAATATCCGGATAGAATAATGAAAACTTACAGCGTCATTCCATCGCCAAAGGTGAGAAAATTAATATTTAACTTTAACATTTACTTAAAAAAATTAAATGCAAAAAAAATATGAAGCACAAATAAAAATTTAAAAAAATATATATATATATATAATTTTGATTGTAATGATCTAACGTGATTTTAATATCACTTTTTTTGTTGCATAATTGTAGGTTTCCGAAACAGTAGTTGAACCGTACAACGCCACGCTATCTGTTCACCAACTGACAGAAAACACCGATGAGACCTTCTGCATCGATAACGAGGCGCTCTATGACATCTGCTTCAGGACCCTGAAGCTGACATCTCCGACCTACGGAGACTTGAACCACCTAGTTTCCGTAACCAGACCCAACTAATTAGAAAGTGATAAAATTGAAAATAAATGTGTATCACTTCTTGCAGATCACCATGTCAGGCGTTACGACTTGTCTCAGGTTCCCAGGTCAATTGAACGCCGACCTAAGAAAACTGGCCGTCAATATGGTGCCATTCCCAAGACTGCACTTCTTCATGCCTGGATTCGCCCCTCTCACAGCCAGGGCGTCGCAGGGATACAGAGCCCTCACTGTGCCCGAACTCACCGCTCAGGTTAGGAAGAGAAAGAATGATATGATTTTTTTTATGGGAAGAAATTTACATGCAAATATCTCCTGATTTAAAAATTCTCAATCACGCTTAAACCAAAAAATTGCAGATTTAATGCATAAAAAAAGGTGCAAAATTTTTTAAAGTACATCATACATTTGAAAAACATTCCCCCTTTCAAATTTTTTTTATATTTTTGGAAATGTTGTTACATTTAAACTAAATTCTATTACTTGTTCACTTTAAAAAAAAATTAACCGAGTTCTACTTTTTTTTTTAATTTTGTCCAAAATAACTGCAATTTAATTGGTCTAGATTAAATTAATTCCCAAAATCAATATGAATTATGAAAGCCAACCCCTTTTAACAACATTAACTTTTAGATGTTTGATGCCAAGAACATGATGGCTGCGTGCGACCCCAGACACGGACGGTACCTGACTGTGGCCACGATTTTCCGTGGTAAAATGTCCATGAAGGAGGTTGACGAACAAATGCTCTCAATGCAGAGCAAGCAATCTGCGTAAGTGGTCAATGATGATTTATTTTTATACAAAAAAAAATCATCATGGCGAAATTATTGCAGATACTTTGTCGAGTGGATCCCGAACAATGTAAAGGTGGCCGTGTGCGACATTCCACCCAGAGGACTGAAGATGTCCGCGACCTTCATCGGCAACACGACGGCCATCCAGGAGATTTTCAAACGCATCTCCGAGCAGTTCACTGCCATGTTCCGCCGCAAAGCCTTCCTCCACTGGTACACTGGTGAGGGCATGGACGAAATGGAATTCACTGAGGCTGAGAGCAACATGAATGACTTGGTCTCGGAATACCAACAGTATCAGGTAAAGACTTTTGACAAGCGCCGAAAAATAAAGGATTCCAAAAATATGTTAATTTTTTGTAGGAGGTTGGAGCCTTTGAGGAAAATGAATATGACGAAGAAGAGGAACAAGCTGTGCAAGAGGCTGAGTAAAACTAGTGCCACTTTGCAAAATATACTACAATTACCACGAAGCATTAATCCACGAGCAATGTATCTTTTTTTTTGAAAATTCTTATTCGAGATGTTTATTAGATTTGATTCTAAAATTTTGACTGGATAATTACGTCTTTATTATGAAGAAAATACTTTGAGCCATATATAATGTAATTTCAACAGGAGTTGTAATACTTTTTCGACAAAATAAAATTTTATTTATTGTAATAGAAAGCCTCTATTTAATTTTTCAGCGGTAAATACCGCAAATAATCCTATTTAAAAATTAGTGAGTATTTTTTCATCATAAAAAAAATGAAAAGTAAAACATAAAACGTTCAATGATGAATAAATAAAACGTGAAAAACCATATATTAAATATCTTTATACCAAAGCGCACCAAGACAAAAATTTTAGATTTTACTTCATTTTGCAATAAAAATTGCAAAACAAGATAACAGCTTAGCAACTACCAAAGAATAAATTTTCTTAAAATAATTTGACGACGTAATAAAATAATTAAGCATAAAATATCACAATGGCAATGCGGATATTCATGTAACATTGTATATTATTATTGGATCTGTTATTTCCATTCCAATATTTTGTTAACACGAACCACATTAAAATGATCAAACAATTCAAACATAAATATACATACCAAAGTGCTGATATTGTTGATATGAAAGTCACGGCCATGTACGGTTTTAGAAGCACACGAAGTATAATTATTATATATTTGAATTATATTGAAAAGAGTATAGCACAGAGCCGCCGATTGCATGATAGAAATTTCCCGGAATTTATGCCTTCAATTATGAAATCATCAAAAGAGATCACAAAATGTTAAGACAAAAGACGCTAGACACTATGAAAAATGTCATGGAAACTGAGGAAGAACAGGGAGGAAGAGGCAAGGGAAAATTCAGGAAGTTCATGGGAAAAATTATTGCTGTTCTCTAATTTTGAAAGTATTGCGATAATAAAGGAAGTGAACAAGATGAAAAATGCGAAGGTATAACTGGAAAAATTCGAGTGGAAACGGAAATTTGAACACGAGAAAAGAGAAAAGTAGTAAAATGTAATAACTTGCTTTCGGAGCAACTATAATGTAAACAAAACAAACAAGACTAAACGTGTGGGCAACCGTGTGGGTGCAGACTGGAGGTGCGGGGATTTAATTTTCGTTTCGTTTTTCATCCGATTCTTTCGTAAATAATCGGGGTGGGGGTACAAATTCGCGCTGCACTCGGTCTCCGATCTCCAAATTTCAAGCGACCTTCGTTGCGCGTGCGCCTCCGCTTACTTGCGAGCTCGCGCATCAGGAGTTTGGAGTATTCCATTCCATGCTGCCTTGGACGAGTTACGAGTTTGCCGCGCAACAGATGTGATCCACGGAATCGTTTGTGAATTTATGTATAGGTAAATTTATTTCCTTACGTTATCATGGATTTCGATGACTCACAGCTTCTACACAATTTAAAAAAATTAATCTTCATTTCTATGTAATCTACGAAATTCCACTTAAGTAATGAACCAATCTTTAATACCAACAATTAACCTTAATTGTTGTTTAAAACCATGAACCGCAAACGGTAATCATTTGGCAGCTTTTTCTCGCAAAGTCAAAGTTTCGTCTTCATCGTGTTTTATTATCTCTCTAGCGCTCTCTAGCTCTCTTGCCAGCAAAATGTTTGAAACCTTTGAGGTTCCAATAAAAAATGACTATATTTCTTTTGTCTGTACAGCCCTGGAAGCTGGAAATGGCAGCAGAACAACTATTTGGCTTTGTCGAAAACCTACAGCAGGCCACCTCAATTGTTAAAAAGAAGGTCTGTTGAATTTTTGTTTATTTTTATAATCATGAAAATTAAATGTTATTAATTATTTTTAGGAGTTTCTTCAGAAAGCGCATGATTGGCTTGAAGATGACACAAATTTCTTGAGCTTGGACGAAAAGAGCTTGCAAACTGGCAGCTCTATGACTTGGCAAAAGCTCTTCCACTATTGCCATTCCTTTTATATAAATGTAAGAATTGTGTAAATTAAATTTATTTTTAGACCATTCGAGGCAGAAAATTTAAGCAGATCCCTCCTCATTCAAAACAATAACTATTTTTTTTTTACTTTATTTATTTCAATTATTAATTAATAATAATAAATAACGTCATACATTGAACATTGATGCTATATTTTTCTATATTTTGTTTTTAAATTTCAGACTTTGGAAAGTATTGAAGATGATGTTAAAGGCAGAAGTGGGAAAGAAGCTGTAGCGGAGAATGCCAAAAAGTTAATTTCCTTGGTTGCAGCTTGCGCCAATAGAGGTTGGTGATAAATACCACAATTGTAATTTAGTTTAATTTAATTATATTTTTTCTAGATCAAGATGTGCCCTTTTTAGACTTCAATGAAACTAGTAAAATTTGCATGGACACTGCAAGGAGATTTGCTTCCAACCAGGCTTGCCGAGATATGTATATCAAATTGCTACATGCCAAGCTTGTCTCTTTAGCTGTCTACAGTACAGAATTCACAACAGAGAATTGTAGTGGTATGATCGTATTCTAATAATTAAATACTTTTCTTCACTATGTACTTGTTATTGATTGCAGACATTGTTGATTTTTGTATTGAGCTTTATCCTACTACGAAAGAGTCTGTGAAATTTCAGATTCTTTACATCTTGGAAATTTGCATCCGCGCTGGATCAAAACAGTCCATGGTAGCCATGCACTTAAAAAACAAGTAATTATTAGTTTTTTTTAAATTTGATAAACTTTCAAATAATTTACATTTATCTTAGGTTCGATTTTTTTGAGAGCATGCTGGATCATGTGGATGAAATGGCATCAAAGATACCTTTCGTTGAGTTGGCTTTGCGAACACATTTTGGTTTGGCTTTGGAGGTATATTGCAGTTTTAGCATAATGTGATTAAATAATATATATTCTAATATATTAATATCAGCTCGGGATAGAATGCAGAATTGCTTTGTGCAAATTAGGAGAAGCTATTTTGCCCAAGTTCCTAAACTTTGTCAAGCAAAATATGGTAAAATATTAAGTTGCAATGAGAATGCTGGACATACAAATAATTTTAAACATGCGTTCATTACAGTCTCCATTCTTAAAGAAGTATTGCCTTGTCCAAATGGCTCTTCATCATCCACGAGGAGCTGAAAGTAAATTGCCATCAGCACATGCTCATAACTGGGACAAGTGGAATGAAATTCTCTTGAGCATTTTTCATGCAGTGCAACAAGAGCTGAGATATTCAATAGACACTGCAAAAATTAGAGGGCTAAGGAATAAAGAGGTTACAGTTGAAAGTGATCTGGTAGAGTTAGCAGTTGAAATCTACAAACAGGTTTGTCAATTCAATTACGAAAACTTAAAGGAAACAAATTTTCTCTAGATTTTTGCCTTGGAGGAACCAATGGTTTTCACACAGCAAGACGTTTCTTTAATTGAAAGTGAAGGACCCTCTTCTAAACGGGCCAGAATGTCTGTCGGAATCCAGATGGCAATAGACCAACTAAAGCCTGCTAAAAGATCTGAAGAAATAACAGTGAGGTATTTATAATAAATAATTTCGATTGTGCAATCAAGCAAGATATTCTTAAATTAGTACTTGTGACTAATCGCCGTGACGTGGAATTACGTTCCGAGACAACGAGATATAATTTAATTATTTCCCGTTTCGAGTGGTTTCTTTGGGTTTTAAATTCTCTAAAAACAAGATATTCTTATTTACATTCCTGCTGTTAAAAGGCTCACTGTGATGGCAGCTTTCCTAAAGAAATATGGCTCGACCCTAAAGACATCTGATTACTTCAGTCTCCTGGAAATACTGACTGAAACTCAATCTTTAAGTAAAACTAACAACACCATGAAACAATTTTGCAAGTAAAAAGACAAATTATTAATAATATTCATTTCTTATTCATCTTAAATTTCCAAAGCTGCTGCAAGGCGTTGCTGGAAAATTTTACACTTGCAGTACTAGATCGTTCAGAGATGGACAAAGCAAGGGGTATCTGGCGGCGAGTTTGGGATATGGCTCTTAGGTATATTAAAATTTATGGATTGCTTATTATTTTATAAATGCTAATTATTTTTGTTATCAGATCTGCTGGCCTTAATCAGTGTTTGGAAGGAAGTAATGGTCTTCTACAAGCTCTTTTGACTAGTGAGTTTGCAAGTGACCTCCAGACGTCGGGATTGCTAAATTTGTTCATTCAAAATACCATCAATTTGAATGCTCACAGTTTACAAACTTTTGTAACCCTGACTTCCAACTGCTACCTGCCTGACATGTATTATAATTGACTTTATTTAATTCGATCATCAACAAATTTATTCCTTTTTTTCAGGTCCAGCAATTACAATGAAGATATAAGAATGCCTTCGCAGTTGACAAACACGAGCATACCAAATTGGCAAAGGGTATTGTCTTGGTTGTTGCCAGCTAGTGATGACGAAGATGAAAGGGTCAACAAGACATACACTAATATTTCTAATCATCTGATTGGAGAAGCCTTGATTCGATGCATTTGCAAAAATCGGATAGTTTTAGAACCTCCCAAGGACTTGTTTGTGGCTCAATTGGAATCAGATGGTATCATGGAAATCCACCAAGCATACAGTCCTGAAACAAGCACAAAATTGAATGTGCTAGAAATAACCTATGTGCCAAGACCTCAACTCAATCCTAATGGGCCTGCTCTTTTGGCAGGCATGCTGTCTCGGAGGTTCAGCGAAATAATCTCTGCACCAGCTGATGCCTTCGAGACTCAAACATTGAAAAGTGACACATTCAGCATCTTTGTGCATCAAGCCATGATCAACTGTAGTGTCTTGTCTCACCTGTTAAATTCTGATCTGCTCGACGAAGAAGAATTTGAGCAATTCCCCACTGTTAGAGAAATGGAGCATCTTTTGCAAGAATCAATTCCTGCTAGCCTTGAGATTCTTCTGACTGTCAAAAAAGGAGAATTACCTTTTGATAAAATCCTGATGCTGGGAAATCTTTATTCCGACGATTACCACAGATTGGTAGTCAACCTCATCCGAAGATCCACACCCTCCTTGTTTTTGGAAGTGTTTCAAAGGGAGTGCACCAGCAAGGCTATTGCTCCAGCAGCAATGGCACATTTCTCAGAAATCCAATCTCGTGTTGACGTTACAACAAACTATTGCCCATATCCTCTGAATGGACAGTTGACACGAACTGAAGAATCCATGGTGGTCTTCACTAAAATTCTGGCATCGCTTTGCTTTCACCCAAAACTTGAATACACTGAAGAAGTGGCCAAGTACAGTTTATGGCTCCTGGAAGTATGCTGTGGTATGACCAACAAATGCAAAGCATTGTGCAATATGATTCGGATGTTGTTGGTCCTAAAATCTGCTAGTTTGGGCGCAAAAACTCTGAATGAAGAGCAAGAAGCATTAATCATGTTATGCCTGAAGGAATTGACAAAACTGAATAGAAATAGTCATCTGATTGTCATTGCAATCCTTGATATTTTGGAGGGAATGTTGATCAAACTGAATGAATCAAGCAACGCTGTTCACAGAAGTTTTGTTATGTCTATTGTCAGAGGCTTTAAAATACTAACAGAAAAGAAGAAGTTTGGACGGACTGTCAGGCTGAAGTTGATTAAATGTATCAAAGAGTGGATCACTCTCGACCCTGAACAAATCTGGTCAAAAAAGAAAGACATTGATCCAGCTGCACTTCTTCTGACTGATTTTGTGAAGGACCATTTCTTTGAGGTGCGAAATAGTGCAGCGTTGTGCCTGGAAAAGATACTTTGCCCTCGAACTGAGAACTGGAGTGCCAATATAATGATGGAATGGCGGCTGACTGTATTCAACAAATTGAGCACATGCATAAATGAATCTTTCAACACCTTGGATGATAAGTTTCCAAATGAAGATGACTTGAGGAATTTGGGGCAGAGTTCCCTAAAGAGCTATGCAGCTGCAATCGCTTACTGCCCGGAACAACGACATTCTGCAATTTTCTCCATTCTTGAGCTTATCAAACTACATAATGTCAGCTTGGCCTCTGTTCTGCAAGTACTACAAATTTTGAGTATGACTTTTAACTTTTATTGTTTGCCAATAATTATTTACACTTTCCATTTTTTGTTTTTGCAGATGATGACAGAACGAACAACGATTGTGACGTAACTATTTTGGAACCATGCTTATCCTACCTTCTTGCAAAATGGTGCTCCAAATTTTCACTCTTAGAGTTCCCATATCAGCTGCTTGGATGTAACTCTTGCAATGAGTTTTTGATCACAAAACAAGACCAGATTGTTGTGACACTTCTTCAACAAAGAGACAAAAAGAATTTGAAAGCACTGTCATCCCTACTGAGCCGGTCTGAAGAAGTACTTGTAAAGGAGAGCAGTGTGATGATACTTTGCTCCTCCCTCCCACTAATGGTAATCAAGAAACATTTGGATGAAGATGTTCAAGAAAAGCTTCAAAACTGCTATAACACCTTGGCTAAATACTTATCTGAGGACGAAATAGAAAGCATGTTGGGGGATGAATTTCCCGATATTTTGCTGTACTTATACACAATTCTGTTAGACAAATCTGTTTGGGAAGATCGTGTCGGAGACATTTCGCTAAATTTTCCTCAGTATGGACTACATTACCTCAACCACAAAACCTTTGCAGAAATGATGCATTGGGTCGAGAAGAAGTTGCCAGAACCTGAAACCCCAGTAATTGTCTTCATTGCGATAGAACATCCAGTCCACTGCCAAAATATTATGCACAAGTTAGCTCTTCGAGTTTTCAAGGCGCCATCAAGAGAAGACAGATTACTGTGTTTTTTGCAGTACAGCAGTCTTGTACATGAGCTGTGCACATACATTGGCAATGGATCTGTGGGAAATATTTCAGCATTTTTGATCAGAGATATTGTGCATTTCCTGCTGAACGTAGTTAATGAAAGCACCAAAGTGAAACATGTAACATTGTCTGCCGCAGTTTGCTACTGTTTGCAGCGTTTGTCTGAAGAGTGCTGCAAAAACAACGCAAAGCTGCTATCATCGGTGCTGCCAACAATGGTCAATTCTTTAGTGAACCTCGTCAAGAAAAACCTCAACCGACCTGTTGCAAGCAAGGCCATCAACATCCTTCATATCTTGATTGTGGAGCATGGCTCAGATTTTAAAAGTGTCATCAGCAAGCTGGAGGAATTTCCTGAACTCCCTGAGTTTTCCAGTATTGAAACAGCATTTGACCAGATAAGTGATTCACAAGACAAACACATTGAAAGTGAAATCTGCAGCTTCTTAGCTGCTGGAGAGGCTGCAAAAGAAAATAGGGTGGAGGGACTTCAGAGACTCTGCAAACAACTGTCAAATAGAAAAGAGCAACTGAATGTCCTCTATGGAGAGCTTTGCAGCCTGAAACAGGTCCCAAATACTACTCTGCTGAATCTGATCTGCTCGCTCCTTAAGCTGACTGGCAGTGATGATGATGAAATTGCTTTTCTGGCTGCTGCTTGTCTTGGAGAGCTTGGACCCGGAGAGTTGTTGCCGATTGTTTTGACGCAGCAGGATTTAACAGTGGAAAAACGAGAAACGCCTCAGGTAATTTTTTATGGGGAAAAATCATGATATAATTTACATAATTCAATAGGTGCTTCTCTACAAATGCAAATTGGATCTTCTGTTGAAGTACATCATTGACCCTAATATTGATGTGTGCCATTATGCATCAAAGCTGCTGCTTTCGGTGCTTCGAACACAGGAAGGAAAGCAAGCCCTGAAGTATGTTACTCATCCTGAATACCTCTATCCTTTTGAGGATTCTAGTCAAGAGGGAACCACAGTTGAGATCAATGATAGTAAGTTCCTCACTACGATGCAAGACAGTGAAATTTGGTGCCCATCAACAAAATTGCCTCACTCCAATTGGATCATAACCCTGACGAGTAGCATCTTATTGTCATTTTCCTACAGCAAGGCCTACACAGAACTGCTTTTGAATCTCTGCCTAGCCAAAGAAGAGTTTGCAAATTCGCTTCTACCACATCTCCTCCTGTTTGTTTTAAGCAACAATAATAAACGATGTGGCAACTTGGTTGTTCAGCAACTTAACACATTTTTCATGCGACATTTTGAAAAGAGGCACCTCCAACACAAAAGAATTTCCAGTCTCATCCCTGGAAATATAAGCTCAGTGAAATGCATGCTTGATGTTGTGCAGTTTCTGAGAGAAAACTCTAAAGGACAGTTCACTTCGAACCTCAACTACTTGCATGTCTCACAAGCCGCACACTATTGCTCAGCTTTCTTCTCAAGCATTTACTACGGTGAGCTATGGGGTCTGCAAAAAAAGTTTTCCCGAAGCGGTCATCTATGTTCAATTGAGGAAGTTTGTGACAACACCCAAGATGGCAAAGCCCTTCATTCAAACCTTGTTCAATCGTACAAAAGCATTGGCGATCCAGACGCAATCTATGGATGTGGAATGTCCCGGCTCTTGGACAGAGAATCTCAGATCCACTACTTTGAGCACTGCAAACGCTGGGACAAAGTTCTATTACTACAAGATCTGAACTCCGCCAAAAAGAGTAACTCCAGAACATTGAGCAGAATGGCTCCTGCAATGATGAATCTTGGTTTGCAAAATCTGCTCAAAACTAACCTGGACTTGCAGGATGATCATGCAATGAAAGATATCCAATTGCAGTGCTGCTGGCGGCTTGGAAAGTGGGACCAGCCAACGACGCTAGACCTTGGACAGCTGAAGGAAATTTCTTTTGAAATTGGACAGTACTCTGCCCTTAAATCCCTCCTTTTAACAGACTTTGACGGTGTTACCAAGAGTATTACCTTAGCACAAAAAGCTGTCATAAGAAACATTCAACAATCCAGCTTTGAAAGCACTCAAAACATTTACGGAGCTTTATCGCAACTCCAACTGCTGCAAGAAATCAAAGATGTGCTAGACAGCAGGAATTCATTGAAAACAACCGAAGAAGTTTTGGACAAGTGGAACCTCCAGGATCAAAAATCCACTTATCGATTTGAATATCACGAGCCGATTCTGTCGCAAAGACTTTGCCTGATGAGAATCCTGCAAAAACTGGACTCTGGATATAACAGCTCCAATAGTGATGATGTCTACCTATCTCAATCCATTGCTGAACTATTATTGAGAATATCGAAGCTTGCGAGGAATGAAAGATGCTTTCACGTGACTTGGAAGGCTTTGACTGAACTGTCAGAGATGACAGAAATTAATGAGGTAACTTTTTGTGCAGTTTTATTTCCTCACTTTGGACATGAATTTTTTTTTTAGGAATTAAAATGCAGGTATCTTTTGGAAAGCGCCAACAGCTTTTGGGATCAGGGAGATGCCATCCTTGGCAAAGAAATGCTGGTTTCACTTCTGGATAAGCTCAAAAAGCTGTGCAAAGCAAAAGTGCAACATGATTTGTCTGCTTTAAAAAGCACCTATGCTCTAGCACTTCGAACATATGGCTCTTGGCTCATAGAAAATGGGTATTAGATTATTTTTTTAAATTTTTTCTAACTGTAATTGGTTTATTATTTTTTCCAGATCTGAAAATCCTCGGGTTATCATTGACGAGTACCTGAAGGCTGCTGTACAAATCTCTGACGATTGCTCTGCACTGTCTACAGAAAAAGCAGATGCATTCAGAGCATTGGGAAGTTTTGCGGATGCAGAATATCAACGAGTTGTTAAGTACATGAACTCGCCACATTTTAAATCCAAAATGGAACATTTGGAAAAATCAAATTTGTCTGTGGCTGCCCTAGGCAAAGACAAGAAGAAAAGTGTAGACAAAGACTTTAAAACTGCACTCACAGTTGCTAAAATGCAGAGCAGCATTGACAAAAATGAAATTGATGCTACAGATGCTGAGCGAAAAGAGTTCCTAGCCCTGGCCATGGAGTACTACGTCAAGTGCCTTGCTCTCAGTGAGGAAAGAGTCTCCACAGTCTTTCGAGTGATCACCCTCTGGTTGGAAAACAAGGAAGACATCTCAGAAAACCTAGACTTATCAATTGTGCCAAGCTACAAATTCATTCCTCTGATTCCTCAACTTACGCCGTATCTGAAACCAGGCAGTGACTCCTTTCAGCAAAAAATAAGCGAACTTCTCATTAGACTGGCTGAAGAACACCCCCATCATACCCTTCCCAACATCCTTGCTCTGAAGTATTCTGGTTTAGACCGACAATATGAAGAAAGCCTTAAACAGCCACTGAATGATCACAGATCGGTTGAGGCAGGAAACGTTATCAAGAGACTTTCCAAGAAATCCAAGATGCAGCCTATCATCAAGCAACTAGAAATTGTTACCACTGCAGTTGTTGAGCTTGCCTATTACTCGAGCGAAGATCCTCGAGCAGGCTCCAAAACAAAGATTCCTGATGCTCTGCAAGTCAGGAAAATTCATAAGCTTGACAAAATTCAGGTGGCAACCTGCAGTTTACCAGTCCAGAAAAGTTGCAACTACAAACCTAATGGGATTTTAAAATATGAAACAGTCTTTCAACTTGTTGGAGGGATACACGCTCCAAAAAAGATCGACTGTGTGTCAATGGATGGAGTCAAGCACACTCAACTTTGCAAAGGCTTAGATGACTTGCATTTGGATGCTGTCATGCAGCAGGTGTTCACCATCATGAACGAAATGTTTATGAGGAATAAAAACACCAGCAGTCGGAAGCTAAGTGTTCGAACATACAACGTTTGTCCTTTATCTCAGAGAAGTGGACTAATCGAGTGGTGCAAAAATACAACTCCTCTGGGAGTCTACTTAGTGGACGCACATCCTCGTTTCAACAAAGATGATGCTAAACCAATTGAATGCAGAAGAATGATGAACCAGTGTGAGGGCAATTTGGAAAACAGAGGAAAGAGACTGCGAGTCTTTGAAGAAATCTGCTCAAAGATCAGACCAGTTTTCTTCAACTTCTTTTTGGAGAATTTTCTTTTGCCTGCCACATGGCTTGAAAAACGATTGGCATATACAAGAAGGTAAATTTTGATTTTATTTCTAATTATTCAATTTAATTTTCGCAAACAATTTTTATTTTGTTATTAGTGTTGCTGCATCTTCCATGATTGGATACATCCTTGGGTTGGGTGATCGACATGTGCAAAACATTTTGATTGACACAAGCACAGCTGAAGTGATTCACATCGACTTTGGAATTGCATTTGAGCAAGGTCTAGTACTCAGGATCCCAGAACTGGTTCCTTTCCGTTTGTCAAGAGATATTGAATCTGGATTTGGAATATCTGGAGTCGAAGGAGTTTTTAAAAAGTACGAGTAACTTAAATTGTTTACACACTCTATTCAAATTATTATTTTTTTGTAGATCATGTGAAGCTGCAATGCAAGTTCTCCGTGATAACCAAAAGACAATTCTCACGATTTTGCAAGTGCTGCTTTACAACCCCATGTATGTTTGGACGATCGCTATGTCAGAAAATCAGAATGACAGGAGTGGCATGAAAGGAGGCAGAGTTGACAGTGAGTTCTGAATGCTTTTTTAACCTGACAATATTTATAAAAATTAAAAATCGCAGGGCTGACTGATGAAGCCAATCAGATGGCAGAAAGGGCCTTGCTTCGCATTCAGCAGAAATTGATGGGCACTGAAGAAGGAATGGCTAACAGTGTCGAGGGCCAAGTAAGTAGACTGATTCAAAAGGCGCAAGATCCGCATAACTTGGGACTCATGTTCAGTGGGTGGCAACCGTACCTTTAAGAAAACTCAATTATTTGTATGAATCCATTGTTCTGTTCTTCTTTTCTATGCGAAATTTATTAGATGCCAGCTCTCTCTATAAGTTAAATAAATAAGTGTGGTCCAGCCGCATGTTATGCCATAAATAGAGGTTATGTCCATTTAACAAAGACTTTTGGGGATCACTGGAGCTTTCCCTCTGCATACTTCTTAAGTCCGTCAGCAATGACGCTCGAATCAACTCCCTCGTCAACTAAAATTGAGCACACCCCAACAGAGACCAAGTCTCTAATGTTTCGATACTCGTCATCAAAGAACAACATCTCACTGTAGTCAAAGCCCGAGTTCTTTTTGAACCTGCCAAGTAGAACAGAATAAATAATGAATTTAAAATAATCATCTCGTATTTTATAATATACGAACTTGCTGAAGTGAGTCTTTTTGCAACCAGGATAGATTTCTTTGTAAGAGAAATATTTGTTCCAATCGAACAACTGAAGCAGTTGCTCAGCTCCCTTAATCTCGCCTGTTCTGGACGCAACAGCAACTTGATATCCCTCAGAGACAAGCCGTTCCAGAATTTTTGGTACTTCAGGGAAATGCTCAATTTCTCTTTTTCTTTGGTCTATGATATTCCCATTGCTGCAAATAACTTATTTTTAAGAAGGGGCTATAATTACATAATTGGCAATTTATATTACGGAAGTCTTGTAAATGGAGGGTCAACATTTGTGTCCACATGAAAAGGCCAAAGTGTCCAGTCTGGCAGGAATATTGTTGTTATAGAGGTAAATCTAATTTAATAATTAGATTTGCAACTCACCTAAGTCAAATACGATCAATTTTGGTTTACGGGAACTCATGTTACGTTGATTTTTCTTTAGCCGATTATATAGTAAAATATAATAGAAATTTGGCTAAGAATTTGCTAATTTAAAAATTCTTTTTCAACTAGGAGTTGTTTTTATGAGCGTTTAAAAATAAAATGAATTTTTTGTTGATCGTGTGCACCGCTCCGTTCGTTCATCCAATGAAAAGTGAGATTACCGAGATTTGTTTTCAGACTTTTCAGAGCTACCAATCACATTAAAATTTGATTCCATTATTCCATTATGGAGGGAAATTTGAAATAAAGCATTTCAGCCAACCCACAAAATAAATGGAATTATTAATTCCATAATTTTATTTTAAATATATGACAATAAATATTAACCAAATTCCAATGTAACATTAAGTCCCAGGATTGAGGAATGTCAATGAATCTTGCCTTCGGCATATTTCTTCAGGCCTTCTTCTACGTGTTTCTCACTAAATCCTCTTTTTACCAAAACCGAAGTTACTCCAATAGAAATACTATCCTTAATATTTAGATAATAATCGTCATCAAAGAAGAGCATTTCACTGTAGTCATATCCAGACTTTTCCTTGAGCCTAGAGTGTAAATTATTTTTTTAATATTCGCGCAGTACACAAAATAAATGGATCAAAAGAAAATTGGCTTACATTCCAAAATGGGTTATTTTGCATCCTGGGTATATTTCTTTATAAGAGAAGTAATGATCCCATCCAAAAAGCTGCAAGAGCTGTTTCGCACCCTCAACCTCGTGTGTCCTGGAAGCGGCTGCTATCTCAAAGCCATCAGCCACAAGTCTCTCCAGAAGCGTTGGCACTTCGGGAAAGTGTTTAATTTCTTCGCCTCGCCGATCAACAACTTTCCCATGCCTATTGGTTTGAAAAATTTTAATATTATTATTATTTTAAATTTCCGTCAATTAATATATTAATTGCTTCAGAAATTTGTAATCATCATCAGGGCGAGTTTATGCTTTATGTTTATATACATACTTACTTATTTTTCTTAAATGGGGGGTCGACATCCATTTCAACATGAAACGGCCACAAGGTCCAGTCTGTTGATAATTATTGTTTGTTAAAAGAATAACTTTAGATATGTATTAAAACTGTTCGTAGTTTTACAATGATTATTAATTTATTTTATTTACCTAAATCAAGTACTATCAACTTAGGTCGTCTTGAACTTGAAGCCATTCTGAATTCTCTGTTCTGAGTGTTCTGTTTACAGCCAAATTTTAATCTTTCCCACCTGCATACGGCAGCAGCTGTTTCAAGCGCTATCAGACCATGTCATTATAAAAACCATGGTAGCGCCCACGGAGCAAGTAAATCAAATTTATCGCCCTAGCTATGTTTATTTTTTAAGGAGTATTTTTCTTTTTACAAGTAAAAAATCATTTTTTATTGGTACATATTTTAATGTTTAATTGGTTTTCAAAATATATAAAATATCCATACCATATTATACACATTATTATATGATTAGCTAGGTAGGATTAATTCAAGCTCTTAATATAATAACTACTTAATAGCATTGCTTAAGCAGATTTTGGAAATTTGTTTACAATGGTATAAAATATTTTGCTACAAAATGGATTAATACAAGCAATAAAAGTGGACAAAATATAGAAGTGTTACAAGAATAATCATTTAAGTCCTCAACTACATTAAAATTCATTTTCCATTAAGAAAAATCTTACATAGGGCACAGGACTGTCGAATGTATCAGCAACAATTGGAGAATGCCAAGCAAAATTTTACCACAAAGGCAAAATCACCTTAGCCCAACAAAGTATCAAAGTGGTTAAAAGATTTCAATTTTTAGCAAGCCTCTCATTCACCATGAAGTTAGGGCTCTGAGGGTCTGTCAGTGGTTTATCAGAAGGTCTGACTCTCATGGGTGTTCCCTTCCGTATAGGGTTGGCTCGGAACTCTGCTTCTTTTCGGAGTCTCATTTCTTCCTTGCGTAATTCTTCCTCTTTCATAAGCTCAAACTAATGGGAAAGAATTTATTTAAAAGATGATGTTTTAAGTTTTTAAATCTACTTTTTGTTACGCTTTATGAATAATGAAATAACGCAAATTTTATTACCAAGCGCCTCTGTTCCTCCCTGTCCTGCTCATTAGCTCTTAGTATTTCATCAAACTTGGCCCTTTCAGCAGCTCGTTTTTCAGTGTTCAGTTGCAAATCAACAATTGAAGTGATATCTGTGATCACTCTGTGTGGGAGCTGAGGACGAAAGGGTTCAACCTGTGTCACAATCGCAGGACGTGCCTTGAATTGCACAGCCTCTAATAGTTTTTGCTCTTCCTCAGCCATCTGCCAAAATTTTGGTGTTTTAAAAATTGATGAAAGCCAAACAAGATTATCTCACCTTTTCATAGAACTTTTGTTGGTTCTTAGCTCCCAAGGTATAAGTGGAAAGCTTTGGGGTGTGTGGCACAGTAACAGAGACAGGCTTCTTCTCAGGCAAAACAGGAGCAAGTCCAAAATTTGGCTTCTTTCCAGCCTTAAATTCTCGGGCTTGTTTTTCTTCTTCAATGTGCTATTAAGAGAAAAACTTGTTAATTGATACTATAATTTTAATTAGGAGGATCTTACTTTTTGCATAAGTTCCATCCTTTTCAGCTGAATTTCTTTGTTGCGCTCCTCGAAGCTGAAAGGCTGCACTTGTGTGAGCTTATGGGGAGTCATTTGTTTCACTATGGGTACTCCATTGTGACCAATTTTCTTCAAATCCTGCAAATCATATTTAGTCACTTTAAAGTAAAAAATTTATAAAAAAAAAACTCACAATCCCTTCCAATTTAGGTCGTTTTGGGTACTTGGCATTTAAAGACAGGGCAGGAGTATGAGGTTCAGTCAAGGGTATATTTTTCTTCTCCGGGACACCTTGTGGAGACTGCAACATTCTGCGAGGCACTGGATTGGCTTTGAAGCGGTAAACTGGCTCTGGAGTTGGCTGTAGTATTTGGGTAATTCTGTGAATTCAATTTCTGAATGTAATGCATTGAATGCATACCATTTTGCGTTTTCCTTCAGACAGTTTAAAAGGTGAAGGCTTGGTTGCAGGTATCTTGGCCACAGCAATATCTTTCTGAGCAGGAGGCACAAGAATCTGGCGCGGAACAGGCTTGGCCTTGATCTGGTGCCTGTAAGACAAGACGGATTATTAAATAACAACATCACTTACATATCTCTTTAAATACATTTTTATCTCCTCTAACTCTGCTTTCTCCTTGTCAACTTGGGAAGGAATGTACTCATTGCGGACTCTAGTCTTGCACGCCAAGTATGGAGACTTAGGAATGGTGTTTCCTTTTTGGCTAGCCGGACTAGGTGGTTTTCTTGGTTGAGGCTCTACAAAAGAATCATTATCAATATTTTAGGAAAAAAATTGGCCCTAAGAGCCCCGATATGACGGTACTGAGCAATGGGTGAATGATTTTATTACCAATATTTTAGTTAATTCCTTAAAATATTTAATAATCAAATTTGCTAGAAGAGGCTCAGAAAATAATTTGTCATGTGAAAAAGTTAGCCTTACTCGCATTAGCTGGCACAGAGTGAAAACGATCTGGTGTAGCTTTGTGGAACTTTTGGACAAGCTCAGCAGTAGCATGGAACTTCCCGTCCAGCACACCAGGCTTGTTGCCAACTTTAGGAAGGGGCTTAAGCACGACATTGTGCTGGGCAACCATAGGAGCATTGTGGCGGATCCTCATTGGCTTGTTTGCAGCTATAGCAGGCTTATTTGAGTTCAGAGATGGAGCAGGCTTAGAGATAGTTGCAGATGGAGCAGGCTTGTTTATGTATGCCAAAGCAGGTTTGTTGGTACTGTTGGAAGGTAGTTGAGAAGGTAATACAACCACGGAACGTCCTTTGGTAATCACAGGTTGTTTATTCACTTCTGGCATTGATGAGCCTGAGTCGACACCAGAACTGGAAGACTCTACTTGTTCATTTTCAGAGTCTACCTCCATTAGCTCAGAACCACTTGGCCCAGCCTGGATAAAAATAATACTTTAATAAATCACATCACCTATTATAAATAAATTCTTTCCCTTAAAATTTAATATTTTGTCTTTCTGGTTAAAAAATTCTTAAATTTACCTCTTCAGTCTTCTCTTGGCTTGTTTCTGTATCAACATTATTTGTGTTTGCACCCTTGCAAATACTGCGGTTTCTAAGCGAAAGAGCAGGACTCTTAATCGCTAGATCCAGTCGAGTCTCCATTGGGTGAGTTTTGTTGGGAGTCATGATCTGGATCCCATCATATTTTTGAACAATGACCGAACGACCATTGCTAAGATAGGTCACTTGGGACTTTTTACCAGAAGCACTGAAAGCAAAAGTTAAAAATTAAAATTGAACGTTGTTTAATAATAGTATAATATGTACTGAAGGGAAGTGGTGTAGCTGATGTCCGATAAAACGCCTCTTTGAGCATTGTTCTTGCCAGATGGAGGAACACTAGATGAGCGTCTCCTCTTGGATGGTGGGGTGCAGTTTTCCTTGTTTTCCAGGCAAGCAGGTGAAGTTACTTGAGATAGACGCGTCTTGGCAGGTGTCTTTGGTGGCAAGCTTGAGGCCCTCTTTGGCGACACCCTTTCGTGATCAACGTCTGAAATTTAAAAACAAAATATTTACTCATTAACGCAGAAAATATTTTCAAGGATAGGAAGTATGAGTACATATACTACACTACATATGCAATATGTTCATAATTGAATAATATGTAGTATTATATGTATGTACTAATTACATAATATTTTAGATATTTTATATGTATGTATTTTCAAAGTGCCTTTTTGTTTTAATTGTGCATTGCACTTTTTACTCCCATATCACCAGACTATGAACAATTTGAACAAATACATATTAATTTAAAACTACATCGTGCGGTCAGTCAGGAATTTTAAAAATTACCAAAAAATCTGTCGCAGTCCTCGGGCACAACGTCCTTTGAGAAATCGAAAAACTGCGGGGCATCGTAGTTGTCAAATTGGTCAATCTCCATGCTGATTTTAGTCGGAAATTACTGTATTACTCGCATTAAACGGTATCAATTTTTCAGGGAAAGAGTTAGCACATCAGCACGACAATCAATAACAACAAAACTCGCTGAAAATACAAGACCCGACAAGTTCTCAACCGTCGCAAACGTAAAAATTTCAAATTGAAGACGTTATTGGTTGGTTGCGCGCCCTCGCCGTTCGCCGGTGTAAATAATGTTAACATAGCAACGCCTGCGCCATCTTTTGGGAACGACTTAAACTGGGAAGGTAAATAAAACTGGCGGAGGCGTTTTTGGACAAAACCTCTGGACGCGCGGTTGAGTATTGTCTGTTTTAAGTTGAAATAGCTTGAAATTTCGCGGATTCAGACCCGATAATTGATCGTTGGATAAAAATCTCAGGTAACAATGAAAAATGGCGCTTAAAATGCTGTATCCCCATTAGTCGAACGTGACATCATCCCGGAAACTATTTTCGCTGCGGAGAACATGCGCAAATGCTGAACGCCCGCCATTAGTAGCCGACCACATTAGAATTTGATTACTTGTGTGTTTGTGCTTTAATTATGCTCTGGAGTTGGTTGTAAAAGCGAGCATTGTTTTTTCCCCGCCGATATCATCATCATGCTGCGACATCTTGTCGTGTAAGTTACATTTTCGTTGAGAATCGGCAACTTTTCGCCGACCTCGCGCAGCCTATGTACATTTCAACCCGCAGCCACCCATTTTCACCCGAAACTTTGTTTCTTCGTCTTAGTTTTAATGCTAATTTTTAAGCACAGACGCAGCTGGTGGGCTATTGCATTTTTAAACATAGACTTAATCAACGAACTGTTCACACGGACGAAGTACCATTTACACGGGTACGTCATGAATTCATGACTTATCTTGTAAACAACTATTACGTAGCACGGGCAAAATGAATTGACTTTCATAATTCTTGCTTCTCGAATTCATTATTAGTCATCGGAGGCCGCGTGCAATCATAACATGTGCAACAGTGCATTGCTTTGTGACGGATGGTTGTTTTATAAACGAGTTTTTTTCCTGTGAACCTGCTGTGAACCAAATTAATTTTGCAAAAAAAGAGTTGTTGTTTTGATTGAACAAAAACATAAGTGCCAGAGTAAACTTGTCGCATTTTTTTTTTCCCATATGAGCGATAATTTAAGACTATTTTTTCAACTTCTGCGTTCAGACAATCTGAGCATTCCAGCGTCTCGGCAGCTTTCAGAAAATGTTGACATATGGACAAAATGAAGATAATATAGTTTAAATTTGGCGTTCTTGTTACACTTGTCAGTCAGTTACTAATTTGCAGACAATACATAACATCGCTAATGTTTTCCACAGAGCTCTTGTTATTATTTACGCAGAAAATATTCTACTGTAAAATTTATATTTTTTATACTTTGCCGTTTGTTTAAATTTCTTGCAAAGTGAAAATGATTTATGATGTGATTAAAATTAATTTATGTTATAATAGAAAAATATGTTTGAATTGTTATAAAGGAGTAGCCTAAAGAATATTTAATTTCAATGCTGAATTCAACAACTTGATTTTTTCACTGTATTAAAAAAAGTTTCGACCAAAAATAGAATGTCTATGATACAATTATATTTTTAATCCTTGTACGTCATCACAACAATCTTAAATTACAACCGTCAATGCAAAAAGCGTATTAAAATCAAAGAACTTACAAAAACAATCCAGATCTCAATGAAAATTTTAAATAATACATAATAATTTTGTTTAAAAATTTTCTTAAATTGATTTAATTCTTTTGCAGATGATGAAGGTTTGAGCAGCACCTGTGGAGTCGCATTTGTCATTTGCCAGTGAGACTATTAAGATGGGGGCATTCCTCGACAAACCGAAAACAGAGAAGTACAACGAACGAGGCAGTGGCAATGGTCTGCGTTACGGCCTTGCCAGTATGCAGGGCTGGCGCGTGGAGATGGAGGACGCACACTGCGCTGTCACTGCGCTGCCCGGCGAACTTAAGGACTGGTCATTCTACGCAGTGTTCGACGGTCACGCGGGCGCCCGCGTCTCGGCGCACTGCGCCACCAACCTGTTAGACTGTATCATGCAGACAGACGAATTCAAGAAGAGCATCGGCGACAGCGACCCAACCAGCGCCACTGACGCCATCAAGCAGGGCATCCGCAGCGGCTTCCTTAACCTGGACGAAAACATGCGTGAGCTGCCTGAAGTGGCCACTGGCGAAGACAAGTCTGGCTCAACTGCCGTCTGCGCACTCATCACTCCGCAAACCGTATTCATCGCAAACTGCGGAGATTCGCGGGCTATCATATCCAGGTCTGTAAGAAATGTATTTGCAATAGTTACAGCGATTTTATAGATATAAAATCCTTTGATACAAATTTTCAAAAATAGAAAAAGAAATCAAAGAAAATGGTGAACTCTAAAATTTGAACAAAATACGTTGCTAGTCTGGAAAAATATGAACAATATTTTGTGGTTAATTGATCAACAGTTCAGGGTTACATCACAACATTATATTGTTACTGAAGTACATGTTCTAATTAATTTTAACCATGAACCATCATATTATGCAGGTCACATTGTAATTTATTTGAAATAACTTTTTTGTATTAATTAACCACTAGAAAGGATATCAAGTTATCATTGCAGCTATTATTATTAGGTGATCTTAAATTTTTGGATCAGTCTCATAATAGCATGCAAAAGTAATTACGGGGCGATACCAGAGCAAAAGTCAAGCATTGTCTTTTGCTTAGGATCGCTAACCTACAATAATTTATTTATTTTTATTAATCTGTAGCTTGAGAAATATGTATCATTATTACTTGTAAATAATGAACTTACTATCAAATATTGACAAGAGTTTTTTTTCCATATTTGCTAATAGACAAATAATTTATTTGCAGAGATGGATATCCTTCATTCAGCACGCGGGACCACAAGCCAATTATGCCAGATGAGAAAGAACGAATCCAGCGAGCTGGGGGCAGTGTGATGATTCAGAGGGTCAACGGCTCCTTGGCTGTGTCACGCGCACTTGGCGACTACGAGTACAAGAATGTTGAGGGAAAGGGACCTTGTGAGCAACTTGTGTCGCCAGAGCCCGAAATTTTTGTTGAGCAGCGAGACGACGCTCGGGACGAGTTTATGGTGCTTGCTTGTGATGGCGTCTGGGACGTCATGTCAAACGAGGACCTCTGTAGCTTTGTTTCCTCCAGGATGGTTCTGACCGATGACCTGGAACTCATTGCCAACCAAGTCATTGACACTTGTCTTTACAAGGTTAGCATTTTTAAATAATTTTTTCTTTTGAAAAAGTGCAACTATTTTTCGTTGGATGATCTCGTGTGGGATTAGCCTTTTTCATAGCTTGCAAAAGTAAAGCAGGGGTGATACCAGAGCACCAAGTACATATTGCTTCTTGCTCAGGATCACTTTCCTACAAATCTCATTTCATTTTACAATTTAAAAGAAAAGTTGGGTGTCGGCAATTTATTAATTAAATAATATATATGTGTTCTAGGGAAGCAGAGACAATATGAGCGTTGTGGTGGTTGCATTTCCTGCGGCACCAAAAGTCTCCTCCAAGGCCATAGCACAAGAGGAGGAGTTGGAACAGCAGCTGGAAAAGCATATAACCGAACTTGTCGAACAAAACGACAGCATCACCTTCCAGCAGTTGATACGAAGCATGCACGAGTTGGAAATACCAAACATACCACCTGGGGGTGGTCTCAGTGCAAAGTAAGAATTTATTATAGACTTCAAAAATGCAAAAACAATTACATGGTATTTTTTGCAGGAGAAATTTTGTGGAAGAGGTTTTTAAAAAATTGTGCCCAGACCGAGCCGACAGTGTAAGTCTTTCCTTTGATTGAAAATAATTTTCAACCTGGTGCATGGGACTCTCTTGCTAAACCTGGAGTGCTGTCCATTTCTTGTACTATTCATCATCCTACCAAATCTGTAGCTTTTGTGTAGAAACAGCTTTTGTCTTAGCCTTGGCAGGAATTGCGTTTTGTTCTCTTTTGCTTTGCTCCCCAAGAGCTCTTAACATTGGATGCCCCTGTTCTTTCAACTTAAGTTCTCATCCGGCCCTAAAATGATCTTTTAATTACTTTTAATTACCAGATGCTTACAAATTACAGCCCAATAGCTAGTTTCTGGCCAACTAATTGACCCGTGGTTTTTCTTTCAATTGCTTGGCAAACAGCATTCATGGCGTCAATTGAGCTAATTCTAACAAAATAAGGATTCTGACAAGGCACTTTTAACAATTGTCGTAAATCTAACTCAGGTATTGATTTTCAATTTTCATCAAACTTCAGCTCTTGTAAAAACAGGTATCAACTGACTAAACAATAAACAACAAAGTATTTTGATGACACAACATAAACTTTATTTTACCACCCTCGGCAGATGCTACTCTATTTCTTTTACTTTGCTTCTAACCTAGCGGGTCTCTAAACTGTGCCCTTGCTATTAACCAAACATTAACAATGATGAACTAATTTGCATGCAGTTTGATTTGAACTATGGTGGTGGCTTAACTGAAATGTGTGAGCTTGTGAAATAAACGTGTGCGACTCACCCTTGTTGACAGATGGCGATGGGTGATGATGCAGGTGCCATGAATTTTCTTAGGACAATGATGCCGCGTGCAGCTGAACTCACGGCCGCAGCTATTGCTTCAGAAATTTCAATGGAAGATGAGGAGCCAGCCGAAAACCAATAATCTTTCCTTGTGCCGTCACGCACTTCACGCCCATTCAATGTTGTCATCAAACAAGAAAAATGGAAAAAATATTCATTTCTGGCCTGTATTGGAAACGCTGTTTAATTGTAGCTTGTCTTATTTTAATCGTGAGAAGTTTTAACCCTGCCCTGGAGGGGGTTCTTGATTGTCACTGTAACGGACACCGGAACCACTTGGCTCCCATGCAAATTTTTGCAAAGCTCAATAATACATAACGTTTTTGGAGGCGTTGAGTTGTTTTTTAGCGCAACTTATCCTTTGCTGTTTGGTTCACAGAAAGTTTCTGGGTTATTAAATGGGAAAAATTTTTAAAACAGTGGGTTGATGTTCTAGAGCCAATATCTTCCTCCATCCACCTCACTTCTTGGGCACTGCGAAAGTCAAAATCCAAAAGGCTCAGCGAGCGTATTTCTCTAGGAAGTGACTGCCTCAGTCTTGAGTGTTTAGAAGCATTGCCAATTTTGCTGTGTGATTGCAAAGAAAATATTTTTCAAAGTGCAAACGTGGAAATTACCAGACATACATTAAAATTTTTAATTGGCCTCTGTCTACGATTGTTACCAATTCAAGGCATGTTTTCTGCAATTTCATTTTTGTTTTTTGTTAATTTCAACTTTCAACTTCTTGCATTTCCCCTTGTGCTTAATCAAAAGGCTTAAATATTATGTTGTTTGATTGCATTCGACTCTCAGGTGAACCATGGGGTATTTTTTCAACCTTGTGTAAAACTAAAATTGCTCCTTACTTAAAACAGAAAAGTATGAAAAGTACATTACGATGTTTGTATTTATTGTTTTAGCAGAGTACCGTGGGCTACTCTTTAATTTCCATAAACAGATCAGATTAAAAACAAAGTCAGTCGGTTGAACAATCTGTACTCAATTTTGGTTTTAATAACTAGCCATTATTTTTGCTGACTGCTGGAAATCGGAAATCTTATCATTTTATTACTTCTAGAAATAAATAAATAAATAAAAAAAGACCATTTCAATTTTATTGTATTTCCCAATTGATATATATTAATCAACAAATTCGTGAAACAGCCTTCATAATTTTCTACTTAAATTATATGGGCAACTATTGCTTAAGCAACACTTCTGTCTTCAGTGTCTTTGGCAGTATCATAATCTACACCGTGTATTTTAAGGTGGGGTTTCAGTTCTTGCATTGATAAACATGCTAGTTTAGATTCAGCTGTCAATAATACATTTTGCAGGTTGAGAACTTTAAGATTTTCAAATCTGACCAGGATTGATATTCCTTTGTGAGTTACTTTTGGACAACCACTTATGTTCAAGTACTCGAGTGCCTTAAATTCGCCACTTATTTTATCCAGAAACCAGTCATCAACCCATTCATTGTTTGCAAAACTAGCCCACCGTAATTTGTCTAAAAATACAAAGTTTTCCAGTGCCTCGTACATAAAATTGATGTTCGATGCATCCAAAGCATCCAAATGCAAATCTTTTACAAAGGTGGTTGGTAGGTCAGAATTCCCATCTTCATCTTCTTTTATCCACTTGGTGCCATTTTGAAAACGCACAGCACCACCTCGAAAGACAACAAAGTGCGCTGTGGCCAAATTGGGTCCAAGGAATTTGTGTCTCTCCGGTATGTACCTATATGAACAAGTTTTTTTTTAATTGAAAAAAAGACAAAACAGTTTTAAGTAGAAATAAATTTATTACCTCTGCTTATACAAATCCCTGCTTAGTTTTACTTTTGCAAACCAGTTTGCAAAGCCCTTAGGACTGAAATCATACTTTTGTTGCATGATTTTCAGGAAATTCATACTTTGTCCTGAGGAAGATGGCACAAACAGTTCCAATTTGCTAGCAACATATCCATCATGTTCCATCCACGGTCTGGAAGTAGCAACTCGTCAGTTTATAACAAATATTTATGAATTTTTCTCACATACTTTCTCCATTTGTAATAATGGTTATCAATAGGTGATTTGGTTTTTGTAGTTTGTTTCGTTTGTTCTTCAGGATTTTCATCTTTCCTCGTGCAGTAAAATTTTGAAGTTGAAGGGCTTATTTTTTCGAAGATGTGCATAAAGCTTCTGCAAGTGCTGCTGGTTCGTAATGGCCGAATTGACATCATATTATTTTCTCTGATTTTCCAACTATAAATAAATTATATACTTAAAACTCTGTAAATTGAGATTTTTTAACCAAAGCAGAATTAGCAAAATTTTTGTTTAATAGATATGTATTTTGTTTTAGATTCATCGCTCATCAATCACACTTGAAAAAATTACAAACCTTTTAAGATATTATATCGGTTTTGGGGCGTAGACCGAATTAAATCAAGTTTTGATTGCTATAGAATTTGCCGGAATTTGCATCCTCGTTCGTCGACGTGCTGTGGTATAAAAATTAAAAATGAAAATCAGCTGGCGAAATTCTGAGCATAATAAACGTTCGGGCGAGACCGTCGCTGATCGGTTGTCAGGGCCGAGTCGGGGGGTCGGTCGACGCCCCCCTCCACTGTGCGGCGCCCTCTGAGCACAGCGCGCGCCAGAGGTATGAAATTTAAGAACTCCGCCCAGCCACTCGTGTTGTCATTTGGGTCGGTGTTGTCTGTGCGGTAGGACAGTCTCGCAGGGCTCTGTCCAGCAGAAAGGTCCACCCTGACCTGTACCGTTGAAGGGACAAGATCGGCGACCTAAGGTCTCCGTCCTTTTGTGAGTATTTCGGCTGCTGCAACGCGGGCCGGTCGGCGCCGTCCAAGTGCAGCTGAAAAGCAGCGTGTGTGCAGTGCATGCTCTCGCGGAAATATTGATTTTCCCCAGTCTCTGGCCGCTAGATCCGCGAACCGACGAAACTTCCGTATCGTCTGATCCTGCAGTCTTCGGCCCACCATTTAGCTCTTTTTTTAAACTCAAGAGGTTAAATTTTGGTCTTATCGGACCGGAAATGAAGCTACACCGCTGTTTATTTATGTAACACGAGAAACACATAAATTATAAATTATACGAATTATACATTTCTGCAACGTTTTGAAACTTTTGAATGAAAATGTACGCGACTTTAGTTGAAGAAAAACTTATTTTTATTTCGACAGTATTTTTACTGAAATTGATTTATACATAATTTGTATTTTACACTAGTTGGAAAGCCTAGTATACGGCCAGACTAATTTCTTATCTTGGTTTATCTTTGGGGCTTACACACACCATGCATGGTGGATATAGGGAAGAAGTTTTAGGTCTTCTTTATTTTTCTGTAAAAATTTAGTCAAGTACATACTAGCGTTTTACTATGTCTGCTGCCATTACAGAAGGATAAATTTATTAAAATTTTACAACTCCAAAATATGTTTTGGATATTTCAAAATTAAAGGTAAATGATGAACTGAGCGTTTTCTTGAACATCATTTTTTTCAGTATGAGGTAAAGCTCAGTTCATCAAGTATTATAATTCGCTCTATAATTATGTTCCGCTTACTTAATAAAAGTTTGAAAATTAAAAAAAAAATTCAACGCTTTTGAAAGCTTTGTAAATCTTGTGAGATTTCAAGTTAAATATTTGTTGACGAATTTAAAACATCAAATATTTATGTATGTATTTGAATATATTGAGGAACAGTTTGGGAATTTTCTAGTCAGTTGGAGAGTGACGCACTTCCACTTCCAGTTCTCGCATGTTATATCCTTTGAAATGTCAGTTTTTTGCATTAAATATAATATTTATTATATTAATATGACTCTTTAAATTGATGGAAACAGTACAATGGTAAAACTAAAATTTCATATTCTCACATAAGAGAGGTATATTGCATTTATCTCCATCAAAATCTTCTTTCCACATTTTTTTTTTAAGTGCAATCGCATCATCTAATTGTAAATATACATATTTATGCACCTTTGAATTCCACAAGAAGTTTTGTTGCGTTCGGCACTTGTTATTAAATTTAATTGTGTGCAATAAATTTAATGCAAATCTATGATGGCGTGACTTCCTGTGTGTGACAGAGCCAACAGAGTCGGCCGTGATGGGTTCAAATGGCAGTCCTTCCCAAATTGCAGAGGGCACTGAGCAAGTCGAGGATCGACAGAAGACAGTCAACAAGCCGCCGCAGTAAGTTTTTTTTATTTCTCTCAACACAATCAAATGAAACTAAAAATATTTTCTAAATCTTTAATTGACACCTTCAAATCAATAAAAATTAATAAGAATGATGGAAATGAAAATTATGTAAACATTGTTTTCAGCAAGTTAATATTTTTTTTTATTTAAAGCAAAAGGAAAAAAATTAATATTTTTCAAGAGATGTATCAGATTTATTTATCCAAATTTTTGTTCATTTCTGCCCGCTTTTGCTGTTTCTTTTTTTTTTGTGGTATTCAAATATGAAGATTAAGATTATGCTGCTGAAGCATGGAAATAATTATTTTCCTGGATAATTTTGACACTGCCCACGTCCAATAATTTGTCTGTCAAAAGTGCACACTTTTTTGTATCGTGGGTATATTTTGCAGGGCTGAAACAATTATGGAGATCACACTACATTGCGCGCGCCAAGGTCGATAGCAAAAATACAATCTGACCAGCACTCTGCTCTTTTGTTTAAGAATTAATTTCCGCCTCCCATTCACTTACGATCAGCTTGATATAATTTAGAAAACAATTCCTGATTTTCATGAAATTTAAATTTTGGTTGGTCAAGGGCAAGGTTTTCTCCTAAAAATTAGATGCAAGTCAATACGCAGAGACCAAGAATGATGACAACTTTAGCTTCAGGTTGAATATTTTACAATCCTCTATTCAATGTATTTAAAAATGGAAATACTTGCGAACCTTTCATTTTAAATTATAGTTTTGGCAAATTCTTGATTAACATTTTATATGTAATGAAATATTTGTATAGACAAATAATCATATTATTTTGTTCAATTTTACTTGAAGCAAATATTAAGTTTTGTATCATAGCCAAAATTTCCCAAACGTGGGGAAAGGACATTTTAGCCATGAGAAATCGAATTTATAGTTTGACCTTTCCACACCCAATCGCATTATACCAAATCGAATCCCTGAGATTTGCGTCACGGTCTTATTTCTTTCCCAACCCCAAGATTGTATTCAATGGATCATGAAACTGGCAGTTTAAAAATGAAATCCCTGCATAACTACAATAGCGCGTTTATTGTTTCACGCTAATTTTGCCGCGAGTTGCATCACGGCTCATCTTTCGAGGCGACTCACTCACTATTAGCGCTTTTTCTTCAAACATTCTGTTCAAACAACGCACGTTCAGGCGCATTTCTCGTTTTTACCCTGGGTGCAACAAACTTCTAAGTGGACTGACACAAAGTGACTAAAATAATTGCCTCATACCAATTATTTGAATTTAATTAGTACTTTTTTAAATACAACTTAATTGAATTTTTGTTTTAATGAAAATATTCGTCTCAATTCTTTTATTTCTCCTCATTCATACATAAATCATTTTTTCTTCTTCTCAATTTACAAATACATCAGCAAAAAATGTAGCCAATTAATAAAAAATAGCAAATTTTCATAAATTATTTCTCCATGATCTGTTGGTTTTGATATTTCCACATAATATAATCAATTTATGCTTGAACATATGAGCCAGGCAGAGCCAAGGTTCCTCTTTTGAATTTTGGCTGGTCATCTTGGGAACAAGAGTTGTTGGGTAGAAAAAATGAAAGTCTAAAGTTTGCATTGTCTTTGTGTGCAGATTGCAAGATGTCCTGCGCCACGCGTGTCCATCGTCCAGCAAAGCTCGCCTTCTGTCTACCTTCAAGAACATCCTTGAGCGCGAGAACTGCGACTTCATGTGGGTTACCAAGGAGTGGCGGCCGCAGCCTGTGACGCAGCACTCTCGGACGCGATCCACGGCCCAAATCCGCCAGGACGTCTTTGCCAGTCCCAAAATGCAGCACACCGTCGAAGAGGTGAGTACAAAATGTGGTGTGCTCTATGCTAATTACGTGACATCGGCCGTGGCACAGAAATCAACAAAATTCCTTGTCCTTTGATATAAAATTGAATGCTCACAAAAACTGCATTTCGGTGGTGTAGTTAAAAAAATGCATTTGCTTGAGATTAATATATAAATGTTGCGGTTTTTCAAGTGCACGAAAACGCGTAAAGAAATGATAATGAAAGCCTTCACGAAACAGTGACCGCACGCTCACGTTTTCAGCACGTTTTTTCACGGCTAATTAAAAACGCACTTGACAGCTCCCTAATTATTCATCCTTGGGAATAAAATAGTGGTAAACTGTTAATTCCTGATGTAAAATATCATGAAAAAATAGAGGTAAATTAACGTTATTAAAGTTAATTGTTAAAATCGTTAAAATATTATTTAATTTATATGCATAGAAATGAATATAAAATTCACATTTTTAATTGAAAAAATTAAAATGAGAATAAATTATTTCATGTACGATTGTGCTCCATATATTTATGTTTTTAAACTTTTTGATTAACATTTTTTTAAACAAAAACAAAAAAATTTCAGGATAAAAATGACCAATCGTCTAGTCGATTTGTAAAATTAAATTTGTTATTTTACTTCACTTTTCCTAGCAATAATTTTCATTCAGATCCTCTTTGCTTGATTGAAAGTTATTTATCGACTCAATGAGTGTTAATGCACACTTAAAAATTATTAATGCACAGAAATTATAAGTTCTTCGTTGTCACCTGTGCTTCTCAATTCTTTATTTCATTTGATCATTGATTATTTGGCACGGCTCATTTGTTGCCTGTAACTGAACAAATATAAATATGCGGATGCTTGCAAAAACAAAGACGATTTTCTCAAGTGGAGCTTCCTGCTCTGAAGGAACAAAAGGTCACAAACAAGGTTCCAAAATAGTATTTATTGCTCAGTCAGAAAAGGTTGGCTACAAAATATCCAATAATAGATGTCGACAATCAAAGAGGAAAGACAAATGTGGCCTTTGCCATGCAAAAAAGATAATATTTGGTAAGTGAGGCTCCACTTGCGAAGGTCACAACTCTTTCTTTCCCTGCGCAGCCAACGAACTTCCTCGCTTGTGCACACGCATGTGCATTTTTTCGCCTTTCGCTTTGTAAACAATTTTTTTGCCGATCTCATGAGTGGCACTGAAAAGCCTATCGCGTGGTTCATCAATAATGGCAAAGATAGACATGAATCTGTAAACGTGAATACGCTGTACATTAACAGAATATAAATATTTTAATGCAATCATGCTAATGCTAACTAAGACGCCAATTTTGCAATTTTTTTTTAAAGTTGTGCCGTTATTATAGTTTTTTGTTTTGTGAGATAATGGAATTTTTGTTAATAGAGATAGATTTTATGAAAAATTGAAACCAGGTTCCTCAATGCAATTATCAGTTTTTTGCTCATTTTTATGATAGTTGGTCTGTTAAAACTTACCATGTTGGTTATTTTAAATATTAAAATAAACCATTAATTCATTTATTTGTTTATTCATTTACTCTCCATTAAAATTCATGGAAATAACACTACATCAAAATAAATTTCAAAGCCAATTTACTCTAATTTATTTTTTCCTCATTTCTATTCATTGAATGTCATAACCCTATTATTATTTTCGTACCAAATAAAATTTGTGTATATATATCTCGGAAAATTGAAGAAAAGCTCGCTACTATTTTTAAGCCTTTTCCTCGCTACTCAGCTATATCAAAGATTAAATTTGACGTGATAACTGAGATAGATGGATGCTGTTCTTTTGTATGAACAATTCACTGTGCAGCACAGATCCATTGTTTGGAGAGCATTAGCACAACGCGTGTGTTTGCGCGTGCGATGACACAATAAAAAAATAGGCGACGTCGTCGCGACTGATTTTATTTGGTCGACGACATTGGCACACATGCTGCTCGTCGTAGGTTTATTGACACGGCTCATTATAGGGTTTTGCCGTTGAGAGTTGGAGCGAGGGTTTGTTTGTGTCTTTTTTTCTCAAACAAAAAGATGGAAAAAGTGAAATTGCCAACCACGACCTTGGCAGTGCCGCGGTGCATTCATCATAATAGGAAAGCGATGACGTTTGAGAAAAGAGGCTGAATGGGCTTTTTGCCATTCAAAGTCTTACTACAATATTGCGCCTCTTTTTCCCTGCAAGGAGGAAGCCGATCAACGAGTTTTTTTTCTAAATCTCTGTTGTCTATATTGGCACGTAATGAGTAGAGCGTAAAAAAACTAACTAATTTGCGTCATTCTCCTTCGGTGCGTCTGCAAAAAACGAATGTCTTTTTACTTTGTCAAGCGCAACACAAAGAGCCATAATCAGAGGGACACTTAAGTTGCTCGACGTTGTTTTGCATATTGCGTCACCGCAAAAAAAATCTGCCTTGTAATAATTACACCTTAATTACAGGCGGCGGGAACTGAAACCTATCTAGGGGCAGGCGTAAAAAAATGCATTTTGGATATAACTTTGAAAATAATTGAACTTTATCGAAGCTAATTAAATTTTTCCTTTCTTTTCTCCAATCTAAGGCACTAAAAAATAATCATTTGTCCTGAAAAATGCGTAACTTCAGTTAGTTATTATAATTATTAAGTATTGAGATCTCTCTGAAAAATCTGAAATAATAATATGATGTGGCCACTCAGATGTCTTGATCCATAATTTATTTTTACTTATTTAAAACGTGCCTATCTATTTTATGTTTTTTAACCAGTATTTATATTTATTTTGTTGTTTTTATAAGAAATAAGAATTATTAACATCAATCAAGTTTTTTTTCTTAAAACTTATAGGTTCTTCCCTTAAAATACTATGCTTAAGTAAAACAAAAATATTTAAATGTATTTTAAATAATTTTGTTTGTTTGCCGATTCCCAGCTGAGCCAGCAGAATGGAGTTCCAAAGGAAGCGCTATGGCAAGAGCTCAACGAAATTCTCGTCGAAATGGGCCACACGCAAACCATGCCCGTAGTGCGATGGTTTGGCTACGTCCTCTCCAAGATCATGAGAAAAATCTACAACGGGGTGTACGTCAATGAAGAGAGCATCACCAGAGTGAGTAGACGATTATGCTCCACTAAACGCATTCAAAATAATTGCAAACATACTTGACCCGATTTTGTGCAAATTTGCTCATCTGTTTTGCGCTTCATGATTGTGCATTTGCGAGCAGAGAGTATGTTTATCTTTGAATCTGAAAAGCAAGTCATATTACATGGTTTCTTTTAAAGGAGAGGTCACTAATTTGTTCAAAGTGCACACTCACGTGCAGTAATTAGCATCCCAATTTTTTTGGCTCACATTCGTCACACAATATGTGAATGTGATTAGTTGTTGTTCTTCTTTTTTCAAAGTTTGTGCTTTATGCGGTCTTCAATGGCCAGATAATTTTCTCTTGATTACGCAAAAAATACGATGCTGCTAATGATGATGTTAGTAATTTTCTGAATTGTTGTTGTTGGATATTACGTTAAAAAATTCAGTAGGAAAAATGTTAATTGTATCTTTACAAGGTAACATTTTCCTGATATATTTAAAATATTCAAATTTCAAATGCTAAATTAACTTTCAATATTAAAATTTCTCAAAAAATCGACACTTGTAAGAATTATTAGTATCAACCGGTAATAAAAAGAAATTATTTTAATAGTTTTTGAGTATGTTATGTCCTATCATAAATCTTACAATTTTGCAAGAATGTCATTAAAAAATAGGACGTGTCACGACCTTCTTTTGAAAAGAAGTCTCCTATCATTTATATTGTACTAAGCTTTTTATGCAATGACCCCCGTCAATCAGACGGATCGATAGTGATTTATGTTTTTCTTTCATATATTAAATAATTTATTTTTTTTAGCTCCGAGCAAGAGTCGGAAACAACCCTGTAATTTTTATGCCCAGTCATCGGAGTTATGCTGACTTCCTCCTCATGTCTTACGTCTGCTTTAATTACAACATTATGCTGCCAGTGATTGCGGCAGGAATGGGTAAGAAACTTAAGTGCCGAGCTAATTAAAAATGCACTTTAAAACTTTATCTCAGATTTTGTCGCAATGTGGGGCGTCGGACGACTGCTTCGAGACTCAGGCGCTTTTTTCATCAGACGTTCTTTCGGGAATGACAAGCTCTACTGGGCAGCATTCAGCGAATACGTTCAAACTCTGATCACCGCCGGGGAAAACCCTATCGAGTTTTTCGTTGAGGGTACGAGGAGCAGAACGGCCAAGTCGCTCTGCCCCAAACTCGGTGAGCCTTAATTTTATTTATAACTTTCTTATAGCAAAAAAATCATACCACGTCTACCCCATCAAAACGGCCTCTTCACTTAATTGCTGTTGGCCAACCCTAATAAGTACAATGATTATAAAATATTATGGGCGTGTTTAATTATAAGTTCACATTTTCAATGTAACTGTTGTTTTATGTGGTTTCAGGTCTTCTCTCAGTTGCCTTGGAGCCGTATTTCACTGGTCAAGTTTCAGACATATTGGTGGTGCCTATCAACATTAGTTACGACCGAACTTTAGAGGAAACTTTGTATTCATATGAACTTTTGGGAGTCCCTAAGCCAAAAGAGTCTACCTCGGTAATTAATTATTCAAATTCATTAAAATATTTTATCACGCCTAAAATTTATTTTCATGTAATAACAGGGGCTATTTAAAGCACTGAATGTTCTGGATGAGCAGTACGGTCGAATTCACATTGATTTCACGGAGCCCATCTCAGCAAACAATTTTTTCGGTGATCTTCGCTCTCCAAAACTTCTTCGACCTCTCCACTTGCCGGTTAGTACAATTTTAATTTTGTAATTATATATGGATCAGATTTAATTTAAAAACTGATGTTTTTAGCACCAAATCACTGCTGGCGAGTCTTCCCGAATTATTTGGCTAGCAAATCATGTTGTGCGGCAGCAACAGAAGCATGCTGTGATTTCCCTATTTTCTTTAGCCGCTGTTGTCATAACACATCATAGCCTCACTAAGCCAAGAAACCAATTGCTCAAGGTGCAAGAGCTGACCAAAGAGGTTGCCTTGCTCAAATCTACAGTGGAATCTCTCGGTGGACTTCTAGATTGCAGAGGTAGATATCAACTTTTTAAATAAATTTTTAAGGTAGAAGAATATATTTTGATTGTTATGAACCATCACATACACATAGAAGCACCAATAATATTTTATTTTTCAATTTAATGTAGAAAACTTGGATGTGTCTTTGAGAGAAGCTCTTCAGATCCACAAGTCATTGGTGCACTTGTCGGAGGATGGTGTGGTGCGTTTAAAAAATGTAGCCACTCAAGCTGCCGTAGCCGTAGACCCAACCAAACTCAAAGGTACATAATTTATTACTGGAAAATATTTTGTAAATATCCTATATTTATTCTTGAACTGCAGGGCACAATTTACAAGACAAAACTCTGCAAGTGGGTGTTCCCATGGTCATGTTGCAGCATTACATAAATCAAACTCTTCACCTCTTCATTTGTCCAGCTATGATATGCGTTGCTGTCGAGCATTCAATCAAGCAAGGAAGTGGACTAAAAGGTACAAAATCTTCAAAAGAAAAGTCACTTTTAATATCTGTGATCAATTTCAGATGACATTTTTGCCAAATATCAATTCTTGAGAAAACTTCTCTCACACGAGTTTATTCTTCATTCAGCTTGGGAGGAAATGGTATTTTCAAATAAATATAGTTGTGGAATAATTTTTTTATATTAAAATCATTTTATTTTATTCAGGACTTCGAGGAATCAGTGTTTCAGCTGAAGGCATTGCAAGTGCTGGACGAGAGTCTTCGAGAGCCACAGAAACTTTGTTTAGGTCAAAACACCAAATTGTTCCAAATTATCAGCCACCTTCTCCTTCCGTTCCTTTCTGGCTACTCCAATACTTGCAAAGTTTTGTTGGAGGTAAAGCATTGATTATAATAATGCTTGATTTTTATAATTTAAAAAAAAATTTAGACACCAGCAGGGAAGAGGGTGAATCTCAACGACACTCTCAAATTGGCCCAGGAGAGGATAGAAAAATTGCTGCTGAATTCACACTTGAACCACCATTACTCTTTATCTCTGGACCTCCTCACGGCTGCAGTCAGCTCCCTCTCAGCAATGGGATCTCTCTCAAAACACAAAGAGTAATAGTATATTTTTTTTAAAAGCTGTAATTTATTTTTGTCTTATTTCAGAAATGGAAAAGTTTCATATTCAGTAAACGAGAGTCGTCTAATCCAGGTTTCGCAAGTACTCGAAGATTTCTTCCAAATGGTGGCCCACAGTGTCCGAAACCCACAAGAGGAGATGGCTCGGCAACTTGTCACTCGGGAAAAAGCAAGATTATGAAGGTGGCCTCTGTTAGGCTATGTTGATTCCATGCTAGTCCACTGCCATGTATTGTTTCTTAACATAGACTTAATTTCTCACAGATATAACAAACGAACAATATTTTTGTACTGATTGCTGGATAAGTAGCAGCTAACAAAGTTTGTTCAGTCAAAATTGTGTCTGTTAACATTCCTTTTCTGTACTGTAATCTCCGCATATTGAATGCTTTTGCCAATATTAGAAAGCTAAAAACTGTTAAAAGGTTGTGATGATTTTGGTATAATCTTCTAAATTGTAAAATTTAAAAATTTATGAGTTTTGATTCATCTGATGTGATAGCATAATATGCAATTAAAAAACTTCATAAGTTATAGAAAATGAAATTTTTTTATTTAGCCTCACACAAAAATTTGATGCGTGTATTGTAAATGAAGCAGTCCTTCCAAATGCAAAGGTCGGTGAAATTAAAATGATCTAGATTGAAATTAGAATGCCAGTTTCTTCATGAGAAGGTAGATGTGCTGGTCCACCTCAAACCCTTGCAAATTGTTGGCGTCACCTTGAAGTCTCATGAGCAGACCTCCGAATGAAACGTACGCTGACCTGGAAGCACAACATACAAGTATTAGGAATATTCTACAACATTTCTTAAATATTTATTCTTTCGTTATTTTAAACATTTTTTATTTATAAATGTACATTAATTCCGGCGATGGACTGAATTTTCACGCTTTTTGTGCCACGCCTGGAAGTTATGCAGTGGCGGGGTGCGTGTAGGGAATGTGGTCGGGGTGTCTGCGCGACAACTGCTGCGAGTGGTGGTGTTGCAGCAGCGCTAGGTGAGCACCGGAGGTAGGTAAAGAGCCCCTACTGGGTCAGAGTATATTATATTTAGCCTTGCCGCTGTGAGATCTAAAATACATGCCAGAGCCTAGATTGGTCGGTTAAGCTCCATTACAGAGAGTTGTCACCAAAGGCGAAGAGCAAGAGCACGCCTCTGCTTCTTTTGCAGAGCGTTCTCCACTCTTCGCATTGTGCTTTTCAAGGGTTGGGTAGTCACGATATTTGTCCTGCATTTTTTAAACATTTAATAAATAAAAAGGGCATCCATAAAAGTTACAAAACACAATATGGCCTGAAATTTTTAGAAGAAAAACTAATTTTATTTATTTATTTATTTTTTTTAAATTAATTATTGGATTCCTTTGTACAACATTTTTATTTAATGACAAAAATAAAATTAATCCATTTAAGGGATTTTTACACTTAAATAAAATTTTTGGTGAGAAATGCGTTTAATCTGGGAATTAAACGTGTTGGGGTGCTTGTCAAAGATGATCGAGGACGTTGAGGGGCGGCAGTGTCGATAGCGGTCGTGAGCCTCAAGAGCACAACCAGCTAACCACACTGCCACCCTGAAACGCCCACCCAAATTGCGTGTCCTCTTCCTTGTCAGATCCTCTGGGCCGATTATTGAGCAACCGATTATTTCGCAGCTCAGCGAGTGGCCTGGCAGGGGCCACACGGAGTGGACAGTAATTATCACTCGCTTGTCCGCCTCTTCGCTCTACCTGCGCCTTCGCCTCACCGGCCAGCCAAGCAACACTCTCGGCTCGTAATAATAGCAGCCGCGAGCAATACGCAAGTACCACGCGGCGCAAAATTCGCGCAATCACTTCAATGCCTCCATTGTTGCGCCTCCGCCAAAACAAATCCGGCCAGCGTTCGCGAAATCCTCTTGGTGCTCTTGGGCATTTGCCTGCGCACAGATTGAATAAGTTTTCGCAACTTACCGACTGAAACCAAAATAGCAAAGGCATTGCTCAAGTTAACTTAGCAAATGCGCCGATTGCTTGAACAAGTAATAGAGTCTTTTGTTCTCCTTTCATTTATTAATTTAAACATGGGCAAGATATTATATTATAAAGCTTTTAATATTTATTTTAAAATAATGACCGACAACAAGCATTCTGTTTAAAGTGACTATCACAATATTTATTGAGCAAATATAAAAATATCTTAACAATTTTGAACAACAAATATGTATTGTTTAATTTATAATTATGAACATTACAGACTTTCCATTAATTTTTTCATCCTAAAATGTTAGCATAATTATAACAAGAAAGGAACACTCCCCTGACATTCTTAATTCAAAAAGAAAATAAATGCAATTCAACACCTGAGAGTGTGAAGTAGTCCCTTTTTGAAATTATTTTCTTTTGGAATTAATAATAAGATATTTATACTTGCTGGAGAACTGGCTTTTCAAACAATTTTTACTTTTTTATTTGTGATATTCATCTGGATAGTCTAAAAGCACAACAAGAACGATAGCAATATTTAGCAGAAAATTTATTTATCCCACTAGTTTCACATTTTCAGTATTCTTTGGTGTCTATTTTTATTTTTATAAATTTTAACACAATTTAGGTTTGAAGTTCAGAACCACAGCAATGACATGAGTTATAAAAAACAATCTAACCACAAAGTAGCCAGTTAATTTGATATTTTTGACATTTTTTTTTAGTAAAAAAGATCAGATAAACTTATTATTTTGTAACACTTTTTGCCGTTGCCCGATAGCCTGAAAAAACTTCATATCGTTGGCAGTTAGCGTGTGGCATTAAATTAGTAACGAAAATCGCACCGCAGTTAGCGAAATAGAGTCTCCTGGACGGCTCAGCCCATTAAGCATTGTACAAAAAGGACAAAAAATCAGCATTTCGTTCTATTGCTTTTCCCCTCTCACATTCACGTGTTCGCCAACTTGAAGCAGAAGCGCACACGTAAAATGCCACGGGAATCTGCATGAGTGATAAAAAAAACGACGACAGCACGTGCTGCGAGCTCCGCAAGTGATATTTCTCTCCAGGAGGCGCTCTCTTGCAGTCGGCCGTGCGATTTTTTTTTGTCGCGTCGCTCACCAGCCTGCACAAGCAAGAAATACAACCCCACATGTATTTCATTTGAATTAAAAAAAAAAATATTTCAAAAAACATATCGAAGATAAAACAAGCCTTAAATTTAAACAACGCAAAATACAAATTTTTCACAAAGCCATAATTTTAAAACAAGCTACAATATTTCCAATAAATAGTTACATTTTAGCTCCTTGATAAAATTAATTAATATGATAAAATCACCAAGCAGTCTTTTTTGAAGCGCAAAAAATTCAAAATTTTGTCTTTAATTAGAATTCAGCATTTTTATTTTTCATTTGCGTACACGTCACACGGGTGCTGTGAATTGAGGTTGCAGAATAAAAGTCAGAGTTGAGGAGTCAATTGGCATCGCCAAGAGTGCATTCGAAACCTACGAGCTGCATATTATGTGAGTGACCTACAATGCCTCGCTGTTGGTTTATTTCGAGCAACTTGCACTGCCGCAATCCGCGGCTCAAAATCCGATGGTGCGTCGCCTCAATTTGAATATTATCAAAAGGGAATTTTAATTTTAATTTTTTTATTTATCGACTCTCAAAATTTAAGAAAATATATTCTGATTTATTTAATTTTAAGGAATTTTAAACTATGGATAAATAGAAGGTGAAAATTCACAAGTGATATTTTTTATACATACTATTTCTTTCTTTGAAATAGGAAGGGCTAGATAAAGAAAGCTACCATTATCAGTACACACCGACTGCCGAGCTGATAACGAAAATTTTAAGAGTGCTCAATGGGCCACCTCCCGAACGAAATTCCGTTCGCCACAAAAGTAACATTCTCAAGTTCTGATAAAAAGAAACACTGCACTTTCAACCGTTTTGGTCAATTTTAGCTCAAACTGCGACGGGGCAATAAAATCAGGCGCAGTGTTGACAAACGATTTTGGGACCAAAGTGCGCGCAAGCACAAATAAAGCCAATCATAGTAATGATTGTATGGCTCACGTAGCGCAATGCGGCGGTGGCGGCTCCTTTCCTTATCTTGAACAGACAGTTTGTCATTAAACAACCAGAGAGTCGCCGCAGCCAGCACCATTGTCGCCAGGCGAACAGGGAAACACGTTGGACCGATTTAAAAGTTCATTCACGGCCCTAATAGATAGATCTGCGTTTGCAAAGGGCGTTGGCATTTAAAAAGTTTCTAGTGTATAGAAATTATAGCTTTCAAAATTATTTTATTTAAAATAAATTTAATGGATGGAAATAACAACATTGAAAAATAATTTTTTTATTGAAGACTTTAAAAAAACACCTGATTAACATTTTAACAAAAGAGGTCAAACGGTTGAATCTGGGCCGGAAGCAAAAACGTCCCTTATCGTATTGTCAGGAAACACCTGCCTGCCAAAGTATGAAGAAAAATGAAATACAAAAAACCTGCAAAAGTCACTGCACTCGCCGGGGAGAATAAATTCAATGATTTAACAATACAGGTCAGTGTTGGGAAAGGTTATGTATTCCGGTTGCGAGTGCTCGATTTATCGGCTCGCTCAGGAAAACCTGTTTGTTGTTGTGCGACCGCGGCCGACTCTTCTAATAACGGAGGCGGCTGGCTTGGTCGCGTTTCTTCTGCATCCTTTTACCTTTGGTGATATTGCCTTATATTGTTGCATGCACTTCCTCGAACAGGCTGCGATGACGACCAACCAGCAGGGAAAAGAGAGAAAAGACTCTGGTTTCATTGCTTGCCACAGCGAGATTTTCTCAGCGGTGAGAAGATAATTTCATATCCGCCAAGATTGCTCAAAATTAAAAAAAAAAGTTGAAAAAGAATTTAATTGTGAAAATGACAAAAGAAAAAACAAACTGTAATATTCTCTATTAAAAATTCTTTAAAATTTTTGTAAAACCCTTCAAATATAATAAGAGCAATAAAACTTGACCACCAGTTTGAAGAAGGACACCCTTCGGCAGGCCCCGTTCCCAGGGTGGTAGCGCTCTGCTTGGCAGTGCGACCAAGAAGTAAGGCGACACCGTTTCGATCAGTTGGAATAACTTGATACCCCCGATCGACATACTTGAGAATTAATGCGTGCGATCCCACGTGGTGCTGATTGGCATGATCTAGCAGCAGCGTCAGGACAACTCCAAAGGGTGACGGGAAGTTTGAAATCCATCCATATCTTTTCCCTCTTAACAACCCACTTGCAAACAAATCTTTTGTCACTGAATACAGGAGGCGCAGTGTTTCGTTACTTTCTGTGAAAGCGGCAGGCTTTTCTTGCTTCTTCCATTTGCACTAATTGGCACATGAAAAAAATACATATCGACGGGGGAGAGTGAAGAAAAGTAAATGTATTGAATTGCACAAATAATATATGATAATTTAATAAATGTGAATATATAAAAATATAATGCTAGACAATTTTTCAAATAATAAATAACAAAACAAATGTTAAATTGATTAAAATAAAGAATAAAGTGCATCTGAACGTTGAACGTTGCAGTGATCCCTGCACAGGAGTGGGTGTAATTGTGAAGTAACGATTTCAAAATCAGATTGCTCATCATTTCACGTGAGCTGGAAAGAAAGAAAGATACTCCAACAAATTGCACCCACTCGCGAGCAAACAGCGCTTTCCTTCCTTTATCGCGCGATGATAAATAATTCACACGGAAGATAAATTGGCAGCAAAAACTTGACGAAGGAAAG